ATCTTAGAAGAAATACAGATGAAAATTTGAAAACATCAGTGAAGCCGAGAAAATTATTTTGAAATCTTTCCAGGTACTTGCTACGTGCTAATGATAATACAACATTAGCACTAGCCTGTGCTTGGAGAGAGATCAGAGGTTTAACATCACAACATCAAGAGATAATGAAAAAGAAAGGCAAGACGAGGACGACAGATTTACAGAACAATCTGATATCTTCCCAGGTACTTGTTATGTGCAAATGGTAAACAAACATTAGCACTAGCCTGTGCTTGGAGAGGAGTCGGAAATAGCTTCACCAACAGAAACACAGAAAAACTCAAACGGTACCACTCATGTCCAAAATGTTTCCAGGTACTTGTTATGTGCTAATGATCAATACACATTAGGAATTTCGGAAAATTACGTCTAAACAGAAGGCATAAATATATATCAACGGTTCATTTTTCCCGAGGGACACGATGTGTGCAACTTTCCTTAAAATAGTAGCACTAGCTTGTGCTTGGAAAAATGTGCTTTATTTTCTTCATAAGGAAGTTACAGATTGATGCATGCTAGTTTTTAAAATGTCCGCTATTAATTATTCTGTGCTAATTCAAGAAAATTTACAAGCACTTGTCTGCACTGGGACACAAGTATGAAAGTAACGAAAAAAAATGTCATATCTTTGGCAAAATTTTAAATAACATTGAATATCTGAAATTAAAAAAAAAAAGCAAGAAAAAAACTATTAATATCTGAAAATTACCGTGATTACCCACCCTTTGAAAATCGTCAAAGCTTAGCTTGGGATGCATACATCGATCTGATTAATTATGACACTAATCAATATTCAACGACTTTCTCGTATGTTCTAAAACATCAGAAGCTCAACGAAGAGATGTAATGTGACACTTATCAATTGTTGACACCTTAGACTTTAAATACAAAGACTTGGTGTAAGATTGTCAGAACGAACATTTCACCAGAAGAAGAAAGTCGAAAATAAATCTTAGATCTTTCCGGGTACTTACTAAGTGCTAATGACAAATTTACATTAGCACTAGTCTGTGCTTGGAGAGGGGATGGGGAATTTACATCTTAGAAGAAATACAGATGAAAGTTACCTCTAAACAGAAGGCATAGATATATATCAACGGTTCATTTTTCCAGGGACACGCTGTGTGCAACTTTCCTTAAAATAGTAGCACTAGCTTGTGCTTGGAAAAATGTGCTTTATTTTCTTCATAAGGAGGTTACAGATTGATGCATGCTAGTTTTTAAAATGTCCGCTATTAATTATTCTGTGCTAATTTAAGAAAATTTACAAGCACTAATCTGCACTGGGACACAAGTATGAAAGTAACGAAAAAAAATGTCATATCTTTGGCAAAATTTTGAATAACATTGAATATCTGAAATTTAAAAAAAAAAGCAAAAAAAAACTATTAATATCTAAAAATTACCGTGATAACCCACCCTTTGAAAATCGTCAAAGCTTAGCTTGGGATGCATACATCGATCTGATTAATTATGACACTAATCAATATTCAACGACTTTCTCATATGTTCTAAAACATCAGAAGCTCAACGAAGAGATGCAATATGACACTTATCAATTGTTGACACCAAAATTTTAAATAACATTGAATATCTAAAATTAAAAAAAAAAGGAAAAAAAAACTATCAATATCTGAAAATTACCGTGATTACCCACCCTTTGAAAATCGTCAAAGCTTAGCTTGGGATGCATACATCCATCTGATTAATTATGACACTAATCAATTTTCAACGACTTTCTCATATGTTCTAAAACATCAGAAGCTCAACGAAGAGATGTAATATGACACTTATCAATTGTTGACACCTTAGCCTTTAAATACAAAGACTTGGTGTAAGATTGTCAGAACGAACATTTCACAAGAAGAAGAAAGTCGAAAATAAATCTTAGATCTTTCCGGGTACTTACTAAGTGCTAATGACAAATTTACATTAGCACTAGTCTGTGCTTGGAGAGGGGATTGGGAATTTACATCTTAGAAGAAATACAGATGAAAATTTGAAAACATCAGTGAAGCCGAGAAAATTATTTTGAAATCTTTCCAGGTACTTGCTACGTGCTAATGATAATACAACATTAGCACTAGCCTGTGCTTGGAGAGAGATCAGAGGTTTAACATCACAACATCAAGAGATAATGAAAAAGAAAGGCAAGACGAGGACGACAGATTTACAGAACAATCTGATATCTTCCCAGGTACTAGTTATGTGCAAATGGTAAACAAACATTAGCACTAGCCTGTGCTTGGAGAGGAGTCGGAAATAGCTTCACCAACAGAAACACAGAAGAACTCAAAAGGTACAACTCATGTCCAAAATGTTTCCAGGTACTTGTTATGTGCTAATGATCAATACACATTAGGAATTTCGGAAAATTACCTCTAAACAGAAGGCATAAATATATATCAACGGTTCATTTTTCCCGAGGGACACGATGTGTGCAACTTTCCTTAAAATAGTAGCACTAGCTTGTGCTTGGAAAAATGAGCTTTATTTTCTTCATAAGGAAGTTACAGATTGATGCATGCTAGTTTTTAAAATGTCCGCTATTAATTATTCTGTGCTAATTCAAGAAAATTTACAAGCACTTGTCTGCACTGGGACACAAGTATGAAAGTAACGAAAAAAATGTCATATCTTTGGCAAAATTTTAAATAACATTGAATATCTGAAATTTAAAAAAAAAAGCAAAAAAAAACTATTAATATCTAAAAATTACCGTGATAACCTGAGACTACTATAAAACATATGTGTTATAGTAGTCTCAGTGATAACCCACCCTTTGAAAATCGTCAAAGCTTAGCTTGGGATGCATACATCGATCTGATTAATTATGACACTAATCAATATTCAACGACTTTCTCATATGTTCTAAAACATCAGAAGCTCAACGAAGAGATGTAATGTGACACTTATCAATTGTTGACACCTTAGCCTTTAAATACAAAGACTTGGTGTAAGATTGTCAGAACGAACATTTCACCAGAAGAAGAAAGTCGAAAATAAATCTTAGATCTTTCCGGGTACTTACTAAGTGCTAATGACAAATTTACATTAGCACTAGTCTGTGCTTGGAGAGGGGATTGGGAATTTACATCTTAGAAGAAATACAGATGAAAGTTACCTCTAAACAGAAGGCATAGATATATATCAACGGTTCATTTTTCCAGGGACACGCTGTGTGCAACTTTCCTTAAAATAGTAGCACTTGCTTGTGCTTGGAAAAATGTGCTTTATTTTCTTCATCAGGAAGTTGCAGATTAATGTATGCTAGTTTTGAAAATGTTCGCTATTATTTATTCTGTGTTAATTTAGGAAAATTTACTAGCATTAGTCTGCACTGGGACACAAGTATGAAAGTAAAGAAAAAAATGTCATATCTTTGGCATCAAAGATGAAGACAACAGATCTACGCAAACAATCTGATATCTTCCCAGGTACTTGTATTGTGGAAATGGGTAACAAACATTAGCACTAGCCTGTGCTTGCAGATGAATCGGAAATTACCTCACCACAGAGATGACGTTAAACATACAGGTGACAATTCGGTCCCAAATCCTTCCAGGGACATGTTATGTGCTAATGGTCAATAAGTATTAGCACTAGCTTGTGCTTGTAGGGAATTTGGAGATAGTATCAACATAACAGAGGTCGTGGATGCCTTTCTACATAAGAAAGAAATTGGTTGAAGAATGTTCATCTTAAATTTGTCCCCTAGTACTTATTATGTGCTAGTTTAAGAAAAGTTACAATCACTAGTCTGTACTGGGAGACAAGTTTAAAAGTCATCATTTATTTAAGTCGAATATATCAAATCCTTAGTCTATCAATGATTCAAATATATCAAATGTGTAAAAAAAACATTTTGGAGAAAAGCTCAGTAAGAAATATTTCTCAGAGAAACAAAGTCAGAGAGGAAAATCTCCTAATGATATTATAATTTAAGCACTAGCTTGTGCTTGGAGAGAGATTAGAGATATAACACCACAAACCAAGAAGAAAAGAAACAGAAAACAAAGATGAAGACAACAGATCTACAGCAACAATCTGATATTTTCTCAAGTACTTGCTAGGTGCTAATGACAAAATTGTAAGTTCATTAATGTTTATATTAGGTCCTGATTATTAAGTTCAATATTTCATGATAAAAAGACATGTGGGAAAGTTAAGTAGAACTCTTTTTGTGAAAGTCTTACTTTAAAGCGTTGATTTTTACATTCTAAATAGGCAAAAACATGTGAAACTGCGAGCTACTGCTCACTGAAGATACCCCCACCCAAATATTTCGGTAAACAGGAAATTGTTGAGTGATGAATCTGAAAACGCATCACACGGTAAAGCTGACTTATATAAACCCTGAAACCAAATTTCAGAAATCCTTATGATGTAGTTCATGAGAAAGATGCGACGAAAAATATTCATGGGACGGATGGAGGGACAGACAGAGGTCATGAAAACAGTATACCCCCACACTTTTTTAACGCGGGGGGTATAGAAAAAAAAGAGATTTTTGCGAAATTTGACAAAAATCGTCTGGAATTCAACCAAATTAAGGCCTAGGAAACATAGAGTGCAGGCACCGACAAACTAAATATTCTTGTCAGATATGTAATGTCAAAAAAAAACTATGTAAAAACATCTTTTGTTGATGCATGCGCTCTATGTTTCCTGTCTAAATAATCAATGGATATTTACCCGTTTTCATTGAATTTTCGTGGATAATCAAATCAAAAATACTGTTTTTTGTGATGTCATGTATAAAACGCAATACGTAAATTTTTTAACAAAAAGATATATTTCGTATCTAGTTCTTCTATTAGCTATGATTCATTGTGATATTAGTCATTACATTCTAATTTGAAATTTTTGCCATTTTAGGGCCTGATCAAACATACTCCTTTGGGTTGTGAACAATTCTAAAATATGACAATACATGTACACCATATAGTAATGAAAATTCATTGTAAAATTAATTCATTTTATTATTCAGCTTTTTCACTTATGAATACTTGGCTTACATCTCTTCAGAACTCCCATACACTGACAACAACAGATTATACACAAATACACAATGTTTGTGTAATCTGATGTACAGATTGTAAGCTCTATATATCTTTATACACAAGGTCATATTTGGGAATATTTTCTTGATCTAATGGACTTTTGATCATCACTTTGCCCTTCATTGCACCTCTAAAGATCATCTCCACAACATCTATAAAATCTTGTTTAGTTTTAAAACTTCCAATAAATTTGGTGTGATCAGGAGTCCTGCAAAGAAATATATTCCAATATAAATCAATTGTTTTCTCATTAAACACAGATATAACATGTAAATCTTTACATGGGTTTAACTCAATATATAAAACAAGCACAGAAACAAAATGAAGACTGAATGGTATTAAAGTTTGAAAACATCACAGTAAACATGATTTATTGAATGTTGTTTGATAACATATATTTCATGGATATTCAGGAAAAGAGCACATTATAGATAATTATAGAAGAGTCAGCCAAGCTAGAGGACCTGAAATTTGGACCCCTATGGAGAAAATAGGATATGCTGGATATGTGTGATCACAAATTTTCCTTTGCAACAGGCCAACAAACACCCGTCAAAGATTGGTTCAAGATAAATTTTTTGATTGTGCATAGAGTATGGCATAAAGCATTTGATTGAAAGTCCCACATCGAACATGAAATGGCTTTATATTTTTACATTCCACTCAACTAAACAGACATCTCTCAGCTCAGGTGTTACTGCCTTAAGAGAGGCGACAGATACCAAAGGGACATTCAAACTCATAAGTCGAAAATAAACGGACAACACCATAGCAAAAAAAGAAAAAGATCAACAGACACACAACTTTATGGTATTTATGCCACAACATAGTAAACTACAGACTGAGCAACATGAACCCCACCAAAAACTTGGGGTGATCTCAGGTGCTCCGGAGGGGTAAGCAGATCCTGTTCCACATGTGGCACCCGTCCTGTTGCTCATGTTAGTACAAACCTGGTGATAGGTCTAATTTGGTAGGACACATTCGGTGAAAAGGGGACTGGATTGTAGTTACGACAATAGGAAACATATCCGTTGTCATCTGTGAAACGGATATTCCATATTATGGCATAACAGTCAACCAACGTGATGGGGTCCGTAAAATTTACGAAGTGATGATTTCAACTTCACCACTTGGAACTCTTGGTTTGATAGCTTCCTTGTGAGCAGCAAGAGAGTTTTTTTTCAAAATTTTAAGCAGGGAATTTAAAAGGACTCTATTGAAAAACAAAAGGCTCCCAGGAACCTGAACTGCTCACCTGGATAAATTTATAAATCTGGCAGTCATTTTTCACATACTTAAATATATTTTGATTAATTTGATCTAGACCCACTCAGAGAATATTACAAATAAAGAGCTGTGCCATGAGCGCATGATACATACATCACTTTTTTCAATGAATAAAAGTTCCATAACTCCCCAATGTCATATCAGTTTTCAGGGTAACAGCCAAAAACTTCAAAATATTGTTAAAAATGGACATTTCAGGGGCACTTACCCCAAAATGGGTGGTCAAAATTTTCTGAAAATTTTAGGGCAGATAGATATTGACCTACTGATAATTTTAACAGTTAGATGTTTTTATTTTTGAGATATCAGCCAAAAATTGCAGCTTTACCCCTAAGTCCTATTTGACCTATGCTGGCCAAGTTTTTCATCCTACAGGTTGCACTTTGTAAATACAGCTGTTTCTCAAACCACGCCTCTTTTGGGGAGATATATAATATTCATAGATATGTTAATTTGTTAATGTACTGGTTCCCATTTATGATCTCTGTGCTTCCTCTCATAGAGACATCACTTGGGAATGTAACCAGTATAGAAAAACATGGTAGCGCCTAAATTTTAATTCTTAGGAGGTCCAAATATGAAGGTAAGGGTAGTATAGAATTTTAGTATAAGTTTAAACTCTTAGAAGTTCAGGGCATATAAATGTTGAAAATATGCCGCACAGCCCTATATTTTGACCTTTGAATAAAATAGTAGTGCATATAAACTTTCCGTTCTGGGATATAATTTTTCACGAAACTTCATAGTAAAAGTGTCACAGTTTTAGCCGCAAAGGGAGTTCCTATGGGAAATTGCATTGTCTATATTTACAGAATTGCAACCTATATAGGGTTAAAAAATAGAACATACAGAATTTCACAAAATCTGGTTTATCTCAGAGATTTTAAAGAATTTAACTCAAATATGAAGTTTTATAAATTTTTCATGAAGATTGAGAAAATCCTGAGCCTTAACTATGATGACTCAGCATAAATTCACAGTTTACAGTATGCATGGTTTACTTAAAGCCCTGAATTCAAAATAAATTCACAATATATGCCTATTTGTGATTTAAATTGTTTAGAAGTGTTTATATTTACTCTTCGCAGTCATTGCAACTCATTGATCCTTCCTAAATAATTTTGTTGGGTTATTTTTGTCCTGTCGATAACCCAAAAGTAAGCCGTAACACCTAAATGTGTTTTTTTGTGACCGCGGCATTAAAAAGTACAAGCTGAAATTACAAAAAGACCTCAATAAAACTTACAATAGTGTGTTCTATCCTAAATATATACTAAATATTCCACATTGCTAGAAACAAGGAAAATATTTAGGAAATGTGAGGCCCCAGGGGGCAAAAAACAGAAAAAAATGCCTACCCTGGGTCATAAAACAGATAATTTAACTTGTAAATGCTATGATTTTATTATTTTCAAGGTCTTTTGTAAACAAAACAATAACTGTGCTGGAAAGTTATGCAAAAATAAGATGTAAGCAGTCATTTCTATCAAACTTTTAGTGAATTTATGCACCAGACTGATATCTTCTTAAATACAATTTTGCAAATATGGCTTTGTTTAGACACTTCTAGTTCATACATTAACTAACTTATGTTAGTTATATGGTTAGAGATGATGCTGTTGTGACAAGAATTCTTAACTGACCATTTGAGACAGAAATTGTGAACTTTCATTGACAAATAGGCATACAGTAAGATGTGGACTGGAGACACAAGCAGGATTGGATACTTTGTATAATCTTGAATGTTGGAATGATTAACTTCTAAACAATACATTTATAGTATTCTAAAATGCTTTCAATTTGTTATCAGAATAGTTTCAAACATGTTTTAGACATTTCATGTCAGAAAACATGCACATAGGGTAAGCTGGCAATGGTTAAAGTCTTGTTTTCAAATTCTTTAAAAAACTGAAACAGGGGTAGGGGTATAAAATGTACTGTAAAAGGAAACTTAGAGTATATGCAGTGATTTCCTTAAGGCTATAATTCTGATAAATAAGTATTGTTGTGAGAAAAAGTGTTTTTAGAAGGTTTTCTATTTGAATAAATGTTTGTATAGGTTGCACTTTGTAAATACAGCTGTTTCTCAAACCACGCCTCTTTTGGGGAGATATATAATATTCATAGATATGTTAATTTGTTAATGTACTGGTTCCCATTTATGATCTCTGTGCTTCCTCTCATAGAGACATCACTTGGGAATGTAACCAGTATAGAAAAACATGGTAGCGCCTAAATTTTAATTCTTAGGAGGTCCAAATATGAAGGTAAGGGTAGTATAGAATTTTAGTATAAGTTTAAACTCTTAGAAGTTCAAGGCATATAAATGTTGAAAATATGCCGCACAGCCCTATATTTTGACCTTTGAATAAAATAGTAGTGCATATAAACTTTCCGTTCTGGGATATAATTTTTCACGAAACTTCATAGTAAAAGTGTCACAGTTTTAGCCGCAAAGGGAGTTCCTATGGGAAATTGCATTGTCTATATTTACAGAATTGCAACCTACAGGAATGAAATCAGTAATCTTTGTACACATAAATGATAAGTGTAATTTCATTTGGCTTTGTGATTTCTGAGGAGGGACAGATGATGTACGAAGACGAAAAATGAAAAGATATGGCATAAGCTCATATTGCCCTTAAGAGCCTAGTGAGCTAAAACATACCATAAAATTTTTGCATTTGTTTTGTGTTTGAGCCCCTTTTATATCAGAAATATTAAGACCTATCGCAAATCCATTGACATGCTACATTGACAAAATCTAATAAGCAATAGGAAAGAAAAACTGGATCAAAATCAGGTAGAATGTCAAAGTTAAAAGTGAAAATAAGTGTTTTTGATACTACTCAGTTTCTTGTTTGGAAATAAGTTAGGCTAAAATCACCATTTAAATACTTAACTTCCATTAAATACCAAAAATTATTGCCATAAAAATTTCAAGAGGATTAATCTATTTGAATAAAAGTTACTACACAGAAACCATTATGTCTTCAGAGAGAAGATAACCATAACAACAATAGTGCCATACTATTATACCATCACAAAAATGTAAACACTAATTGATAGTTTTCCATTGATGTAATTTGAGTTGGAGTTATTCCCCTTGGCTGACATGTAAGAGGGGGAAAACTGGTTGATTTTCTCACTTGACTAACTAAATTGAAACATGTGGTACAGGCAATTCTGTTTAAAGATCCTTGCTAGGTTGTGGGGATGAATTCTAAAAGGCTAAAAACAAATGAAATTTGCACAGATAACAACTTTTGCAAGTCTAGCGGTCAGTATAACAATTGAATTTTGTTGATTTATGAATGAATTGGCATACATTGCCCTCCAACATGGCGGCAAATGAAAAAAGAATTAACTAAATTTATGTTAAGAAGTAAATTTTCTTTAATGAAAAAATTGCTTCACCACATAAATTCTTTTACTTTGACACAATGAGACAAGTTATTGTATGTTTGAACCTTTTGGTAACAACCTATCAGTTATTTGTCCACAATACAGTCAAAGAACATCACAAACTGTATAATTGAACAATAAGTAGGTAAAGTATTTCAGATTCCCAAATAGTGATAAGGGCAATTGATAAATCTTTAGACCGTAAGTAGCATGGAATATCACTGCATATAAAGTTATAAAATCATCTTGCTCTTCCAATTTCAAGTCTACAAAAAATTCATAGCTCAAAGGAAATAAGAAAACTGACTCATATTTGAATAAGCAAATTAATCCATGAAAATAATATGGGAGATAACTCATAATAAAAACATAAACTCAAAGTGGCCAATCATAACTTATATTATTCCATTTTAGTGATATTTCTTTACTCAACTTTTTTTTCTCTATTTCGAATAAAATAGAAGTGCTATAAGATAGCTGAAACATTAATTTCATGGAACTACTTTTTTTTTTATTATCCAAGATTTCTATTTCTTACCCCCAATCAACTTTTATGTGCTGTGCATTGAAAAAGAAGATGGTTGATGGAATAAGTGTAATGTCAAAGTATCTGGTGTAGACTGGAATACTATCAACATCTACTGTGTATATGGCTGCCATTTTCTTCAACTCTGGAATAAGTTTTGACAGCTATAATGAATTAAAAAAGACAAGATTATAGTACTAATATAATTCAATACACAGCATCATAACACATTTTTTAAATTCTCCTTGACAGCATGAAGCTAAGGGACAAATCACAAAAATAATATATAGCAGCTTTTTCAGCACAAATCACATCAAATTAGTGTATCAGAACAGTCGAACAAACAAACAGATACTGTAAACCAAATTATAATGGCGAATATTTAATTTCGTGATTAGATCTTTCTAGCCGATTTTGCATCAAATAATTTTCATGATCTTCTTATTTTGTTGTTGTATTTATATAAGGAAGATCCATGTTTTACTGATTTGTGACGATAAACATTCATGTTCTTTTTCTACTCGAGAAAGTAACAAAAATCAAAGTGCTTGTTTTGGCCTAAGTCGTTTGGGTCATATACCAGTTAGGCCATAATAAAATTCACAGTTTTCTTTTTATTCAACCCGACAGTATATCAATGTTTATGCTCTCATTTTTTTTTTAAATTACATCTTAGTATTTGATAATTTTCCAAACATTATTTTTAATGCTGTTTCATATGCATGATATGTAAGAATGTACAAATTGAAAAGGTAACAGTCTGAATGTACATCCATTTACTACAAGAGTCCTCATGATAATCATGAAGCAGGGCACCCAAATAGTATCTGTCCACAAGTACCTGTGGAATCCATAAGCATTTTTATATGTTGTCAATCCCTGCAAAGTACCAGAGTCATCAGACCTTCCTGATTCTAACTACTTAGGCTCAAACTTCAATAGAATGTGATTGTGTCTCACTGAACATTTAAATACAAGCATTGTGAACTCTGGTTGTTTCTTGTTAATTGTAAGAAAATTTCTAGTGCTTTGTCTGTTGCCAGTTCAATCTTTCTTGTATTGTTACCTGTTATCTCTTATACCATTATTTAAGGTTAAGGGCATTTCCTGTACTGATTTTTATTGTATGCTCTTTTCTGTGTGTTTTGTTAGCAAACTGATCCAGATTAAGAAGAGGGGGAGGGTTAAGATCTACATAAAAAACACACCAAATTCAATTATTAAAAGCTAGCAAAAAGAAATCTACCTGCTATGAAATTCTCCCAACACTGTGCATTGTATTTATTCTCAGCCTGAATGGCTAATCACATATACTGTGGATTCATTTATTTTCGTGGGTACTAATTTTCGTGGATAAAGGAACACTTGCATTTTCGTGGATATTTAATTTCATGGTTTTGCTAAAGTCCCCAAACAAACTAACAGATAATGTGGCATTCGTTGAACATTTAAATTTGTGGTCACCCATACCCATGAAATCAACGAAAATTGTTATCACACGAATATTAATGAATCCACAGTATATATACATGTAGGGGCCTTGGTGGTCTATGTAGTTCATCTGCAGTGATCAAAAGCATGTCAACTCTGAAGATATGAGATTGAACCCCACTCCTGGCAGGTTCTGTTTGATTCAGATTTCAATTGACAAGGATTGCAAGTTTTTCTTGCCAAAGGTTGGTAGTTCTGCTCGGTACCCATCTTACTCCACAAATCTTATCTGACCACCATGGTATAACCAACTTCAATGAAAGTGGTGTTAAGGTTCATCATAACAAATGGACAAATATGGCCGTATTTTCACCTCAAAAACTACTCTGTGTACAGACTTACCTGTAGAGTTTGCAAAGTTTTAAGGCCTGGCATCCACTAGATATATAAAAGTTAAATTTATTTTGCATATCAGAAAGATAAAATCATTTTTGGATTTTGATGGGCATTTTTTTTCCTTTCTGCAGAAGATGTAAAAATAAACAAAGACCTGAGTTGCATTTGATATGGTCCACTCAATTCCTACCTTTAACTCACCTATAGATGTGTAGATATCTATTGTCCATGCCAATCAAGGACAATCAATACAATACAAACCAGTTGTTACCTGAGAGGGAGCATCTCAAAATTGTTTCCCAACTTAGTTAATTTTAACACCTTCTGCAGGAACGAAAAAAAATGCCCATCATAATCCAAACAAGATTTCATCTTTCTGATATGCAAAATAATTTTAACTTTTATATATCAAGTGGATGCCAGGCCTTAAAACTTTCCAAACTGTACAGGTAAGTCTGTACATAGAGTAGTTATTGAGGTGAAAATACGGCCATATTTGTCCATTTGTTATGATGAACCTTAAACAACAACAAAGAAATAGGCTAATCATTTATATTAAAAAGATATGCAGTAACCTTGTATTTGTTAATTCTTTCATAATCTATGATACAATTGAAAATTGTCACAATATGACATGGAATGGAAGTAAAAAAGGCCATTAAACCAATCAACTGATCAATGCCAAACATGTATAGGCGACATGATGGGCGAATTGGTTTATGGCTAAACCCTTTTGGGATTTCGCGTCCAGAGTGATTTTCAGATTTTGCCATCCTTAGTATAAATATTATTTCTGTCATGTTTTTTCTTAAGGTTCATCATAACAAATGGATAAATATGACCGTATTTTCACCTCAAAAACAACTCTGTGTACAGACTTACCTGCACAGTTTGGAAAGTTTTAAGGCCTGGCATCCACTAGATATATAAAAGTTAAAATTATTTTGCATATCAGAAAGATGAAATCTTGTTTGGATTATGATGGGCATTTTTTTTCGTTCCTGCAGAAGGTGTAAAAATTAACTAAGTTGGGGAAACAACTTTGAGATGCTCCCTCTCAGGTAACAACTGGTTTATATTGTATTGATTGACCTTGATTGGCATGGACAATAGATATCTACACATCTATAGGTGAGTTAAAGGTAAGAATGGAGTGGACCGTATCAAATGCAACTCAGGTGTTTGTTTATTTTTATATCTTCTGCAGGAAGGAAAAAAAATGCCCATCAAAATCCAAAAACCATTTTATCTTTCTGATATGCAAAATAAATTTAACTTTTATATATCTAGTGGATGCCAGGCCTTAAAACTTTCCAAACTGTACAGGTAAGTCTGTACACAGAGTAGTTTTTGAGGTGAAAATACGGCCATATTTGTCCATTTGTTATGATGAACCTTAAGGCAATAAACCTTGATTATGGATTAATTCTGAATATTTTTCTTACTATATGATCTAGTTGCATGCAAGTGACATCCTTTTCTCTGCCAAATCTCAAAACAAGAACCACATCTTCTGTTTTCCTAATGACTTCATCAACCTCCTGTTTTGTCAATAGCTGAGGAATAATAAAACTCATTTCACATCTCTACTTTCTGTTTCTTCTTTCGTTTTATAATCAGTCACTTATATCAATGAAAAAAAAATGTTGTTTTTTTTTAAATTCGTTAATTATAATTAGATGAATCATGATAATTTTTTTCGGGTAAAAGATTAATTATATAAAAAATAATAACCAAATAAAATATATTATCTATTAATCATTTTAAAATAGGAAACGTTATAAATTGTATATTCGGAAATACATATCCAACCGACCACAGCTAAATTTAGAATCTTGTACTTCCTGTTTACAAAATTAAACTAGAAAATTTCAAAATACACCTTAAAAAAAAAATACGCGATGGCATACCCAACAGGACAACAATTTCAGGCCGGCTCATCAGCAGTTCCATCATCTCAAGTAGAAATCAGTGTTTCATGCAGGTAATCATGGTAATGAAGGTTATTGGTAAGGAAAAAGGACACATTTTGGACATAAACATATATGGAAGTTTTTATATACTTTCCCATTTTCTACGGCTTTTGTCCAGCTCTGTTGAAAGTTTCAGAATAAAATTATGTTGAACCAACTATCAGTTGTTATGCTAAACATACATGCCAATTGCTTGCAATATACGTAAAAATCTGTTCTGGAGCAAGATGCTTAGAAGGGCGTGGTACCAAAATACATAAAAATACTCATATCAGTCCTTTCATTAATTTTAGGGGCTGTTTCAAAGGCAGTTGCTGCCTTTGTTACTGTGAAGAAATTGCCATTTTTGTCACTTACCGTGGTCAAAAGGTCATCATACCAAACTGGTCAAACCAATATCATGCATTCCAGTTAAATAAAATGATATAAGTTTTTAGTTTTGAGCTATATCAGAATACTCTATTTAACACCGTTATTAGCCAAATGTTTGATAAATGTCAAGGTGACTGGTGTGAAACTCAAACAAAATTTCCATGATTTGCTGTAATAAACATGTCAGGAAATGTACTTTGACCATTTCTATACTTACATTTGTACATGTAATATTTATTTACATCCTTATATAATATAACACTTATACCACTTAATGACAGAACTAGAGTGGTATCGGGTCCGTTCGCGCCCAATACACGTTTGCACCCTACATGTTCGCACCCCACATGTTCACCCCCTGGGTCCGTTCGCACCCTTCTCGTTTGCACCCTTTTTATTTATTCAAATACCTGATGAATTATATATTAGATGTTTTTTTTTAGATATTTTAATATACAAATGTATCAAAATATCTTTATTTTCATAAATAAAAATTCAGAAATTTTAAAATGAAAAATTTTTTTAAATTGATTTGATGATTAATTATTATATGTTAATTATGTTTGATTACTGTTAATATGGTGTTTACACAGCTAAACTTGGTGTTATTGATATGTGTTTGAAAATCATGATTGTTGTTTTAACTAGCTTTGATGTAAATTCAGCATGTAGTTAGCATGTACATGTACATTTGTATTTAGCTTGGTATGAGTAAAAACAATGAAGATTCAAAATGTTATTGTTGTTGAGTTTAATAGCGGATTGGTATTTCAACATCAAAAAAATATTCATCACAAAAAAACTTTTAAGAAAGTCACTTTATTTTGAAACAATGAAAACTTTTTATAACAATATTACACTAACCAAAACACGATTAAAAATATATTCAACACAAAAAAACGTCATTTTATATTGAAACAATGAAAAAAAACTTATTTATAGCAATACAATAACCAAAACTTAGCAATGCAATAACCAAAACTAGATTAAAAAATTATTCAACACAAATTCGTTTTTAGAAAGTCACCTCATTTTGAAACAATGAACAAAAAAAAATATTTATAGCAATACACTAACCAAAAAACCATTGAAAAATTATTTAACACAAAACCAATAAAAAGGGTATGAAAGTGGGTGAACATGTTTTTGGGCGAACGGACCTGGATTCATGAGTATTGTAGCTTTTCCTTCTTCTGACATCATCACCTGGATCAATCTTGACAATACAATGTATAAATGTATATATACCACTGAGGGTGGAAAAAAAACATCAAAAGTAGTCAATGCTACAGCTACAGTTTTATTGAGTCTACAAGAGCTGTTTTTTTCTTCTTTCTTCATTATGCAATACTCTTTTTCAGGGGTTTGAGAGATTGTGATGTGCTGTCAAAGTCAGATCCAATGGTTGTGGTATTTAGTAAAGATCTAAAATCTGATCAGTACTATGAAGTAAGTTTGTTATGATTGATACTCACAGTATAAAAGTAACAGTATTGGCAAATATTTTTTATCAAAGTCATGACTAAATATTAAAAAAAAAACAATACATGTGAAATACAGCACTGTGTCAAAGATTGCTTACCATAAGCATAACAAATAAGCAAATTTGAAATAATATTTCTGTTGCTATGAAATCATACCATCTATCATTCTTATTCTGGCCATTATTTCTTTCAATATTGATTTGATAGTTTTCATATGTCAAAATCAAGAAAAGTGTAAGAAAAGCATGAGAGATCAATAGTAAATACTGGTAATATATATATTTATTTTCCAAAATAAGATAATACATGTATATGGTTTGCTGTTAAATTATTTTGCCTTGATATACATGACCTCACTTTTCAATGTATCAACTTTTGCTCATGGTTAGTTTTTAGTGCATTAATAACAGGAAGAAATGCTGATTTTGTTATTTTAAACTATCCCCAAAAAAAATTCAATGGAAAATTTTTTGAGAGCGAACTTCATTGTATTTTGTGTTTTTCTATCCATTTCAGTTTGGAAGATCAGAGGTTATTCAGGATAACTTGAATCCAGATTTTGTGAAGAAGTTTGTGATGAATTATTTTTTTGAGGAAAGTCAAAAACTAAAGTTTGAAGTGTAAGAAAATATTCATGTTGTCCCAGTAAGCTGGTTAAGGAGAGCTGTGGGAGGGTTTCATGTAGTCCCAATGTATAATTTATTAAAAAGAAATAATGGGTGTTTGGTTTTTCGATGAAACAGTTTTGTAGAAGATGTCCCCAATTATTTGTTTAATTTGATTATTATACATGTCTACTACAAACATTTTTTTTTATACAAACAAAACAAACACCAATCAATCAGTCACCAAAACAAACATGGATTGCTCATCATCTATTAACATCTGATTTCTGTACATGGCATAGTATTGGTAACTTTTTATAGATAATGGATATACATTTCTTGATTAATGACTTCAGGAACCATTTCTACTTCTATCACTTTGGAACTTTGTTAAATGAAAAATATTTTTGGTGTAATTTTAAATACATTTGATTTGTATAGTAGATGTATTGGTTTTCTTTTCACAGAAAATGGATGTTGACTAGAAAAATAAATATACAACAAAATTCCAAAAAAAATGAAGTAAGACAATGCAAAATGAGACAAAATGAAATAGAAAAACCTTGTGAATGAAATTTTTAATCTAAATGTCTATGTCTAAAATTAATTTAGAAATTTATTCCCCAAAATATTATTTTTTTGCACTGTAAAATGAATGGCCATACTAAACATTGTTGTCAAAATCTGTATGATAGGTACATTTACTTCCTCCAAAAGGAAGTATATGAAATTCAGGGATTGCAATGGGCTGTTCGTTTGTCTGTTGTACTTTATAGTGCTACATAAATAGATGAGGTTAACTTGCAAAATACAATCTTATATTATTTTGACAATTCTAGTTAATACTGGAGTAAGCTACCTCCATTTTGGCAGTATATACTCAGAGCTTTGTGAGCTTTCATAATCCTAATAATGAGACATGAAGTAACCAGCAATAAATCAGTATAAATCATTGATATATATTGTAAAAAAATACTTGGTGTATACATTTATGAAATTTTCATTCTTTGTAGATATGATGTAGATTCTAAAACAGCTAGACTAGATGCACATGTAAGTTTTAAAAAAATTATGAACACTTTGGAAAATACATTTGACAGTTGTTACATAAAGCTCAAATCTTACCTGCAATGATTCGGGCTATGTATGCATCAAATATTTGACACTGAACATTAAGCAAGTGACAATCAATATCAACATAGTTAATGAAATTTAACAATTTCAATTTATTATCTATAATAATAGCAGTAGTGTTTGATATGGAAAATAGACCAGTTTCACATAAGCGACTTATCAATGCTGATCTAGAAATCCTATGCGCATTTGAGTTTAAATCCCACGATAATTAACGATATCATACGTGACAGGGGGCTACATCAAATTGACTCTGATATTTAGCAACACAATAATAAATCAACTGATAATACACATCTCTCTCTCATGGTGTATGCTTGAGATTATTTAAGTTTAAGATATTAATAATCGTTTATTTGATTTACAAATTTAAAATAAAAAAGATGTGGTATGATTGCAAACGAGACAACTATCCACCAGACCCAAATGACAGATGAAAGCAACTATATATCACCATACAGCCATCGACAATGAAAAAATCCATACCGAATAGTAAGCTCTAAAAGGTACCAACACAAAACAATTCAAACCAGAAAATAAGTCATCTTGTTGCTAACAGTTGTGTTTTAATATTAGTAAAATGGTTTTTAAAAAAGTATCAATCTTGTAATTGCTTTCTTTTGCCTACTGTGCTATGTACATTGCAGTATATCAGTTTGATTTTTCTTGAAAAGAAAAAAGTATTTGATAAAAATAAAATACATTTAATTTCAGTTCTGTTCCAGTATCAATTCGCAGTTTTTCTGAAATATTTTTTTGCATCTTCGGCTTGTGACATGCATGTAAAGGGGTTACGGCCTACATATAGGTTTAGTATCATAGATTCGAACTTTTAATTTTCTTTAAAAAAAAACAGGTTAATATTATGGTGACTTTCAAGTGAAATTTTATGGGTACAAGGACAAGTTAACGGCATTACTAAATAATCGAAATTTCCACTAATAGTAGTATGGAAGTGTAAACCAAAATTGATAGAACTTGTCCTTATATCCTTTGTCAAAGATGTAGTATATATTGTGATATGTTAAAAATATGAAAAACACAATGATAGGTCACCGAGAATCGTTTTTAAGCTACAGACTGTAAAAATATGAAACATTTTGTATGGACTATACAGAGAAAATTTTAAGGTATCATTATATGAATATTTGAAGGTAAAATGAATGATAGAATTTCAAAATAAAATGGTGGAAGATATAGCTCTTATAAAATGCTTTCAGAATACCAACAGAAAAATTGACATGTAGTAGACAGGGCCTCGGCTCCGTGTTGAAGACCGTACTGTGACCTATAATTGATAACTTCTTATACATTGTGACTTGGATTGAGAGTTGTCTCATTGGCACTCATACCACATCCTCTTATTTGGATGTACATTTGTTTCAAATATTTCTGCGTCAGTGATATTTTAAACGGCCATGATAATGAAGAGAGATATAAAAGCAGTTTTAAAATACGTATCAGAAATACAGGTTTATCTTTAATTTCAAACATCAGACTATAGCACAATGCATTCAATACCATTTTAATTTCTAAGCTATGTTCATGATCGACTTCGTCTATGCAGAGCTTCAGTCCCAGCAACCAGAGTAATTTTCTACATATTTTCAACTTTATCATTTTTCATGCCATTAAAATTAATTGAGTATCCTATATTTACCACGCTTTGCCATAAAAAAAGATCAAATTGCTGAATGACCACCCTCCTAATTTATTAAAATATTCCCAGTGGCATTAAGGTCCGTACTGGCCATGATTAATAAGTATAAATTAGGTACTAGGGTTAACATTTTAAATATCTGTATAAGGGGATGACCATTTGATTTTTAGGGGGGAGGTTTAGAAAATTATTATTCTAGTAGGAGTTAAAAAATAAATAAGTATGACCAGGCAGGATGGAAAAGAATAATCTGCAGGATGCAGGAAATAATTGTGTACAAAAGTTGAATAAATCAATCAAATAGTCGCCCTTTATCAGTAACTATGTATAGATAAGGGTACGTTTTTATCAGTTGTCACCTGGTGAGATTGTACAAGGTAAAACGAGGATTCCATATGGCTAAAGTGTTAATTGACTTCTTAATTTATGACCTAATACTATGTAGATGAAGTGAGCCCCGCTTATTTATATAATTTATTCTTCTCGTTAAGTGAACGACCTCAGGGTGAATTTGTGACAATTAAAGGTACAATTAAAACCAGGCGGCATATCAGATCGTATATTACCGCAACCAACAACACAGCAGTAGTCTGTTTTAAAATCTTTAAATGTGTCATTGTTAATAAAGTTGTCTCGTCAATATAATTTTTATATTTTGATTCAAATGATGCTCATGTTGCTTTGACATGTAAATGCAAACATTTAATCAGATGATTTTTTTTCCATGTCTGCATGGTCACTGCTTATCAACCGTTAGCCCCAGTTGATGAACTCTATGAAATTATCGCATGATTTCATAGTTTGGCTAATTAGATTAGACATGCGCAGTTAAATGTGAAACTGGTGTATTTAGTTCAACACTCAGAATTGCAAAGCAACTGATATATTAAGGGCATGTTGAAAACCAGATGGCACAACAAAATCTACTGTTAACTCATTTATTAAAACCATATTTTGATTATAGTTTCAATTAATTCTTAGTTGTAACATTTTTTCCCCAATTGTGAATAATACTAAAAGCCTTCCGGCTTTTTCATATAATGCTACTCATCCCTCTCATCAGAGATGCTTGGATGAGGATGCAATTTGGGTCAATATATTAATATGATAATATGATAATATGTAGGGCATTACATTAGAGATTGTTTGAAAGGTTAATTATGCTGAACTAAACAAAACTTGGCAAGTGGAGGTTACAATAATGATGTCATTTATTTTTAGGATTTTATTGGAAGATTAGAAGTGACATTGGGAGAAATTGTTGGATCACCAAATGGTGTTATGAAGAGACCACTTAAGTGAGCAATACAATGTTAATTTACTATAACTAGTTGCACCAAAGAACATATGTGTTACTATACTTAAACGGTGTAGTCATTACCTAACAATAAGTTTTCTTATAAGGTCTATTTCATATAATGTTACATTAGTATTTATGCATCTCAAATGTATACAACATATCATTGAGACTGCCATTTAATATACTGTGGATTCATTATTATTCGTTGGATACCAATTTTCGTGGGTTTCGTGGGTACAGGTGAACCACGAATTCAAATGTTCAATGAATTACAAATGTTAACTTGGCTTTGTATGCAGAGATTGGCAAAACCACGAAATCAAATATCCAAGAAAATGTAAGTGTTCCTCAATCCACGAAAATTGATACCCACTAAAATAAATGAATCCACAGTAGTTGTATGTAAGTGATTTGGAAAGGACTTGCATTGATGTAAGTTTACTTATTTGGTGTATTTATTAAGAGGAACTCTAATATTTGGTATGTGGTCCCATTTCAATCTCTGCATTGCGATTTCAAACATAATATATGCCCTATTTGTCATACTAAGTAGTGTTTTGGTATTCTTGAAATATTGTTCTCTTCCTAAATTGCTAAAAATTATGTAAAACAGTAAACATAAAAGTCAAATAAATATAAATTAAAAAGGTTTGAATATCCTGTGACAAAATTGTATTGCTCCTTTAATAAGATAACACAGATTAGAATAGGACATGCTATGGTACTGATTTAAATAGTTACTACTGAAACACATATTTACCTATTGAAACATTTTCCTATTTTGCATGTAAAGAGAATCTGTTTAGAAAAAAACTGTTGTCTCAGAACACAAGAGCACATTTAAGAATAGTCAGACCTTAATATTTCTTGTAATTTTAGTTATTGAAATATATCATTCATATTTTATAGGGGACCAGTAGCAAAGAATGGAGACATTATCAGTAAGTAGATTTATTATTGTGATTTTAAATTACATGTCACAAATAATTTATGTGTATGAGTAACTTGTTTGTTATCCATTCTGTAAGTGAGGCATGTTTCAGGATTTTTTATTAGCATTTTATCATGATTATCAGTATTTATTCAGACTGTATATTATGTTACCAGCAATGATTTGCTTTTTATACCATCTTACAATGATTAAGACTGTGTAGCATGTTACCCCCAATGATTCAGTTTGTGTAGCATGTGACCACCAATGATTCAATCTGTGAAGCAGGTTAAAACTAATGATTCAGTTTGTGTAGCATGTTACTAGCAATCATTCAGTCTGTGTAGCATGTTACCCCCAATGATTATGTCTGTGTAGCATGTAACCCCCAATGATTCAGTCTGTGTAGCATGTTACCACCAATGATTCAGTATTGTAGCATGTTACCCCAATGATTCAGTCTGTGTAGCATGTTACCACCAATGATTCAGTATTGTAGCATGTTACCCCAATGATTCAGTCTGTGTAGCATGTTACCACCAATGATTTAGTCTGTGTAGCATGTTACCATCAATGATTCAGTCTGTGTAGCATGTTACCACTAATGATTTAGTCTGTGTAGCATGTTACCATCAATGATTCAGTCTGTGTAGCATGTTACCACCAATGATTCAGTCTGTGTAGCATGTTACCCTCAATGATCCACTGGTCAGGTTTAATTTGTGTGATTTAGTTCTATATCTCAAAAATGTAAATGATAAGTTAATGATATTTTATGAATTATAAGAAGTATGTGTGCAATTGACAGGTTTCATTTGACCATTATCTCAGTCTCAGTGTTTGTGATTTAAATATTTCAGTAGTTACACAGACATTTTAAGCATCAAAAATACAACAGAAATGTTGAGAAACATTATTGCAGTAATGAACATGTAAAAGCCTTTACTAGTAATAAGTTATGGCAAATGTGGGTTTTTTTTTTTTTGGGGGGGGGGGGGTTCTTTTCAGGTCTGGTAAACTCGACAGAACATGAAATGCCATGATTAAACTCTCTGTAAGTGGGTTTATTTTCGTGGAGTTTAAATTTTACTGTTGCTAGGACCAAACCTGTTCTCAAGGTTTCATTTTCATATTTTTCTTATCCCTGATTCTGATCTTCCATAATCATAAAATTTACCAAAAGGGGTTATTTTTGGCAATTTATCCTTAATCTGGAAATAAATGGGGGAAAAAACTTTGCTAAAATTTTCAACTTGACAGTACATGTGCTATTGGGTTTTTATGCCCCACCGTCACCGGAGTGGGCATTAAGTGTTACCCTTGTCTGTTTGTCCATCCGTACGTACATCCCAAAATTCGTTTCTGTTCTCTAACTTTAGTTTGCCTCAACCAAATGTTATGAAAATTATAATAAAAAAAATGCTTATTGCCACAAAATACAGATCAAGTTCAAATTTGGGTGGCGTCACTATTACCATTCATAATTTATGCCCATTTATAAGGTTCCATGCAAGCAGGGGCATCATCTGTGTCCCATGAACATATTCTTCATTTATTTATTTTTTATTTTCAGTTCGAGCAGAAGAAATGAGCAACTGCAAAGTGAGTTTTAGCATATAGGATATTCATAAAAATGCTGTGTAGACTCTGGCAAATTGACAGCCATAAATCTTATGAAATTATCTATAGTTTGGAAAAATGATATTTGCATGCAAGCAACAGGATATAAACAAGAAAGCAAAAATGGGCATTGTGTCCTTACTGTAGGTATCAGAGCTGCAGGAATTAGACAAGGTATCATCAATGTTGCTGTTATATTTGATACATGTTGTAGATTAAACAAGGTTATTGCACTAATATTGAGGAATATTGTCCCTTGCAGTATATCATATTGCACTTGCAAGCACTTGTATTGTAATATACTGCTGTGGACAATATTCCTCAATGTTAGTGCAATTACCCCATAATATTGTCAATATCAGATCTACTAATTGACATAATGTTAGTTATTGTTTAACACAGAATGACTGGATGAAAGAGAAATACTGATGACAGTGCATACATTAACTTACTTCCAAAATAGTTTTTATTAGCTTTTTCTGGTCATAGCACACATACCGAACATACATTTGATAAGAAGTATGTGCTTTCTATTGACAAGTTTTATATATTGCAAATCTGTTGAATTTTACAGGAAATCATCACACTACAGTTTAAAGCTAACAAATTAGATAAAAAAGATTTCTTTGGAAAATCGGACCCCTACTTAGAATTTCAAAGATCAAATGAAGATGGCAGGTATGGTTTTAGTTAGATAAGAATATTACGGTAGTCTTGTAATGATCCATTTGATTTTGAATGTAATGCAATTGAAATGAGTCATTTGAAAAATTATCTAAAAGTTATTTTTAATGTTAATTAAATGTAAATGTGTTTCCGCTATTAACCTGACTGACCCTAATTTTTATGGACTACCGGTACCTGAAAGATTTTTTTTTCTATTATACACCTTCTTTCTGATCCTAATTTTTGTTCAGCATGCTAGTGGAAACACAGGTATTATTTTATTTGCCTTATTAATAGAATTTTAAAAGGTAGTCATGCATAAAAATTATTCCTGTATGTCTTTTTCAGATGTTTAATGTATAATTTGAATGACCCTTACCAGTAAAAATGTACTATTTCATACTGTAGTCTCCTTTTAATGCTCATTTAAATTTGATATTCACAGGACACAATTTATATAAAATGATGTATTCAAAACTATATTCACAACTTTTCTTTGTTTTACAGTATAAATTTTCTAACAGAAAAATTCTTTTAACTGATTTTTAGTATGCATAAGGAGGCTGTTAGCTCAGAACAATTTGTTTTTCTTGTAATATGTTGGTACTTTAATCTACTGTTGTAGTTTCACTGTTGTTCATCGTACAGAGGTTATTAAAAACTCATTAAACCCAACATGGCAGCCATTTACTGTACCAGTGAAGACATTATGTAATGGAGACCATGCAAGGTATGCATTTTTGGTTTCTTTCATTATAGAGAAATTGTCAGTTGTTTGCAAGACATCTATTCTTCATAAGTTATTAACATTTTAATTTTAGAATTATTCTAAATTCTACAGGTGATAATTTTAGAATTTTAGAATTTTACATCCAAAAACATTTTTATTTATGGCTATGGTACTACAATTATGTATGAAGAACTATGAAAAATGTATAAAGTTGTTTAAAAAAGTGGCAGTAAAATTTATAAATTGAAACATCATGGCAAAAGAGAAAAAGTGACGAAAAGACAAACAAGAGCCTATAAAACACTACGTAGAAAATGAAAGACTAAACATGAACCAATTAAAAAAACTTAGTGTTCTCCGGTGCTCATGTTCATAAACTGAACTGTCTAAGTTGATGCAAAAGTTAAAATGAGACCACTAACGCGTCCAAAAATGGTGCCAATGAAATTATGTCAGTTTTTGATTCAGAAATATATGTTAGAAATATGTATAGATAGGCAATCATTTTAATAAAAGATTTACAGCAGGACTGTGCAATTGCTGTATTTCCTGTAAATGCATTTGTTTAATTGTTCCTTTGATATCTTTCCAGGGTAATCAAGGTTGTATGTAATGACTGGAACAGTGATGGCAGGTAAATAAAGTCACTATATTGTAACAAATATAGCATTTGAAAGGTCTTCTGCCATAGTTTTTGAATATGTATGTTACTAAAAGTTGAGATTGGGCTTTTCAAGATATTTACATATAAATTTCAAAAGGTTATTGGGTCTAGAACAAATTAGAAAATAGTATTTGGAAAACATTTCTATGAATTCTTTTATCAAAGAAAATCTCCCCCACTCCCTCATTATTTTTTTTCTGTAACAGCTGTTTCACATTTCAGAAATCATTTTTATTCTACCAATGTTTCAACATATATTTAAGTTATTCAAAGTCTATATCCTTCCAAACATATGAGATAAACAGCACATTAAAATGAAACATATTGTTCATCCCCTTGGAACATACTTTTGTTTTACATGCTTTACTCCACAAATAAGCAGAGTATTGAAAAACAAGCCTGTGTAAATATTCCAAAGAGACTGAATTTAATGATAACCTAAAATACATGAAAACCTCTAGCTTAGAATGAATAAAATCATAAGATACCCAATGTCCCTTTTGGAATTTATGAACATAGTTTCAACTTTTGAAAAATTACCACAAATCTGAATAAATGACAGTGTGTCTGATGAAACTTTTGTGATTAAAGATTTATATTAGCCTCTGTGTAATGGAAGAAATCTTTAATCAGCTTAATAACTGTCTTCTGGAAGCAGCCATGTTTTTTTTATGTATGAATATATTTCTTCTTTACAGTGTTGATCTGATTGGAGAATTTACCACAACAATAAGCGAAATCAGTAGAGGACCAGGATCCAGTAATCAGTATAGTGTAGGTACTAATAATTGATAATAGTAGGAAATTGAAATTGTTCATAAGTTGTACAGAAAAAAAATGACGTAAAAATCCACAAAGGCTGTTATATATTTTCATACCAGGCTACGGCTAAACAGTATGTAAGTTCAAAATATATGAAGAGTTAGATGCATGATAGATATTTGAATATAGAGTTTATCCCCTACCCCTGCTTGCATTTTGATTTGAAAAAAAAGTTTTTTTCTTGGCACAAAATGTCATAAACAATTGTCTTCTTAAAATTGGAGATAACTGTATTGTATTTTAAGCTTGGTCTTCGTGAAGCGTAGATTTTCCTGTCGCAAATTGAGTTTACCTAGCGTTGTGTATGCAATACAGTTATCTCCATTCTAATGCCACATATTAAAATAAATTTCATTTTAGTAAATATTTTGGCTTTAAAATGCCATAAATGAAAAAGGCCATGAAAATGTTACATTTTCTTTGGCATCTAAACAATGTGACGTCATAAGTATACTCCCAATGACAAGCATAAATACTAGATGTATTTATACTTTGCGTATGCTTCTGAATAGTTTAAATATTGACAAAAAGAAGATTTTTAGGCACAAAATGTGATTTTTTTTGTTTGTTTTTTGAGAAATTACATTTAAAAAAAATGGTGGCTTTCCTTAGTTACAGACTGGTAGAATGTGGAATCTAACCCTTCAAAATATTTGTCAACATCCAATGAAAATTATCATTCCAAAAACGAATTGCATTAGAATTAAAGACAAATAAGCCCCCTTTCCTCACAAACTGGATCCTTCCCTGATTATATACCACTGAAATTTACCAAATGTTCAAAAGTTTACAGAAGCTGTGTTATATATATTCCTAACTTACATTCTGGATTTTTTTTTTTGCAATTTCCAGTATATATTTTTTTACATGTTATTTAAAAAAACAAATTTTTGTGAAAATGTGCTGTCTTTAATAGGTAATTACTGTCATTAACGTCTGTGGTTGTCCTGTATTTATTGACATCTATAAATGTATTCACTGGGTATAAAGAAGTTCTTTTGTTTCTTGTTTTGTTATTTTCTGTTATTTAATGTGTATGCAATAACAGTTACTATAGTCATTTTTCAGTTTTGTTCACTTTTTTGACAGCTTGTAAATCCCAAAAAGAAAGAAAAAAAGAAAAAGTATGTAGACTCGGGACAGGTATGTAGAAACAATATTGATATCATATCTTTGGTTATTTGCCAGTGATCAATTTAACTTTTTGAATTTGCTACATGGAATTTTAGGAAAAAATTCTGATAGCTGCTAAAATTGAAACGTTCAGGCAGACAGAAGGTACAACAACTGTAAATTCAGAATTTAATGTGTGCATCTATTATTGCCAATCTTTGACAACTACAATAATGTGAGAATTGATAAAATTCCTGTACATGTTGTAATAGACAATTAGTAGCAAGAATTAAAATAAGTGTTTTGATTATTATCCATAAGAAAAGTATAATTCCATGATGTAGAATAAGAACCTTACCATTGAATGTGGTTTACACAGTTGTTTATTATGTTGATAGACACTAAAATTGATAATTAATATTTTTTTAAAGATAATTATTGGTATATACAATCAAAATTCTTAAGATATATAGATCACTATTATTTTAGATAGGGTTAAAAATTGAAACTATTTTCTTTAAATTTTCATCATTCTATGGCAATTAAAACAAAACTTTAATGATAGGCTTTGATAATTTAGATAGTATTAGTATGCTGTATCATCTGAAGATGATTATTTAAGAAATGAATGCTTCTTGTTGTAATTTTATTGAAGTGTAAAAGTGTTGACCCAAGCACATTTTGTATAAAGCGCAAAAGCGCTTCAATTTTAAAAATGTGTGCACGATCAACACTTTTACACCCCAATAAAATTACAAAAAGAAGCATTCATTTCTTATTATAACATAAGACCATGAAAAAAAGATTTATTAAGGTTTTTCTTTTTTATTTACCTGTGCACTTTTTTGTGGAAGCACGTGTCATCACGAATGTAACATTTCATTTTGATATGAAGGTCAATTTTTGCATGGCACGCGATTGTTGTTAGCAAATCAAACTAACAGATTCTCGTAAAACATACATGTAATGTAATTATATGATATTAAAATTAAACTTGACTGCATAAAATCATGAAAAAACCCACAATTTTGTTAGTTGGATATTGAATTTTCTTCTTTTAGGTGTATCTAATGTCAAACAGTATAGAATATCAACATACATTTTTAGACTACATCCAGACAGGGTAAGACCAAAATGTACAATATTTTTAAACTTTGCTTACAGAAATATTTCATTAAAGAAATAGGAAGAAAGGTACATGTATATCTTTTGTAGACAACTTCAAAGAAATTTCTACAAAGGAAAAAAGGAATTATATTAAAGACTTGAGTAAAGATCATAAGTCTAATGAAATTTTCATGTCAGAACATTGGCAAAAAATGACTGAAATCTGTAAATAAAGGACAAAGAAAACATGTCAAATTTGACATATTTGACCTAAGCTAGCAATTTTTCTCAAAGTTTTTTGAAAAATTACGTATGAGCCAAAGCCCAAAAAAGATTCTGACCCATGTTATTGTCTTTGTATAAGATAGTTTAAAGCAATATATATCTTTTGCGGTAAGACTTGGGCTCATATCTAAATACATGTAGTAATGACAAGATTTAACAATGAGGCTTTTTTTTGCAGTTTTGCATTAGGTGCAGGAAGTTTGAATCTTTAATCCAAATATATACTTAATGTATGTTTAGTTTTTTAGCTCACCGGGGCCCTTCGGGCTTATGCTATCACTTGGCGTCCGTCGTCTGTCCTTGTCTACGTAAACTATTTCAAGAATCTTCTCCTCTGAAACTAATGAGCCAAATACCTTCAAACTTTAACTGAATGTTCCTTAGGGTATCTAGTTTATAAATTGTATCCGAAGTTTTGATCCATCAACAAACATGGCCGCCATGGCTAAAAATAGAACATTGGGGTTAAATGCTGTTTTTGGCTTATATCTCAAAAAGAAAAGAATTTAAAGCAAATCTGACTGGGGTAAAAATGTTCAATAGGTCAAGATCTATCAGCCCTGAAATTTTCAGACGAACCGAACAACCCATTGTTGGGTTGCTGCCACAAAATGTAATTTTAAGGAAATATTGCAGTTTTTGGTTATTATCTTAAATATTATTGAAGATAAAGATAAACTGTAAACAGCAAAAATGTTCAGCAAAGTAAGATCTACGAAAAAGTTAATATGACCAAAATTGACCCCTTATGGAGTTATTACCCTTTAAAGACAATTTCACACAATTTGTTCATCATGTTTGCTAACATTTAAATATCATCTCTGAAACTACTGGGTCTAATACTTCTAAACTTTAACTGAATGTTCCTTAGGGTAACTGGTTTAAAAATTGTATCCAAAGTTTTGATCCATTAACAAAAATGGCTAAAAATAGAACATAGGGGTCAAATGCAGTTTTTGGCTTTTATCTCAAAAACTAAAGCAGTTAGAGCAAAAGTGACATGGAGTTACAGTGATGAATAAGTCAAAATCTATCTGCTATGAAATTTTCAAACCAATTGGAACACCCATTGTAGGGTTTCTGTCCGAAATAGTTTATTTTTATGAAATTTTACTGTTTTTGGTTATAATCTTTAATATTATAATAGATAGAGAGAAAGTGTAAATGGCAAAAATAATCATTGATGAAAGATTTAAGCAAAGAATTACAGGTGAGCAAGTCAGGCTTTGAGAGCCTCTTGTGTTATAAGGATTTAAGTTTTGATCATGTTATGTTCTCTTTTAGCAGCACACAAATGAATTTCACAGTAGCTATAGATTTCACTGCATCCAATGGAAACCCAAGTAATCCATCATCACTACATTATCTTAATCCTTATGGTTCTCCTAATCAGTATTCTGCTGCAATCATGGCTGTAGGGGAGATAATTCAAGACTATGACAGGTATTTACTTTAAAGTTCTATATTGTAATGTTGGCAATACGAGAAAAAAAAATCCTGTTAAGCGAGGATTATTTAATGCACATAACATTGAAATTTCTTAAAAAAAAAACATGACAATAATCACAAAGCAAAAAATAGTTCTTTTTATTACAGTTATTCATAAAGTTGGTGTAAATTTATTGATACTTAGTGAAATAATTCGTTCATTATTATCATATAAAAACCTCTAATCTTAATGTTGAAAACAAAATAATATGTTATTTTTGTTTTAATTTGATCAGGCAATGTTGAATTTTAAAACTTAATACTTAATTATTATCCATTAAAAAAAATAATCATGAAAGACAACCACAATGCTTTCATTATTAACATATAGATCCCTAAATAAACTTGTTAAATATCTATTTTTTTAACCTCTACTTTTTGTTGACATTGTTTGATTTCATATAAATAATGCAATTTCAATACATGTCAATGTATTAAAGGGGCATTAGCTGTCAAATTCATGTTTACCGATTTGAATCAAATTCTCATATTTAATTATAACATACTAAAACGTATATCCAGATAATAAAAAGTCTAAAATAAAGTATTTACGATGCACGGTTTCGATAATATGTATCAGCATTTCGTGTGTATTTTAGTCTAGACGCCATCTAATTAATCATCGAGGTGACCTCGGAAGACTGCTGATGGTCATATAACCCGATATAAACATAGATATAAATAGATAGCGAACTCGTGCAATTGGATTTTTCTAGGTCTGTTTGATTTCATATTATAGATTAAAAAAATATGTTAATATTTGTTTTTACCTGTATAAGAATGAGTTTTTGTAGATCGAATCAGTCAACCAAATGGTTTACCCTTTTTTCACTTCCAATGTTGACATTCTTTTCTTTTTAATAGCTGAACATGCCTAGTTCATGCGTAACCCATCTCTAAGTAAGGGGTTCAATTGAAGTTCACATGAACACAGATTTAATGAGGTCGAATTATTCACTTGCAAGTGAATAATTCATTAGTGATGTTTCTTTGCTTATTTTGACAAAACTGTACCAAACTGGCTGCTAAAAGCGAATTATTATATCACTATTTTACTTTCATTAATAATTGAACAAAAAAAATCACATATTTTATTTTTTTCTATATATCGTAGCTAATGCCCCTTTAATTGTTATTTCCCACATAAACACATGGCATTTACACTATTGTTCCCTTTCAGTGATAAATTATTTCCTGCCTTAGGATTTGGTGCTAGAATGAGTGATAATTCTGTTCATCACGACTTTGCTTTGGTAAGATTTATGTTCTATACAGATATCTTAAAACAAAACAAAAAAGATGCTTCTGAAAATTCTTCCAATGCAATATTTAATCATCATTTTGAGTTAATAAGTCATTTTATGTTATGGTATTCAAAATGGAGGTTTTTATATTTAGTATAACTGTTTCTTTTAAAGGATTGCTTTATAGTTTATGTAGTATTGCCCAGTAACTTGTAATGCTGGAAATTTTTTTGTATACCTAAAAAATGTTGATGGTACAAACATCACAGTGATTAGAGATCTGGCATAAAAATAACACTTTAAATATTTTGAAATCCAGGGATGTATAAATACTTGGTAAGCTATATGACCTAAAATGAATATTGAAAACCTTCTAAAGTCAAATTTGCCAGAGGGAGTTGGAACCTTATTTTTCTATCAATTTTTTAATTCTTTTAACGGAAATGTATGCTATAAATCATGACAGTCGCATAGCTTAGACTACTGAGTGACTGATTATCTCTGGGACTAACAGTTTACCAGCAGAGGTATCGACCAAGGGCTAGAAAATGAAAATAACACTATAAGTTTCATGCATCCAAAGCACATCTTAATTTTTGCTTTTATTGTGAACCCAATGATACTTTTCCACAGATTCACCTGCAAGTTACCTGTCGATTTAAACTTTTGTAAGTTCTTTTGTCCCATCTAATAAATACAATAGCTATTGTTCTCTGTGTAGTTTATTTGATGGGACCTTTAAATTTCTTCCAAGAGAAATCTATCCCTCACTGATTAATTTACCTGAACAAAAAAATGAACTGTCAATAATGAAAATACATGTACAAATACTAAATAAGGACTAAAAAAACTGTATGTGGTGTTGTATTTATTCAATATCAATAATTCATTTTTAATAGTTTCAATATAAACACTAATTCAAAAATTAAAAGTTGATTTCTGAACAAAGGAGAAGGCCCAGTAAGACCTCTTTTTGGCCCCAAAATATAGCAGTTTTACAAAATTGTTAAAATGTAAATTTTTAGCTATTTATTGGAAAGAAGAATACTTCTGTTACATAAATATGGGCTGTTTTTGACAATACAATGCACATGTATCGGGTACTAGCATCATTAAGTCATGCTAAATTACTGAAATCTTCGAAATTTTAGCATTTTGGTTAATTTTTAGAAGGTTTCCTTCTGAAATGGAAGTGGCCGCATTTGTGTTCATTCTTAATATTTAAATGTAAGTTGTATTTGATGATAATTCATAACATATATAAAGGTTGAGAATGAACACGGATGCGGCAACTTTCATTTTTGACAAAAACCATATGAAAAGTGACATATTATGGCATATTTGATAGATTTTTCATATTTAAGCTTGAATTTGAGCGTCTTTAATGACTAAATCAGTTCAAATCTTTCACATAAACTAATTGAATCGACTGAAGTAGACACTTAAGTGTTTACAAAGTGTCCAAAATCTTTCATCAGATGAACCTGAATTTTGAGGCCAAAATCTGCCCTTACCAGACCTACTCCTTTTTTATATTTTCCCTATTAGAATTTGCTTTTTCTTGTGTGTTTGACAAATAAAAACTTGAAAATTATTGTTTTTAAATTAAAGTCTTGATAAATGTATTCTATAACTGAACAACAACAAAAACATGCAAATTCATTGGAACAATACTAAAAATTTTGTCAGAAATAAACTTTTTACAATTAAATCAGTGTTTATATTGAACAGATTGAAAATATATTATTGATATTGATTAAATACAATATTGCATGCAGTTAATGCGAGTGATAGATTTCTCCTAGAAGAAATGTAAAGGTCCCAGTGAAAAAACTACACAGAGAACAATAGCTATTGTATTTATTCAATAGGACAAGATAATAGACAAAAGTTTAAATACCCTGGTCAAGAGCAGACGACTCTGTGGAAAACTTTCATTTGGTTCGCAATAACCCTCTAGTATGTACAACTTATACATCTAACATTATTGTTGTCAAAGATCTGCAGAATTTAATGCACTCATCGAATTCTAAATTTACAGTCAAATGTTTTAAATTAGGAATGTATTTTATCAGCATGCTTTCCAGACTATATAGAAATTCTCTTTTTGTTATTTTTCAGAATTTCAATCCTTCTGATTCTCAGTGTCAGGGTATAAAGGGAGTGTTAGATGCTTATTACCATTCCTTAAAAAATGTACAATTATATGGACCAACAAACTTTTCTCCTGTCATAAATAGGGTTGCAGGGTAAGTAATATATGTACGAATCACATCAAACAAACAATTTTTTGTGATAATAAGTAATGTACTGGTGATGTAAGTCCACCTTGAAAAAAGAATAAAAATTTAAACATTGTTCTTATTTTAAGTCAGTTTTTTTGAGAATTAGCAACAACAAAAAGTGGCAGTTTGTGCCAAAGTTCTCATATTTTGTAAGGATATTACTTGGAAAAGCATTATGAAGTGACAAGAAAAAAAAACTGAAATGTTTAAATTTTGAAATAAGATATGAAAATAAACAGATAAATGTGATCTATGCACTTGTTATCTTGCTACATCACAAATTTAGTAAGTTAACAGAACATAAACTTAATGATATGAGTTGTTTTCTCCCCATTATAAATCACAGTTTTTGTCCGCCGCACAATGCATTGCTAGGGACATAGAAATACAGGGCTTCCGTCTGGTCTTGTTAGCGCTCCCTGGAAAATCTGATCTTTTATTAAATTTTGAACCAGTCAAAAAAATTCATGTATTACTGTAAGATAAAATCATGTACATTTTGAGGCTTATTTGACACAGCAAATTTACCAAAATTGGAAAATTGTACACTTTGGATTCTTTAATGTTCTTGGGGTACATACATTCATGAATTTTATGGTAATAATTGAATGACAAATTTATATGTTCAACAAATTACTGATTTCCTATAGGCTTGTTAGCAGAGTTTGTGAAAAACACAAATTCAACAATCCTCAAAAATAAATTTATTCTTCAATCCATGAAAATTGGTACCCACAAAAATGAATAAATGCACAGTAAAACTTAAGAATTGAACTTTTCAGGAAATTTCAGAATTAGTTTTAGACTTAATGACATGATTTGACTAGTAAATCATTAAATGACATCGGAAGTGGGTTTTTCAGGGTTTTTTTATGCCAAAAAAAGCCAATTTCAGGATCATTTTAGTTAAAATAACATAAGAGAACATGTGTCAAAATTTCTTGAGCAAAGGTTGTTTTATATAATTTCTCAATATCTATAATTAAAATATTCAAAAGGGAAGATCAAAATTTGTTGAATCATTAACTAATATAAAAGAATTACTACTGGTGTGACAAGCATAGTGGAAATTCATGTTTAACATTTTTCTGTCAAATGAACTATTGTGAGTAAAAATAACAGCTTTTGTATTTGAAAATTTATAATTGCTTGTTGTCCATAAGTTTGCCATTTTGCATTGTGATCTGTAACACCTCCAAAATTAGTGACTAGATTGCATTATTACTTTCAGGGAATCATAAGTACTAAATTGCATGATGAAACTTTGCCTTAATTTTTTTATTCAAATATTTTAAGGGTTTCCCTTTACATTACTTAGACTTTACAATGTCTTCTAAAAGGAAGTAGTGATTTTGTATGAGTCTTAGCCACCATCTTGATATCAGTAAAACCTTTAGAGAGTCTTTATCACCTAATGGCAATGGATTTTTACAGTTTCTAAAAGTAAAACATGAATTTTGCCATATTTGCCTAAGGGACAGGCATTTTGTATCTGTATCTTCTCATGAAGCAGAAGTGATTGGTTTCAGGGATACTTTTTTCGGTTCTTTCTTATTCAATGCAATTGTGCACTTCCTATTTTGTTATTTAATCTAAATGATTTTTGGGTTTTGATAGCAAAATTGATCTTTGCCAAATCTATAAAAAGGAGTTCGACACTTAGTTTACAACTCCTCTGTAACCAAGGAATTTACATCAACAAAATGTTCAGAGTATTTTTATTACCTGATTGCATTGTGCACTTCCTATTTTATGTTTTTTAATGGTTTTGGGGTTTTCCATAGAAAAATGAGATCTTTGCCATACCTACATAAAGGTGATGATCATTTTGTTTCTCTTACTCCTATAAAATCAGTCAACAATGTGTATCTGTAATTTCTCTTTACTCTATTAAATGGATTTCAAGGAAACTTTCAGAGATCACGCCCTTTTATTCGGATTTTAGGTGCTTCCCATATCAAACATGGTCTTTGACGTTCTTACTAATGAAGGGGCATTTTTATCCATAACTCCTATAAACCAGTTTTTTAATAAAATTTTCAAAGGAGCTTAAATATGTAATTCCCTTTGTTTTATCTAGTTGATTTTTATGGCTTCCTATAGCAAAAGAATGACTTACTCTATCTAGAAAATGGATAAGTCATATCCTAAAATACTACCGGGTAAACACCAACTGGATTTTTATGAAATTAATTTGTTTTATTTTCTTTCAGCTTTGCAGCACAACAGCAAGACGGATCAAATTATCATGTACTTTTAATCATAACAGATGGAGTAATCACTGACATGGAACAAACTAAAAATGCCATTGTACAAGTGAGTCATATATACAAAATTACAAATAATAGGAAAAAAATCAATTACTGGTAATGCCAGTTTTCCATCTGAAAGTTGGTGGATCTCTCTAGGTACTCCAGCATCCTCCACTAATAAAAACTTGAGAAGTGTGATGATAGTGGCATTAAACACCAACAATCAATCAATGTAAAAGGTAAAGGAGAGGTGTATGTACATATAAAACTGGTCTAACCCCACCACATTTTGTGCTTGTACCATGTCAGTCTATCTGGGCTATGTTTAGGTCATGGTTTGTTATTTGTTTTCTCCGAGGAGTCTGTTGTTGATGTTTGGTGACTGGGCTATGTTTAGGTCATTGCTGTTATCAGTTTTCTCAGATGAGTCTGTTGTTGATGGTTGGTCACTGGGCTATGTTTAGGTCATTGTTGTTATCTGTTTTCTCCAAGGAGTCTGTTGTTGATGGTTGATGACTGGGCTATGTTTAGGTCATGGTTTGTTATCTGTTTTCTCCGAGGAGTCTGTCGTTGATGGTTGATGACTGGGCTATGTTTAGGTCATGGTTTGTTATGTTTTCTCCGAGGAGTTGTTGATGGTTGATGACTGGGCTATGTTTAGGTCATGGTTTGTTATCTGTTTTCTCAGAGGAGTCTGTTGTTGATGGTTGATGACTGGGCTATGTTTAGGTCATTGTTGTTATCAGTTTTCTCAGATGAGTCTGTTGTTGATGGTTGATGACTGGGCTATGTTTAGGTTATGGTTTGTTATCTGTTTTCTCAGAGGAGTCTGTTGTTGATGGTTGATGACTGGGCTATGTTTAGGTCATTGTTGTTATCTGTTTTCTCAGTGGAGTCTTTTGTTGATGGTTGGTCAATGGGCTATGTTTAGGTCATTGTTGTTATCTGTTTATTCTGAGGAGTCTGTTGTTTATGGTTGATGACTGGGCTATGTTTAGGTCATGGTTTGTTATCTGTTTTCTCTGAGGAGTTTGTTGTTGATGGTTGATGACTGGGCTATGTTTAGGTCATGGTTGGTTATCTGTTTTCTCAGATGAGTCTGTTGTTGATGGTTGATGACTGGGCTATGTTTAGGTCATTGTTGTTATCAGTTTTCTCAGATGAGTCTGTTGTTGATGGTTGATGACTGGGCTATGTTTAGGTCATGGTTTGTTATCTGTTATCTCAGATGAGTCTGTTGTTGATGGTTGATGACTGGGCTATGTTTAGGTCATGGTTTGTTATCTGTTTTCTCAGAGAAGTCTGTTGTTGATGGTTGGTGTGGTCTATTGTACTGTCCCACATTTTTGGTAATTCCTGTAATCTTGCATATTCATACTTACAGAAATCCATTTTAAATAACAATGTGAAAAAAAGGACTGCCATTGAAATATCAATTTGGAAGTTTATTTTACTCAAAAGTTAATTCATACTGAAAAGTAAAAGAAGAGGCACAAGATACCATAGGGCAATCACAAACCAGGAGTCAAAGAAAAGCAGACGACACCATGGCTAAAAAGAAAAGCAGACGACACCATGGCCAAAAAGAAAAGCAGACGACACCATGGCAAAAAAGAAAAACAACAGTCAGCAAAACACTATACAGAAAACTAAGGACAAAGCAACCCTCCTTCCCCCCAAAAAAATAAAGAAGTAAAAAAAAAACTGATCCTGCTCAACATACTTCTTAATATCAACAGTTTTATGAATTCTGTTGTCACATTTATATAAGTTTCTAACAAATATAGATTATAAAAATCGTAATTTATAATATGAGCTTCATTGAATTTTTGAATGAATGTTTAAAGGCATTAATTCTGTTAGGATATTTTTTTTAATCTGCAGCCTCCTTGTAAGTAATGAGACAGAATCCTAACCCTATTATGAGTGTAGTGAATACAGGGTTGCATTATCATATGTACTAATATTTATCGTATTTAGAATTAAAGATAAGTATGATATATATACATTTATTTTTCAGGCATCCAGATTACCTATGTCTATTATAATTGTTGGTGTTGGAGATGCAGATTTTGAAGGTAAATATACCCAAAATTCTAAAAACAATATTTTGTTAAAAACAATTATTGAAGGTTATTGGCCTAGATTTTTGGTGAAGATTGTCGTGATTAGAATATTATATTTTTTGCACAAGCTTGCAAATGTTTTTTTTACAAGGGATAATCATTTATGATTGTGCAATTGAATCGATCTATAAAAAACTGGCAAACCAAAAAACCAATAATTCAAAAGACAAATTACACAACCAAGAAAATAAGATAAAAGATGTGGTATGATTTTAAAGCAGGGTCAATATGTGCTTACTACTTCAGAACATTCAGTATATTTTTTTTAACACAGCTGAGAGGGTGATAGAGCAGATTTTAACCTCTACTCTCAGTCAATAATCTATGATATAGGTATACTACTAATATGAAATAAGGAAGCAAAACAAATTTTGTACACAGATTATTTAAAGCTTGCTCTAAAAAAGGATGACTTTGACTAAATGATATTTTTTTTAGACTGGAGAAAATGTGATTGTTATTGATATACACCTTGTAAAACCTTTTTCAGTTTGATCTGAACTTTTGCCCTAATAAAAACCTAGCTTTTGCAGTATGGTTTTTGCTAATTGTTGAGGCATACAGTGACCTGTAGTTGTTAACTTTCTTTGTCATTTGGTCTCTGGTAATCATACCACATCTTCTTATTTTTATATTAAAAATCTTCTGTTTTATGAATCCAAGCTTAGCATTTCCCCTTTTATACATTCTAGCAATGAACATATTGGATGGTGATGATGTAAGAGTGTCATATAATGGACAGTATGCTGATAGAGATATTGTACAGGTAAATGTTATGCAGAATAAAATAGGCAAAACATATAAAGAATAGAGAATAATCGGCATGATAAATAAAGAATAGAGAAAAATGATCTAAAAATTCAAGAATAAAGAAATGAAGGACCCCATCCAGACCCTCATAAAAGAACAAGGAAATTTTATGACATACAACTGATTAAAAAAGATAGTGACTTTTGAATTATTTTTAGTATTTATTGTATTACATGCATTTCAAGATCACTGTTAATTTCCCGGAAATTCATCAAGTATTTTACCTGTAGTACTTTTATTAGAAATGAAAATTATTCACTGTTTATTTATTTTAGTTTGTTCCTTTCCGGGACTTTATTAGAAATGGTACCAGTATGCTCACAAGTCAGGCTGCTCTTGCTAAAGAAGTTTTGGCTGAAATTCCTGACCAGTTTCTGCTGTACATGAAGAAAAGAGGTGTTAAACCAAGACCTAGAACAACAGCTCCACCTATGTAAACATTTTTAAATTAATGGACTTAATGTGTTCATCATTTTCCCAGAATTATGATTTAAAACCTTGTTTTTCAGGCTAGGGCTAAGAGAGGGTAAATCAACGCCTGGTGGTTAAGGTTTGTCAGACTCCTAAGAGGTGAATACCGAAGGCATGAAGGGTGTCCTACTTCAGCATAGAAATGAAAAAGTTGTAATGACACATCAGTTCCTTTGTTGTGTCCTTACTACTTTCTAATGTTTTATTGATTGATACCATTTTCATTAAGATCTGAAAATCTTAATGCTCTACTTTTTATATCTATTTATTAGATATTATCGTTTTTACACACACAAGAATGTTGTGAAACCAATAACCTTTGGCAGATGAAAGATGTAGAAAAAACTTTCACAAGTCTCACAATAGAACCCTTGGAATGATTTAAAAAAGACAAAAAAAAGCAGGAAAATGTTGTAAGATATTAAAAAGATTCAACACAGAATAATTAGTTTCATGTAAGGTTAGAAATATTGATGAATAAGAAACTGCTTTAATTGACGAAACTATCTCTCTTTTGTAATTTTGTTTTTATATCAGGATGTTGTCCTAGGTGCCATATTGAATCAGAAGTGTCACAGCAAATTTGTGTATTTTGTATTTTGTATTTAATTATTCTTTTAAGTGCATATCATCATATTAAAAAGTGACCTTTGCTTCTTCTGGTGTGCAATGTAATCCACAATTCTATAGATTGAATACAGTATCCAAATTTATACATTTATTTGAGCTCAACAACTGACCCTTAATTATCTGTCATAAGTGTGCTTTTATTGTTCTGTGTAAATGATTGATTTGGGTTTTATTTAATGACAAGTCAACCAAGCCTTGCAAATGAGCTTTAGGCATGAGGAAATCATTAACATTAGAAACATAAAATTCATTCAATTGCAAGAACTTTAAAGTGAGATGCAGAATGTTAATATTTTTTTCTATTTAAATTTTTTTTTTTTTTTTTTTACCAATACATTTTTTTTCATTTTCAATAATTTGTGTACAGTTAGAAAGATACTTGAACAGTTGTTGAAATTTGACTTATTAACAGTTAGGCTGTTCTTGCTTTGTTTGTTAGTCCATTTAAAGCAAAAAGATATAATCTCCTAAGGTTGTTGGTAATTATTAGAAGTTTAACATCCAGGATTTAAAAAAAAAGAATAATCACATATTCATACTTGTGAAAGTGAAACTAATAGATTAGAAACAATAAAATGTTTATTCATTAACCATATTTGCTTCTTTATAAGGAATCCTTTCCACAACATCTAATCCACCATTAGTAAGAGCAAATATTGTCATATATCACAAACGAAGTAAACACCTAGTTTGACTTCTCTTTAAGTACGGGTAGTCTTTCAAATGTATCTTACGTTATTACATACAATACAATGCATATGTAATAAAACAGGGTTTTATTAACTAAACATGTGTTCCGACTTGGTTAGTTCTCTAATTCAATATGATTTATGAATTTATAAATGAATATTTGTGAAATTATTAATTATGTATTATTTTATTACTTATAGTTATATTAACAAATTTTATTATTCATTAAATGTGATATATAAGTATAGTATTAGGGTAGATTTTTACATCTCATTAGTACATTGTTATTGCTTCAATTAGATTCATTGATATACAAACACTGAGTAGTTCAGATGCATGAAGAATAAAATGTATGAATTACTTTGAACCCTTATACACTTGTTTATTCATTTCTATGAAAGGCATTACTTTTTTCCACTGATCTGCTCAATTTGAAATTGACAATGTATTAACAGCTGATACTATTGCCAAAATGAAATATCTTGCTTCAGTGACTGAAACTTAAATTCAACTAAGCTCTCTGTTTTCAACTGCTGATATTTTGTAAAAAAGCTTTACATAAAATTTTAAATCAAATAGACCATTTGCAAGATTTAAGTGAGCACAATTGATTGCTGTAATGCTGTACAGTCAACTCTCGTTATGTCGAATTGCTTGGGACCAGAGAAATTAATTCGAATGAAGCAAATGTCGAGATACATGTATAAGGAGTAAATGTGTAAACTTATTGCTGTTGAGGGTCCAAACACTCTGTTCGAGTTATCCAGACTTTCAACTTAAATGTGTTCGAGATAACGAGAGTCAACTGTATATCGTTACATTATTATTCAGAAAAATGTCTTGGTACATGTTACATTGTATACAATAGTTTTGATAATTTTAAAAGTTGTTTTAACCTCATTTTAAGTTAGAGAATTTTACATTTTTCATAATATTATTTTTTTTATGTTACAATAAATATTTAAATATCTTAAATGAGCTTTTGTTTATATAACAGATAACCTTTGTCCCTTGGACTATTCCTCACAGAAATAACATGTCACTGCCTGTATATATGTTATGTTTTGTTCACAATTGAAAGCTATATGATAACCTATAATTGCTTAGATCAACATCATTTTGACTTGTCTCATGGGCAATCAAACAGCATCTCCTTATTTATGTAGATGCCTCTATTAAACGCCCATCTGCGATCAATAATCATATACTTGATTCAATGATCCCCACTTGATTTTGGATAAAAAGTCTAGCTATTTGACACATACTCCTGTGATAGGTAAACATTACACACTAGTGAACCAGCCAATTGCAACACCAGTCATAGAAACAAGTGATAAGCTGGTAAGCCACCTGAGTCAGTGACATTCTCTTTACAAAAACAACTTCATACAAATTTGTGAATGGCCCATCTGTTACCAGTAATAACATACTGGATCCCCTTTATTAATGTTCCATCTAAGAAATATTTTTTATTTACTAGGTTTTTATTATTATCTTTCTTCTAATTTCTAAAGTCATCTAGGAAAAAGTATGAACTCTTGACAAATTTACTTTGAGATTTAAGGTCAAAGTTGTGTCCTTGATTTAAGAAATAATTGTAACAGCAGCAATGGTTTATTTTTTTGTGTTAACATGGGTTTCTCTGATTGCATAAAATTTTAAACCAAAGCGTTATGTTTTTTTAAATAATGCTTTACTCTCAATAAAATCTAAATTAATCACTGCAGCAATGAATTATTTCTACTCTGATAGGATTTTTTTTGTATTCAAGGGGAGCAGACTCATTAGAAAGGGAGCTATTTTAATTTGATGGAGCCAACATTTTTTTTATAAAAACAAGTGTTTCAAGATTTCAAGTGTAAAAAACATATAAACCAATTTCAATGGGGTTAAATTCAAAGTCTTGAATTTTTGGGTTTCTTTAATATGCTGATTCTAACAGTGTATTTGTATTTTGGAAATTGGTCCAAAGGGTCCAAAATTTAAATCTTTGATTTCATCATAAATTGAATTATTGGGGTTCATTGATATGCTGAATCTAACCATGTACTTAAGATTTTTTATTTTGGGCCCAGTTTTCAAATTGGTCCACAGGGTCCAATATTAATCTTTGTTTGATTTCAACAAAAATTGAATTCTTGGGTTTCATTGATGTGCTGAATCTATCCGTGTTGTTAGATTTTTGATTTGGGGCCAAGTTTTCAAGTTGGTCCAAAATTAAACTTTCATTTGTTTGATTTCAACAAAAATTGAATACATGGGGTTCTTTGATATGCTGAATCTGTGTATTTAGTTTTTTGATTTTGGGCCCCATTATAAATTGGTCTACCTTGAGGTCCAAAGGGTCCAAAATTAAACTTTATTATTTTGTTTGATTTCATCAAAAAATTGGAATTCTTGGGGTTCTTTGATATGCTGAATCTAACCATGTATTTAGATTTTGGATATTGGACCATAATAGGTAAATGTCCAATTTCAAATTTTTGAGTTTTTAGACCACATTCATTCTGTGTCAGAAACCTATGCTGTGTCAAATATTTAATCACAAACCGAAGTCAGAGCTGTATAAAGCTTGAATGTTATGTCCATACTTACCCCAGCTGTTCAGGGTTTGACCTCTGTGGTCATATCAAGCTGCGCCTGTGGGAGCATTTTATTGAATTTGAAGTGAGTAACTCCCACAGAAGTGTCCATTTGGTTCTCCGGTGTCATTCAAAACACAACTTGTGTTGCAAATTCAACTGTTACATCAAGTGTGTTTTTAGTCCCCTACCGACGAAGTTGAAGGGGACTTTAGGTTTGCACTCCGTCTGTCTGTCTGTCTTTCTGTCCATCCGTCAGTCCGGCAAATCAGTTTTCCACACTTTTTTTCTTTGTGCTTGAAGTTATTGATTTGATATTTGGTATATAGTTTTATCATGACAAGTTACAGATCAAGTTAAAATTTTGTTCCGATCTGATGATTTTGTGCAGAGTTATGGTCCTTGGACTTAGAAAATTCACTCAATTAATCAGTTTTCCACACTTATTTCGTCATGCTTTAAGATATTGGTATATAGTTTTATTTTGACAAGTTACAGATTAAGTTCGAATTTTGTTCTGGGCTGATGATTCTGTGCAGAGTTATGGTCCTTGGACTAAGAAAATTCACTGAAATAATCAGTTTTCCTCACTTTTTTTAGTCATTCTTGAAGATATTGATTTGATAATTGTTATTTAGTTTTATCATGACAAATTACAGATCAAGTTCGAATTTTGTTCTGGTCTGATTATTTTGTGCAGAGTTATGGTCCTTGGACTTAGAAAATTCACTTAAATAATCAGTTTTCTACACTTGATATTTGTTATATAGTTTACACCATGACAAGTTATAGATCAAGTTAGTGTTGTTCCAGTACAATGAATTTTTAACCAGTAGGGGAGTTCCAGTACAATGAATTTTTAACCGGTAGGGGACTATGTATTGCCATGCAATACTCTCAGAGTGCTTTTTTTTTTAGCAATTAGAATGCAGCCTTGATTTTAAAAATGGGTAAGAAGAGCTTCATATTTGAATTTTTATTTGTTCCTCCCTTTTTCCCTGCTGGATCTGCATTGGTAAAAGATACAGGAATGGTTCAGAGTTGACATCTTTGATTTGCAACTTTGTTAAATTTACCTTGTAAGAATCTGAGTTTTCTTCCTCATTTTGTTTTTTCTAATCTATTTCCATACCAGACAGATACTATGAGGACTTTTGGCTTGATTCTCACCTTTTGGCATCGAAACAAAGGCCTGGGTCATAGCACAAGGTCAAGAAAGAAAGGATATGATGTATCACCTAATGAAACAGAATCCCCTTAAAAACTTGACAAAACTTGAAGCAATTGAAACAGTGTCTTTTAGTGAATAGTTCAGCATCTCACATGTAGATGCCTGCAACAAATTTTTAACCAAGGGTCACAAGTAAAACAAAAGTTAGTCAGGTTATTCTGTCAATGTTAAAACACTAATAGTTCTCCTACAGAGCATTGGACTTTTCTTGGGTATGAGAGAGGATATATTTCACTGAATTTGAAAGCAGTTGTATTGGGATATGATTCTAATTCATATAATCATTTGTCTATAAAATTTCTGATCTTTATTCCTTTTAAATGGTATTTATCTCAACATTAAAATACAAATAAAAAAGGATGAGGGGAGACATATAATGTCCATGGAAATGAGATGTGTTAAAGTCACAGCAAACCAAATATATTTGACTAAGCGTTATTGATTCATCTTAACTAACCTAATCACAAACTTTAACATGTAAACTAGGCAAAACATAACTAGAGGCTCTCAAGAGCCTGTGTCGCTCACCTGTATTTACTGATGCTTTGGAAATCATGTAAAATAAGGTTAAAATCATAATTAATAGTATTAGATATTAGATATTATAATGATATCTAAGATAATAACAAAAAACTGCAAAATTTTTGTAAAATTACTAACTCAGGGGCAGCAACCCAACAACGGGTTGTTGGATTCGTCTGAAAATTTCAGGGCAGATAAATCTACATCTGATGAACATTTTTGCCACCTGTCAGATTTGCTCTAAATGCTTTAGTTTCAGAGATATAAACCAAAAACTGCATTTTACCCCTATGTTCTATTTTTAACCAAGTAGGCCATGATGGTTGGAAGGCGGGGTCATCGGACAAATTTTTTAAACTAGATACCCTGATAATGATTATGGCCAAGTATGGTTAAATTTGTCTCAGTAGTTTCAGAGAAGAAGATTTTTGTAAAAGATTACAAAAATTTACAAAAAATTGTTAAAAATTGACTTTTAAGGGCAATAACTCCTAAAGGGGTCGACTGACAATTTTGGTCATGCCAACTTATTTGTAGATCTTACTTTGCTAAACATTATTGCTGTTTACAGTTTATCTCTATCTATAATAATATTCAAGATAATAACCAAAAACTGCAAAATTTCCTTAAAATTACCAATTCAGGGGCAGCAACCCAACAACAGGTTGTCAGATTTGTCTGAAAATTCCAGGGCAGATAGATCTTGACCTGATAATCAGTTTTACCCCATGTCAGATTTGCTCTAAATGCTTTGGTTTCAGAGATATAAGCCAAAATCTACATTTTACCCCTATGTTCTATTTTTAGCTATGGCGGCCATCTTGGTTGGTTGGCGGGGTCATCGGAGACATTTTCTAAACTAGATACCCTAATGATGATTGTGGCCAAGTTTGGTTAAATTTGGCCCAGTGGTTTCAGAGGAGAAGATTTTTGTAAAAAGCTAACGACGACGCCGACGACGGACGACGGACGCCAAGTGATGAGAAAAGCTCACTTGGCCCTTCGGGCCAGGTGAGCTAAAAACTCAATATGCCATGCCTGTTTGGGAGGGGTCAAATACTCTCCATTGGTAATACAACTGAATACCAAATATCATGGACTAACTTTAAGTGGTTTCCCTTTAACTGACCTTGTCACAAACTTTAACATTTAAACTAAGCAAAAGATTCAAAGTCAATAGACAATGACTCTGGGTCAGGGCCAAATAATCTTCATGGAAATGAGATGTGCCAATACTAATATATGTGCAGCATACTGTTAAATATTATCACAAACTTTCAACAAATTGTTGATGGCAAAAACAGCACACCTATGTCTTCATCCATGACTTTGTCAAGATAAGATATAGAACTCTGCAAGTTCTTGAAAAACTGCTATTAATATTTTTCATTGAATTATTTTTTTTCAAATTGAGGTTGCAAAACAAGAAAATATTGAGAATTGTACAGAATTGTTTGAAAGAATACAATGATGGTCCCTATCAGATGATCTTGCATTCCAAAGAATGGCTTGTCATTTCAAGTACTTTGGATTCATTATTTCTTGTGGATTTTGGGGGTATAGATGAACAATTCAAAGAGTATAAATTTCTCATTGGATTATATGCAGAATATGTTAATAAAATGCTCCGCTGGGCGCAGCTTGATACGACCGCAGAGGTCTAACCCTGTACAGTTGGGGCAAGTATGGACACAACATTCAAGCTTGATACAGCACTGAATTTGGATTGGGATTAAATTTTTGACACAGCATAGGTTTCTGACACAGAATGAATGTGGTCTAAGAACTTAAAAAATTTTAATTTACCTATTCAAACCATATCATTATTATTTGCTTTTACATATAAATCAAAAATAACCAATTTAAAATGAAAAATTTAAAAAAAAAAAAAAAAAAGGGAAAAAAAATCCCCCCCCTTCAATTTTTTAAACCCCATAATGATTCATCACCCAAAAACTCAATCCTAGCCTTCCCTTTGTGGTATGGTACCTTGCAGTACAATTTCAGAGAGATCCATACACTTGAACACAAGTTATTGTCTGGAAACTAGAAAAATGCTTGTTTTTTGGCCCCAAATTCCTAAATGTTTAGGACAATTACCCCCAAACTCAAACCAAGCTTTCCCTTTGTGATATGGAACCTTGTAGTACAATTTCATAAAGATCCATACACTTACACATAAGTTTTTGTCCTGAAACTAGAAAAATGCTTGTTTTTTGCCCCTTTTTGGCCCCTAATTCCTAAAATTTTGAGGCAATGTCCCTCAAAATCAATCCCAACCTTCCATTTGTGGTATGGTACCTTGCAGTACAATTTTAGAGAGATCCATACACTTGAACACAAGATATTCTCTGGAAACTAGAAAAATGCTTATTTTTGGCCCCTTATTCCTAAACGTTTTGGGGAATTACCCCCCAACTCAATTCCAGCTTTCCCTTTGTGATATGGAACCTTGTAATACAATTTCAGAAAGATCCATACACTTACACACAAGTTATTGTCATGAAACTAGAAAAATGCTTGTTTTTTGCCCTTTATTTGCCCCTAATTTCTTAAATTTTGAGGCAATTACCCCCAAAATCAATCCCAGCATTTCCTTTGTGATATGGAACCTTGTGGTACAATGTCAGAGAGATCCATACACTAACACACAAGTTATGTCTGGAAGTTACAAAAATGCTTATTTTTGGCCCCTTTTTGGCCCTCAATTCCTTAACTGTTGGTACCATAACCCCAAAAATCTATCCCAACCTTCCTTTTGTGGTATTGAACCTTATGGTAAAATTTCATAGAGCTCCATTCACTTAAACTAAAGTAAGAGTGCGAAAACCAATGTGTCTTCGGACGACGACGACGCCAACGTCATACCAATATACGACCACAATTTTTTTTTGCGGTCGTATAAAAACACAAAATCAAGTATATAGGAAAATTGGTACCCATGAAAAAAAATGAATCCAACAGTAAAAGGGAACCTTGCAAAAAGTGTTATGCCCCTATTTTAATTTTTAGACTTACACCAGTTTTCAGTTAAGGTCCCTTTTGTCATATACATGTAGCTCCTAACTGTTACAGCATGAGAGGTCATGGGTTCGATCCCCATCAGGGTCAAACCAAAGTATTTGCTGCTTCCCCGCAAAGCATGCTGCATTTAGGAGTAAAAATATAGACTGGTTGGCATTGAATAATGTGTCTGTGTAGTGTGACAGTTCTTTCTGCTGTCTGTTAACATGTGAACTAGCATGTTTAAAATTTTGCTCAACATGTAGGTCTAGTACAAGGCAGGATTTATATTCATATCTCATTAACATGTTCACATCCTGATTTGCAGGTAATATTTGCCACTGCATGTTAAACACCAATCGATCATCATAATGATATTGCTTCTCACCTATGCAAGTATTTATACATCCTTTGCTTTCAAAATTTGACGTTAAATTGATGTACTGGTAGGTAAATTCAGAAAAGCACTTCAGACACACCAAATTATGATTATAAATGGATTGAAGCATGTGTGAATAGGGTATGTATAGAACTATATTTACTTGAACTTCTACCCACAGTAAAATCCATACTTAAGGGTGAGCCCATTGGACTGTGCAGGATGAATAAATATCCAGCAACTTTAACTACCTGCCTAAGTGTTGTATAGAAAAGCTCATCAGAAAAATCAGTGTTTCTGTTCATTCTTCAGATCGTTATCTTTTCTATTATGCAACTTGTGAAAAAAATATGAAATGTGTTATGCCAGTTTTATAATTCATTCATTAAGACTAATTCTAAAAACTTCTTCAAAATATTTAATATTGTAAAGTTAATAAAAACTGTATTGTTTTGATTCAATGCAAAAAAAACTGAAAGGAATACATTGCAATAATATGAACTCTCAATTTTTCTGAAATCACAACAGTTTTGCAATTTTAAAAGTCATTATGGATGCAAATTATAAATGCATGAATAAATTTACAATATATAAAAAAATAATGATAATAACTGCCTTTAGTTTGAAATTTCAAATAAACCGCTACATCTCTTTTTCTATGGGTCAGCAAAATGTTTGAAATGAAATGAATATACAGTGTACTACACTGTCATTAAAAACAATAATATTCATACAAAGAATGAAGACTAGATTTACATCTATTTATGATGCTGCGGTAAAAGATGAATTTGATGACAAGCTAGTATTTATAGGAAAATCAACGAAGTATCCTTCATCTTGATATAGTTTATAGAGCTCATCTTGTTCTCGAACTCTGTAAACTAGGGTTTTATCCTGGTAGTAGCTGTCATTCATTTCAATATTTTCAATAACATCCACCAATAAATGAGCTCTGTCAGCATCAAATCCTGGAGATTCTAAATTGATATGATTAAAATGAACATGTAAATGATAATATGAAGGCTGGTAATGGATGTATATCCTTAGTTTTGACTTTGGTATACCATATTCTTGGTCGATCACATCCTGAAAATACAGACATATCATTAGAAACTAAAATATTAAGATATCAACACATATTTTGTTGAGCCAAACTGAAAGGGGGTTGGTTACATATCAATTGTAGGTGGGTCAAAATTTCTCTTTGATGAACATTTTTTAGGGTGAAATTAACTTAGATTAAATTTAAGTTGTTTTCTTAGTTATTAAATCTTACTTAATGCTTTCAAATTAAAACTGATAAAAAAGGGGGTTCATGATATGAACAATCTTGTGATATTTTCAAACATGGCAATTGATACACTTTTACACCGGTCTTTTTCATCTTGAATATGCACAAGATATTTTCCACTCAACATTAAGGAAGCAACAACCAGTAATCTCCATTTTTTCAAGGTCTTTTAATATTTATTTTTTCATCTAATAATCATTTATGAAAAATTATCTAAAATTAATAAACTATAAAATGATTACTTACTGCACCTTCCTCCAATATGTTGTTTAACAAAGGTAAATGTGATTTGTTCAGATCCCTTACAGACTTGAGTCCATGCTTATGTACAATGGCTTGTAGATAAAGGCTATTCAAGTCCTTGCCATCCCATTTCATGTCTGGTAATAGGATAAACCCTGTATCTGGGTCAGAATTTTCAAACACAATTCTGTCTGCTTCTTTTTTCTTTTCCAAGATATTGTATACCCACTAAAACAACAATACATATCATTTGAGTACACATTCAAAAATAGCAAATAAAATTTATTTCAAAATATAATAAACTAATTGCAAACAAAACATTCAATTAAAAAAGCTACATGATTTTAGTATCAAGTATATCAATAAAAGAACTGTTTGAATGTTGCCGAACATATTTCCAGCAAGTTAGATAGTTTCTGGGCACACTGCTAGATGACCCTTTGATTTGTTTGTGTAATGGTTCTATACGACAGTTTGTGCTCATCAGTAACTGTCTCATTGCTTTTTATTTGTCTTATTTATGTTTTGTCCTCTAGACATGATTTTTGTTCCTCCTACAGCTCCTTCTTCCTGCTATTCCTGTGAAGTTTGGTACAGCAATGTAAGTTAAATGTAAGTTAATGGAAATCAAGTCTAGATCTGTATTATTTATTTACAGTCAGTGGTCAGCATGAAATCTGTATTTGCTTTCTTTGTTAATTTTTTTTAACAATAAAAAATACTATATTATGCAAGTATAAAAAGACACAAGGGAGCAACCATTTAACTTCAAGGGGGGGTTATGGTTTTTTGTCTGAGTCAGAAATTTTTTTTCACGCTTTTTTTAGTTTTTCGACGCTATTAATCAAATTATTTTTTTCAAAATTAAACACTATAAGGTATGGGGAAAATCTGGATTTAGAATACTTTTTTTTGTCATCTGCTTGACCACAATATTTTTTTTCATCAAATTGGGGATCAGAATATTTTAATTAGGAAAAAAACATAACCCCCCCCCCCCCCCTCTTGAAGTTAAATGGTCATTCAAAATCAAATTCAAATTATTTAAGTAACCTAATCAAAGACATACTGGTAGTTACTAAACTTACAGCTTACACTGACTGATGAGTCAAACCTTTTCCAACTGATTGTTAGTTTGTTCTTATATTATGCTGTTATAACAAATCCCAGTTAGGCAAATGTTAGGGGAGGTTGTGTTTTCAAAAACATGTTTAACACATGATTTGTTATCAGTTGTTATTGGCTTTGAACTAGCTTCCAGATCTGTACTTTGTGTGTTTTGCGTTTTTGTTAGGGTTTTTATGTGCTTTTATCAATCTGGTGAGTTAAGGTAGCACTCCACAGTTAGGTGTGTAGTTTCGCACTTTGGTCCCTGTGGATTTTTACAAATATGAAAGCTAGTGTGCAATAAAATTCATTTTTGGATAGCTGAAGATTAATATAGCCTTCATAGAGAGTTTATAGGGTCATCAAGATTATGTAATGTATGTTTAATGGGCTGTTTTCTGTATGAAAGTCTGCATTTTCATATCCATACCAGACATTTGTTCATAAATATTGCAATGTTTTTTTCCAACTTTTTTTCGCACGAACTCTGTGATTAAATTTTACGAAAAAATGAGGCGAAAGACATCCATTTTATTTGATCATTTGGTAGATTAATGTTAATAGTTTTAGAAAAGGTATCACTCAAAGGGATTGCAATTCTAGTTTGAACCAAAGTTTGGGGGAATATGTGACATTTTCATGCCCCTTTTTGCAATATTTATGGTAAATAAATGCAGAATGTTTCCATGGATACACAAAAAGGAATTATATTTCTCCATTTTAACTTTTGATAATTAAATCATTGGAAGATACTGATTACATACCCATGCACATGTATGACTCAAACAGTTGGCCTAATGTATTAGAAAGCCAAGATGATTAAACATTTTGTGGTTCAATTTTAATTTTATTTTCTAACTGTGTAGTGCTACCTAAGCCCTTTTAAACGATTTTTAGTTGTTCTTTTATCGTACTGTTACACCCCTGTCCCAAGTTAGGGGGAGGGTTTTGGTATAGCTAGCAAACATGTTGAATCCTGCCACATTCTGTATGCGCCTGTCCCAAGTCAAGAGCCTGCAATATTCAGTGGTTATCGTTTGTTGCTGTATATCATATTTGTTTTTCCTTTGTTGTTTTGTACATAAACCAGGTCATTGGTTTTCTCGTCTAAATTGTTTTACATTTGCTTTTTTGGGTCCTTTAATAGCTTTAATTATTTATGGTAGGGGTTTGTGACTTCTTTATATGCGCTAAACCTATTTCTATGAACTAACCTGTGTGCTAAATGAATGTTTCTCTAAGTATGGTAAAGTGACTTTGGTATACAATTCTGCTGTTTCTTGTATTACAAATGACTCTTGTTCAGTATACTTCTTGATATGTTTTTCTGAGGCAGGACAGATCACTGTAGCTTTTACACCTGAAATATGCAGCAAAGATAACTAAACAGTTGATAATATTGTCTAATAACCTATGGAGGTCAGTCACACCATTTTGACTTCCATCTTGTAAAGCTTCTTTTTTTATAGTGTTATCCTTATCCGTCATTTCCTCATTTGGTCATTCCCTCAATCTGTCGTTCGGTCATTCCATCATTCCACAACAGCCTTTTTTCTTAACACCTTCACATATTGAGCTGATATTTGGTATGTGAGTGTACTATTATGAGTTACAGATCTAGTTTAGTTATGGGCTTTGGACTTTCAAAAATTCTCAAATTTCCACTCCTATAAATGGCTTCAAGCTTTATTTGCAAGTGGGGCCATTCGTGTTCTTTTAAAAGATACATCTAGTTTTTTCAGCCACACTGTTATTTTGTTTACATGTTACAGTATCAATATACTTAACAGATTTTTTTGTGTGAAATAATAATTTCAAATTGTTGATCTAATCTAAATTGAATTATTTCTTGCTATGCGGTATAGGTTTTGCTCATTGGTGAAGGCCGTAGAATGACCTGTAGTTGTTTACTTCTATGTTGTTTGGTCTCTGATGGAGAGTTGTATTATTGGCCCTAAAATGACCTATAGTTATTAACTTCTAGGTCTCATACCACATCTTATTTTCACATTATTGTTTTTATTTCCTTCATGTCCTCATTTGCAAACTAACTTCTGTCAAGCTTTGAAGGATTTGTCCACAATTGATAAGAAAAAATAAATTCAAAAGCATATAACCCAAATAAATCTTTAAGAAATACTGACATGACTGATATTAGCTTAAAATCTAAATAAATCAAAATAAGAACTGAGTCTGGACTCGACTCCAAAAAGGAATTAGTGTATTTGTTGTTCTGCAATCAAACATAATTAGCATGATCGCACAATGTATCCCGATCCAAAATTGGTAGATGGATCCAAATCCGATGGGGCAATTAACATGATTAATGAAAAGTTTGTAACGGAGGGTAGGTAAAATCTGGATCCAATTTCCACGGAGCATAATTCCTCTGTGGGAATCAGATCCAGATTTTACTCCATGTGTGATGATGAGATTTCAGGTTAGATATGAAGGGGGTCTCATTGGGGTGGGGGGGGGGGGGGGGGGTGGGGGGGGGGGGGTCTAATCCCGGATCCTGCTTATTGTTTTGTCAGATTCCCGTATCACGCTTATCATTTTTTTAATTTCCTGTTTCCCGCTTATTTCTTTTTTCAATAAGAAGTCGCCTTGCAAGAGCCCTCCTATCGGTATATCACACTTGTATTACCATTGGCAAGATATCAGGAAACCGATAAATGGCTTACTGGTGTCACAAATTTAGGAATGATACAACTGAAAAGTTTGTCAGTGACTCGCCAAAGGTGGGTGGTACTCTGGGCACCAAGACTGTGAGAAGCGTAACTACATGTCTAATAAACTGGGGGTAAAAATTGGGGGAGGGGATCTGGTGCCGCTAATTGCACCCAGCAGGTCTAGGGTAGATTTGAGAGTACTCGAAGTTGCTGAAAACCAGTTGATTGATTGATTGATTGATTGATAAAAATGGAAAATAGTTCATGATTGTTCAGGACAAAAACAAATTTACAATAAAAACAACAGATAGGTCCTGATCGTCAAGGATGAAGGTCTGGAATTTTAGAAATGCAATGCATAGAAAATGTGGTTTTCTTGGGATAGGAACATAGATTTTGCCTTTCAGAAGACCACCTACGACCCCCTCAAAGAGTTGTTGCAAGTTGCTTAACGTGTAGAGAGCCTGGTATTCTCTCTACACTAGCGGCATTGGATTTAAAGTCCCCATTCTGACCAGACGTGACTGCGAAATTATACATTACACACAACCAAACGAATGCCTAACTTCGGCAAGGATTTTATTGTAGGTCGGATAAGGAACAAGTGGAAAGCTAGTTGAAAGTCAACAACAATTAATAAAAAATAAATCATGTATATAAAAAAAAAGGCAGGGTTTTGAGCATGATGGGGCTAATTCAAGTATTTGTTGTCAGATAGAAATGAAATGATCTAGTTTTTAGTTTATATAAGGTGGAATATAGTGACATTCCATCCAATACTCAATTCACTAAGGATGATAGATTAGTGTACAAATGACATTTGATAATTAAATAGTTTTACCGAGTTCACATGTATGAGGGGCCTGATGGGTTATTTTTGTGATCGGCACATTTTCGCTATTGTGATCCGTTTTTCTACAGATTTTTTTTTTTTATATTTTGTGATCCGTGATCATGGAAATTAATTTTCTGTGAATCGTGATTGACAAAAAAATCAACTCTCGAATTGTGATGAGATCCCCCCCCCCATCAGGCCCCTCATGTATCTACAGATAATTTTGTTTTTATTTTTTGTATATAAAAAAAATATTTTTGAAAAATATATGTGTATAGGTACGTACCTAAAGTACCTAACGGCAGCTACACCCCTGACTGTCATAAGATTATATTGAGAAAAAACGGAATACATTTGATATGATAAACAAACAAAAATTACTTATATCCCCATCACACTAGGACCACGATCCCACTACGATCTCAGAAATTATAAAATATTGAAAGTCATAGTAAGATCTTGTTAAGGTTGTAATAAGGACATGCCAAGTCTTCATGATCGTGGAGCTTGAATAAGCTCAAAACATTCGTAGTGTAGTCATGGCCAAAACTAGTTGAAGTAGAACCGTAATCAAATCAAATCAAATCAAATAATTTTATTGGTGTAAATTCCAACACAGGAATGATACCAGCTGACATTTACAAAATACAAATACAAAAATAGACAAAAATAAAACAAAAACAAATATACAGAGACATATTTTCTCAATGATAAGAGACACATATTTCATATCTACATTGTGTGGAGGTGTTATTCATACTATATCATTAATTCAAGCTATTACAGTAAGCTTTAATGCTACAACAGTTCTTAACAACATTATGTTTGCTTTAAATGAATGTTCGAATCATACATATCGCTTATTCCAGCTACACATACAGTACAAATGTCAGAATCATTACTTTTCAAAATGAAACTAAATTTATCTTGTTTAGACATATTAACAAAAGATGGAATTATATCACTTAAATTACAAAAAAGTATATTTCTATTAAATTCTAACGCTTTACATTTAATGAGGAAATGGAATTCATCTTCAATTCCATCCTTGCAAAGTGGACAAATTCTCTGTTCTAAAGGCGTTCTAGTACAACTTCTATTAGTAATTTGCTATTACTAATTTTAATTCTTACCATTTTAGAAATAACACTTTTGTTAAGGTCCAGTAGGAGATATTTTTCTAATTCGAAATTATTTTTAACTTTGCGATACGTTCTTAGTTTATTATCATGACTATATCTTTATTACAGTTGCAAGAAAGAGCTTGTTTCCAGGATTTTATAAATTCCTCCTCTAATTTCTTTTGAAATGAAAAAAGTAATTTTGTCTTTGGCATAGTATTTTGATTTTCCCAAACATGCTGAAAACCAAGTTTACCTAATAACACTTTTATTTTACTACAAAAACCATTAGACATGTTAAAGTTTTCACTGTATGCTTTCTTTACCATACTCTCACTATTCATATTAATGATATGAAGCCAGAAATTAATTGTATTTTCATGAACTCAGTCGTAGTAAGGACTTAGTTAGGTCGGGATGGGCGTAGAAACATCGTATTGGAAACGTGGTGCAATCGGGGTAGCCAATGGAAAATATTTCGTTGCAACCTTAGGTAGGCCTATAAGATTTCACTGCGACTATCCCGATTTCACTATACGTCTTAATTACGCTTCTACAATATTGATTCGATTATTCTACGATGAGGAAGACAATAATGCTCTGCTACTTTACCCTTGTCGTCCTCGTCCACATCACTACGATTCTACTATGTCCTAGCCACGAGAATTGTGCTATATTTCCTAATTTGCAAATTGGAAATTTCAAAATTGCATACCTTTTTTGAGACCTCTACTGTTTATTTAGCACCCCGATCTCAGTCTAAGTGTTTTTAATACCTTTAGTGGAAAGTTATCTCCAGGAAACTGATGTGTACAATGGGAAAGTCAAGATATTTATAGGGACGAATAGCGTAGTGACAACGAAGTGGAGTCGTTTTCCGATCGTAGTAGACACGTATTGAAATCGTAATGTGATCGGGTAGGTTTTGGAAGAAGAGTTCAGAGATAGTGTAAGTCTTGGTAAGGTCTTATTAGACACAGCAAGAGCGTGACAAGATAGTAACTATAGAACGTGTTACTATCGTAGCAGGATCTTATCAGGATCATAGCAAGATCGCAGTATCAACATGAAAACTATGAAATAAATTAATGAATATTCAAGCCAACCATACCACGATCTCACTGCAATTTTATCTATTTTAGTTAGTAAATCACTCAAGTATGAGGTCAACTCCTTATTCATGGTCTTGGTCTAGTGTGATGGGGGCTTTACATCCACTTCATTTGAACTTTGGTGGACATCTGTCTCATTGGCAGTCAATCCACATCCCTTTTTTCATTTTTGACAACAAATTTTGATTCACGCTTAATAAAATGATGATTTTCCCAGATTCCCGGCTCATTTTTTGGTAATTTCACATGTCCCACTCGACTTTATTTCCTGTTTTCACGGACAATAATTTGACTTTCACGTGTTACGCTTACAAAAATCGGCCAATCCCGTGTCACGCTTAGACCCCAATGAGACCCACTATGAAGATGATTATAATATGAAAGACTGTAACATCATAATTAATATAATTACAGTTGATTATACAAAATGTATATCAGAAGCAAATGTACGGATTGTCAGTTTTCAGAGGCATATCAACATATAGATACGGATCCATATAGGACCAATGTACATGAAAAGTTACACTGTTAAGCAACCTTTTTTATACTCATTTTAATTATTACCATTGAGATTTTCAGGCAAAAAAGCTGTATATGTGTGGTAAATATCATTTTGTAAAGTCTCTCTGATTTTTGTGTTGTCTGACAAAATTTGATCTGTCATAGATGAATCAAAAGGTGTTTTCTCCAACAGCACCACAGCATCTTCATCATTTTTCCTACAGTGAAGAAATAGGTATTTTTGTCTGGCATTTTCGTTTATTACAGCTTTTACTTTAAATCCAGCAAAGGTTACACTTTCTTCTCTAGCTTTATCCCCATTGCCGTCCTCATCGATTTTCCTTTTCTTTGCTTTTTCTATAGTTTCTTTTTCCATGTTTTGTCCATAAACATTCGTTCTAGTGTTCATCCGAGTTTTACAAGGCAACATTTCAATATACAAATCAAAATTGATATTTAACATTTTTATGGAGTTAACGTTTAGCTTAGTTTGTAACAAAAGCAGAATAAAGTTATTATTAAAGTAGTAGTATTAATAGTAGTAGTAGTGACATCTCAAATATTTCTAATCATATATTACTGTAATTTACGGTCATTTACAAAATGGACAATTTGGCACATTTTAACAAGTTTTACCTCCCAAGTTTTACATAGCTAAGAGGTGATATTCGTTTTAAATGAAATGACAGTTAACAAGATCATAGTACTATTTAACAATTTCCCAATCCCTAATTAACAAGATACTATTTATTAATACCACAATTCATAAAGTTTTGCTTTGAATCAGAGACATATAATACAATTATTGTATTATATGTCTCTGTTTGAATCAATGCGGTTTGTATCATGATACACGATTTATTCCGGCTACACATAAAGAACACAAATTATCAATATTTCTACTTAAAAGGTGAAAAAAAAATCGTGTACAGACACATTCCGAAAATTGTAAAAGATGGAACTATATATGACTTAGATTGCAAAAGAAAAATGACATCTGTAACAAACATATACTTTTAGCTACCTCTTTACAAGCAGAACCAAAGACAATGAAAGTTCCAACTATGTACTGGCTTCAGAAGCTGCACAAAACACCTTACAAATGAAGATTTATTTCGTATTCAAGCCATATTGTTCCACTCATGACTAAACTGTCTAGTATTCTACTTACTATTACACTTGGTACAATCAAAAACCTGGTAATAAATTGTTCAAATAAGGCCTTGGAAATAGTTGAATTAATTACTTTTGGAGTGTAAAAAAATCGTTGGAAGTACTTGATAAATTGCATGCTTGATTTCGAATCTGTTCGAAGTTTTGATTTTTCTACCCTATATACCACTTTGTCTCATAATCTCATTAAGAAAAAATTCACACATCTAATTAAATGGGCATTTAAAAAGTCCGAATGCGAATATATATGTTCAAACTCTTTTAGGTCATTTTTAGTAACAACAAACAAAAGAACTATCTCAATTGGACCTGCTTTGATACGATAACTGCACTTGAATTTTTACTAGAAAACATTTTTGTTCGCTATAGAGATTCCGTATATCGTCAATTTATCGGAATTCCAATGGGAACTAAGTGTGCACCACTTATTGCGGACCTGTTTCTGTAGAAATTGTTATGAGTTACAATTTATGACTAAAATCAGCAAAGACCCATCGAAACAACATCTGATGCAAAAATTTAATAACACTTTTAGATATTTGGATGATATATTGGCTCTCAATAATGACGACTTCAGTATGTACACTAAAGAGATTTATCCTGCCGAACTGACTTTAAATAAAGCTGTGGATCTTGATATCTATATCTTAAACTGGAAGCTTAATACCAAAATTTACGATAAAAGAGATGGTTTTTCATTTCCAATTGTTAATTATCCATTTTTAGATGGTGACGTTCCCTCGTCACCATCTTATGGTGTATATATATATCTCGTCTTGTTCGATTCGCTCGTGTATGTAACAATGTATTTGATTTTAACGAAAGAAATCTCTGTATTACTGAAAAAAATATTACACCAGGGTTTTCGATATCACAAAACTTGTCAAAACATTTACTAAATTGTATCATCGTTACAAGGACATCATTCGCAAATATAAATCAACATGCAGACATTTTATACGTTCATGCAGGTATTTCACATCCAATCTTTTATGGTAATATTCTATACAAAGCATAAAAATGTCGTCATTCATCTCAAAAGCTAACCAAACCTTTAAACATACTTACTCAGAAGTGATATAGTTACGATACTTTGGAATTAATATTGATTCACTCATAGAGTCTTCAATCAGTTTAATTGAGGTCTGGAGCTGGCATGTCAGTAACTGCTAGTAGTCTGTTGTTATTTATGTATTATTGTCATTTTGTTTATTTTCTTTTGTTTCCTATTCTGACATCGGACTCGGACTTCTCTTAAACTGAGTTTTACTGTGCGTACTGTTGTACGCTTGTTTTTTCTACATTGGCTAGAGGTATAGGGGGAGGGTTGAGATCTCAAAAAACATGTTTAACCCCGCCGCATTTTTGCGCCTGTCCCAAGTCAGGAGCCTCTAGCCTTTGTTAGTCTTGTATCGTTTTTAATTTTAGTTTCTTGTGTATAATTTGGAGTTAAGTATGACGTCCATTATCACTGAACTAGTATACATATTTGTTTAGGGGCCAGCTGAAGGACGCCTCCGGGTGCGGGAGTTTCTCGCTGCATTGAAGACCCATTGGTGGCCTTCGGCTGTTGTCTGCTCTATGGTCGGGTTGTTGTCTCTTTGACACATCCCCCATTTCCATTCTCAATTTTATTTGCATCGGAAATAAAGACATTTATTCTAAAACCAGTTGCTGGCATGATACGGGTTATGTTCTTCTCATATATTTTATGATGGTATGATACTAAACCCCTAACGGGAGGGATTGTGCTTGATTTTCATATGATGAAGAAATAATCTTTCAATCAGTTTAGTTGAGGTTGGAGCTGGCATATGTCAGTAACTTACTGCTAGTAGTAGTTTGTTAATTTATGTATCATTGTCATTTTGCTTAGTTTCTTCTGTTACCTATTCTGACATCGGACTCGGACTTCTTTTAAACTGTTTATTCTACATTGGCTAGAGGTATAGGGTGAGGGTTGAGATCTCACAAAACATGTTTAACCCCGCCGCATTTTTGCGCCTGTCCCAAGTCAGAAGCCTCTGGCCTTTGTTAGTCTTGTATGTTTTTTAAATTTTAGTTATACTAGTATTATATGTTTCGGAGTTTATTGTGACGTCCATTTTCACTGAACTAGTACACATTTTTGTTTAGGGGCCAGCTGAAGCCCGCCTCCGGGTGCGGGATTTTCTCGCTGTGTTGAAGACCCATTGGTGGCCTTGGGCTGTTTTCTGCCAGGCTATTTGGTCGGGTTGTTGTTTCTTTGACACACTCCCCATTTCCATTCTCAATTTTATCACGATAACTTTGAAGCGCTGATAAAATTGATGTTAATAATTTAGAAAGAGGTTTCGAGGAGCACTTGGAAGACTCAGCAATATACCGTTGTTTGTAAGGACACATGTAGTTTAGGTATCAAATACAGTGATGGAAGATCCAGTTCTTCATCTTTGGTTTAAATTCCAAAGGAACATAGAACAGACCTATGCTTATCCAGGATTTGCTCTTTTATTAGTAAGTGTCGTTGGACTAATGGGGTATATATTGAGTTTCCAAGTGAATTGTCAATACCTAATTCATTTATCAAGCAGTTTATGAAATGTGATTTACATTTAACAATGTAGTGAAATTCATATTTACTCCCATCTTTAAAGAACCCAAAATGTTACTTGGCACCTTGCAAACAAATCCCCAACACTATCGTTTTTGTCTGTAAATTACACTACATAAACTGCTTTAAAAAGGAAAAATCGTACAGTTTGAGCGAAAAATAACCCTCTATATACGGTATCTGACATATCACTGAATAGCTTATCGAGAACGAAAAATATTCGCGATGCACTTCCCTTAGATTGATATCATAAATCAGGAACATATATATTGTTCCCAGCATAAATGTAGCTAAAGAAGGTTTAACCTTGAAGAGCATCAACAAGGACACATGAACTTTAAAATTCTCTAATATTAAATGAGGATATATGGTAGGATTGCCAATAAAACACAACTACGAATCACAGGATCCTGATCCGACTTTTGACAAATTTCAATCGGGAATGGTCCTAGCAAGGACAGCAGTAAAATGTATGACTGAGGCTTAAGGCCTGCAATAGCGGAGCACTTTAAAGTACTTGGATCTCAGGATGGGTTTAAGGAGGTGCATGCCCCAATCATGTCGGTAAAAAATTGTTAGGCCCGTAATTTGAAGGAACAAAAAAATCAACATTAGATCCGAGATCCTGGATATAGCCATTAGAGACTGCACATGGCCTACTTATCGTTGACATCTGTCTATTTCTTGTAACCTTTTGCTGTTTGAAGAAATTATAAGGATTGTTTTTGTTTTGTTTTATCTTCATATTTTGTATTTATTCGTGTGAATTTATCAAAATACATGAAAAGTAATACTAGTAAGAAGACATGATTTTATAACTTTCCATCAGATTTATTTCAAAAATTTATTGAAAGATCTTGGTTTTGTTCCAAAGAATGCTGTCTTTTTATCTCTAACCACATTTTTAGGGGACACAGCTTGTGCTTGTTGTGTGCGTGATTTGATTTTTTCCTTTGGAGTTATGCTATAACGGTTATCCACGATTTTCAGAGGCGTTGTTTGATTTGATCTTATTGTTGGAAGCATCAGTTCTTTTTGTTCGGATGATAGTCTCGTAGGTATTCGTCGACTCTGACTTAATTTATTTTCCAACACATTCATCATTACCTTCCATTTCTCATTTAAATTCATGTTCATTTCATCTAACTTCACCTTTAAATCATAACGTTCTTTCCTTGCAATTCCAAGGTCTTCTCGCAGTGCTTTCATTTGTTCGCTTAAAACTACAAGCTGGTCCGTCTTTTCTGCTAATTCCAGTCTAAGTTTGTTGCAATCGTCTTGAAGTTGTTGTACTTCGTTCTCCTTTTCTTGTATTTCTGTCTCTATAATTTCATGTTCTTCATCTCTTTCTTTAATCTCTAGTTCAATGTTGCTTAATCTGTCCTTAAGTTTGTCACTGTTACAGAGCAGTTTAAGTCTCTCATTGAGCTGTTTATTCTGTGCTTTAAACGCGTTTACTTCTGTGTTTAGTTCTTGCATTTTCTTTTGTTTCGATTCCAGTTCCATTCTCACACTTTTTTGTTGGTCTCGCAAGTGTTCGTTCTCACTCTGCAGGTTTTTAAGCTGCTTCTGGAATTTGTCACTTTGCTCGGTTTGGATGTGGTTCCCATTATTTCCACATCCATCGCTCTAAAATATAGAAATAACACTAAACCCGTTTAAATCATCATTACATTATTATTATCTTATTGTATTATTGAATTGTAGCTGTAGCTTTTTGGTCTCATTCGTGTTTAATCAATTGTTTGCGCCAGTACAATTATATTTTCAACATATTCTGTACATTTAAATAGTTAAGTGTACTATTTTGCTTGTATAATGTTTTGTATGTTTTTTTTTTTTTTTGTCTTTCTACATTTTTTCTTTTGATTTCCTCTACATAAACCAGATGAACTTAGGTACTTCGCAGTTCCGCTGCTCCACTAGTAGCACACGTCGTGTAACGCACGACAATTAAAAATCTGGTGATAATTAAGAGGCGACATTAGTTTACCAATGTCAAAATGTCGTAAATCCAGTAAGAACATACAAATCAAGAAAAACGCACAAAAACCCTGAGGGTATCGCATGAACTCCAAACGGAGTGTGACTTGATGCGTGCCGCCGAGAGGGTTACCGTCTCCTGCTGTGCATGCATCACCCGTTAAGCGAATCCACACTCGGTGAAGATGTCACAATAGGGCACAGGAAACAATCGGTAAATGTGCAGATGAAATGACGTTTCTGGTGACCTAATACAAGAAATTTGTATCTTTAGATTTCCCTTTTTGTAGAAAGCGCACTGTCATATGAGAAGATCTTTCAAGTGCGCATAGAGAATATAAGATAGCTGAGTATGACAAAAATATTGCTGAATGGATTTCTTCCTTCCAGTAAGTTGTTTGCTGAATTGTGGGGGATGTGTCCATTTGGCTGAGAGGATTGTTAACTTGGTTGTTTCGAACAGATAAATTCGAGAAACTTTTTTGAGCATTTTCATATTAAAAAAAAAACAATCCCATAACTCTGAAATAAATAAATGGGGAATGTGTCCATCGGACACAGATGATGCCCCCACTTGCATATAATGTTATAAAGGTACATAACTCAAGAACGGTAAAAGTAACACAACCCAAATCTGAAATTGATCTGTGTTTTGTAGTAATAAGTATTGTGATTAAGTTTCATAAAATTTGGTTGAGGCAAACTAAAGTTAGAGAACGGAAACCAATTTTGAGACGTGCTGTTATCTGCTCTTTGGACGTACGGACGTACAGACGGACAAGGATAACACTTAATGCCCCCTCGGCTGCGGCGGGGGCATAAAAAAAACAGAACAAAATCTTGCTTAGACAGCAATTAATATTGTTTTGTCAATGATCTATAAGTAAAACCTAATAATAAAAGATAAAAAGATTACCTGGTCAAGCCCTAGTTGTTTATCCTCTTTTGATAAGTCTGTCTTTTCTGTAATAATAAAGAAGGATGTAAAATAACATTTTTAAAGAGTGAAATATAGATTTATTGCTATGTGTTTCTTTATTCTACATTGGCTAGAGGTTTAGGGGGAGGGTTGAGATCTCACAAAACATGTTTAACATCGCCGCATTTTTGCGCCTGTCCCAAGGCAGGAGCCTCTGGCCTTTAATTGTTAGTCTTGTATGTTTTTTAATTTTAGTTCCTTTATATGTTTTGGGGTTTAGTGTGACGTCCATTTTCATTGAAGAACCAGTACACAATTCTATTTAGGACCACCTCCGGGTGCGGGATTTTCTCGCTGCGTTGAAGACCCGTTGGTGGCCTTCCTCGTTATCTACTCTTTGGTCGAGTTGTTGTCTCTTTGACATATTCCCCATTTCCATTCTCAATTTTATTATAGGAAGATTTTATCATACAGATTGAATTTGCATTGCTACAAAATCGAGTAAGACAAAAAAACAATTATTGTAATTTTCAAATAATGGCGTTATAATATAATTTTATGTGAAAAGTACATTAATAAACTTACGTAAAAATAATTATCTTACAGTTGTCTGCAATGTTACCATATATTATACTTTAATAAATACATAATGCATTACTTTGATAAAAACATACATACCACACTTAAGATCTGCATTTTCTAATCGTTCTATGATGTGGTTATTTCCAGAGGTCTCTAATGCTCTAATAAAGTTGTCATAAGCTCCTTTCTTTACAACAATTTCCAATACCGCATGAATTTGAAGACGCGGGTTTCTATTAATAAGAATTCTAGACCTGTCCTCAAGTCTGAGTATGTCATCTTCAATTAATTTGTCCATTACACCATCCATATCTGTAATGTTGTCCTTAATAAAGGACAAGTTTCTGGTAAGAACTTTGTCGTCGTCCGACATCTTGCCTGCAAAATGTTTATTTCTATATCTAACTGGCCTATCAAAAATTATATTTAACGAAGGTTGATTTGTCATCGTGAATCATAGTTATTAATATGCATTGGCAAAATTTCTGTAACAAAATATCATGATCATATAATTTGACATGCATTACTACATGGCTTTTCAACTTAATGTTCATTCTTCTTGTCCATTGACCAAAAACAAAGAATGTAAAAATGAGATCTATAACGAACTAGTAGCCAAATTCCCCTTTAATTTTGTCTCAAAATGAACCCGTAACAGATATGATCACTTTCTAAGTTTAGAAATTATGAAAGCGTGTTATAACATTAACGGCACAAATTGTACTGCATCAGAATTGCCGAAACTGCAAAATGACGTCTAAATGATACTGGTATATGTCAGTGTGCAACTGATGCAGTGTTTTCTAACTGTTTTCTTAATTTCAGTTAGCAGCAAGAATATATTAGTAAAAGACATACAATAAGTTGCACCGAAATTATATTTGTCTAGCAGTGAATGTACATTTTCATGATAATATGCATCACATGTCGAAGAAACAATGCAGCATAATCTATTTACGAGCACCAAACTTCTTATTTCTGTGTGTCTACGCGTGTTAAACCCTTTCTGTGTAGAATTTTTAAGTAAAAAAAAAAAAACGATAGTCCAACGTTTTCTCTCAAAGATAAAAAGTCACAGGGAATTCATTGCCTTGATTAATTGGCACAACGGAAAACTAATAGGAAATTGAAATCGTGCATCCGATTAGCAAGTTACCATGATCAAAATAGATTACTTCAATCGGCGATTCTCTTCTGATTTCGAATGAGCTCTTCATAATTAAGCTCTTTCCCCCGAGTTTGACTAGATTCAACTTAATATACGGAATGATAAGATGCCGCTTACAAAGCAAAATACAACATCACTCATACTCTGGTTTGATTCCTGAATATTTTTCTTTTATAAGATTCGTATTGCTTGATAAATAATTAATTGTGTGCTGTTCCTGAATTTCGATGTTCAGATGCGAGCTTTCATATGATTTATCGAAAGAAATGTCGATAGAACAATATTCATCTCTTAATTAACAAAAGGCTTTCTAAACTCTATGCTAGACACTCCTGTTAGGGGTTAATTTCTGGCAGTCAAGATATTCGCGATCGAATGCAGCAAATGTTTGGTATTTTCGATTTGATAAACAACATTTCTTCGTAAAAATGTGTTGCCGTATAACAGCGCACGATGTATGCCACATACGGTTATTTGTTTACTAACGCTATCAGAACACACCAGACTATTTCCACATTTTTTATTGGTAATTCATATTGCTCAGATTTTACGTGTTGTCTGTTTTAATCGTCCGTTCTTTCTCATATTTTGTTTGTTTTACACCTGTCCTTGCCTCTTTTTGAGTTGTCTTATCACGAAACAGTGCTATCTGACATAGGTTTTGGTTTGTGACCCGAATTTGTTTCAGTTAAATTGATTTATGACTATTGAGCAGCGGTATACTACTGTTGCCTTTATTTATAGGTTAGATAGCTTTTTACTTTTTTGTTAGTTTGTATGAGTGTTTGTTAGTTGTCTTAATTTTAGTCATATTTTAATATTTACAATATTATTAAAGATTGTTTGGGGTTTTGTAAATTCAGAATATGTAAACTTCTAGTACTAGTAACACTGGGTCGATACCGCTGCTGGGTGACAGCAAGTCCCAGAGGGTATCAATAGCTTATTAGTCAGTGCCTCGACACTGGCGTGATATATAACAGCATTCTTAAATTCTACGTTGAAAAATTCAGAAATCATTAAAAAACCTAAGGTGTTAAATTCCTCAGGCAAATTTTTTTCTTAGATGGATTTGGCGATTCTCTTTATATTTATTTTGGTCTTTATAATATATAGGCTCCTCGTTTATTCAAGTTTCTATACATCCTTGGCTTTTAAGTTTGACGGTATATTTGAGCGTCCCTGATGAATGTAGATCCAGAAAGTGCTTCCGACGCACAAAATGTGTAAAGTGTTATTTTCATAATCATTATAAAGGATCGTACGTATATTCAATTCCTTTATTACTGTATTCAATACTTTAGATTTCATCAACTAACTGATGAAAATAAGCCGAACAAATAAATAATAAAGCGTTTCATAGTATAGAATCATATATGCAACAACAACAAAAAATGAATAAATGCATGCAAATTTGTGAAAATAAGTCAATTTAATTTATTATTTCCATTGTGCTTGGGGTTTAGCTGTAAACACGAATTGAGGTGAGATAAACTGACGTGGACGTGTTACTCTCGCCCTAGGACTGATAGGAGATTCTCTAGTCGAATTATGGGTATTGCTTGATTTCGGTGTACCCGGTGTTTTTCCTTGAAGCGTTGGCAAAATTGAACTTTCCCTATTTTGACCCCTATCTTTGCTTTGATTCCTTGAATGTGCTGATATGCGTGTAAAGGTAGATTGTCTTGGTGTCCTGTTAACTTTATTCTCTGATATGACATTCATCATGTTTTGCATTTTTTCATCAAAATTTTTGTTAATGTTCTCAACTTTAAGTTTGAGTTCTCTCCTTTCAGTTCTCGCTGAAATATGTTCCTCACGTAAATGTCTCATTTCCCTGCTAAGCATTGCTATTTGGTCAGTCTTTTCGTCGACTTCTTTTCTCAGATCATCTAACTGATTTCTCAAATGCGTTACTTCGTCCTTTTTTAAATCAAGTTCTTTCTTAAGTTTTGTGTTTCTATTCTCTTTCCTCTTTAACTCTTCCTCTAGATCATTAAAAACAGAATTAACCAAGTCACCCCTTCTAAGATTGGAAAGTCGCTGACTCAATTCTAAATTTTCTTTTTGATATTTACAAGCTTCTCGGTTGAGTTCTAACAATCTGTGTTGGTTACAATTAAGATCTTTTCGAATTTGTGCTTGCTGTTGCTTTAGATTGTAATTTTCTTTTGTTAAATTGTCAAGGTCATTCTGTAGCATGGAAGCCTTGTGTTGTTTATATTCATTATCTGTATACATATTGTCCTATAAACATATAAAAATTCTTGAATTTCATATTTATATCACTTTAAATACCTATTTAGTGTCTGCATATTTTATGATGATAAACTTTTCTTTTAGGGGGAAATTTTCATAGCATTTCCTTTTAATTCTTATATTTGATAAACATAGTATACACTCTATTAAGAAATCAAACGCGGTAGCTATAGATCAATGTTAAAAGATATTAATTATCATAAATATACGTATTTGAAATTTCCAAGCGTCAAAGATGTACCAGTTGATTTGTTCTAAAATGTACAAGTGTTCTATTTGTATGCTTGGCTTCCTATTGTTGTTATCATTATTGTTACTATTTTGGTTTAATGGTCTTTGACGTAACATTTTTACGAACACTACTGGCGAGAAACAATTTTCTAAAGTCGAAAATGGTGTATTGAATTAACATTTTTGTATTCACTTTCTGGATATTTGTTCATACAGTACTACCAAGAGGTAAGAACTTGACTGCCTAACTGTGTACTTACTTGGTCTGTACTTGACATGCTGGATTCTTTTTCTGAAAACAAAATTGGTAAACTTATTCTTTCATCGAAAAATAGAGGCGTAAGATACCAAAGGGATATTTAAACTCATAAGTTGATGACAAACTGACAACGCCATGGCAAACAAAAAACGAAAAACGACTGAAAGACAAACAAACAGTTTACAAATCACAACATAGAAAATTAAGACTGAGCAACACGAATCCCATCAAAAACCTGGGATATTCTCGGGTGGCCCTTAAGGGTACGCAGACCCCTGCTCCACAAGTGGCACCCGTCATGTTGCTTATGTAAGTATAAACACGTTGATATTTCTAATTTGGTGATGTCACATTCGAGGAAAAGAGGACGGGAAGGTTGTTACGACAATTGGAACATATTCATTATCTGTGAAATAGATATTCCATAACGGTCAACCAACATTTGATTGCGTCCCTAAAACTTTAGTTGAACTTTAGCGCTTCAGCTCATATTACAACACTGTGAAACATTTATCTTGTGTATATTCAATTGTCAGTAACAATAGTTATAAAACAATATAAACTATGCGCACTTATAAATTATCATAAATATACTTAATATTACTAGTATGTTGCGTCCGTTCTGTTTAACCTTGTAAAACAATGTAAATTTGACCCCACTTACCAAATTTTGTTGCAAAAAAAAACCAACACCAAAACAAAATGAAAAGTTTCTTGAACCATGTTAGTAGCCTACACAATGACGAAGAGTTGTCACAAGAATTATGGATAAGGAATAAATTTTAATTATGTACAAACAGTTTTTCTTAACAGAAAGTAACCTATCATCAGTGATTACACCGTTGTTTACCTAAACGTAAGTCTGTTGCTTCAAGTCTTGCAACTATTCTTTCATTTCCAGTACACTGTAATGCCTTTGTAAACTTCTTATATGCCTGTTTCTTAAGAACTATTTCTAATACTGAATGGATAGGATCCTCATCCAGCAATATAAGATTTCTTTCTCCCATCCCAAGAATGTCCTCTTCTATTAATATATCTATAACACTATCAATTTCAGTTACAGTTTTCTTGATAAATGATAGATTCCGTGTAATTCTTTTTGTCTCGTCCATACTTCTGAATGTTGATGACTATCTAAAACTATCAAGAATATATTCTTCAAACGGGAAACGAATTACATTCAAACTCCAAATTTGCTGACGAGATCTGTATGAACTACTTTAAATGAAAGATACCCTTATTGGCTTGTTTGTTGATTAAAATCGAAAAGGTTGTTTTTTTTTCGCGACAACTATAAAGAGAATAAAAAAGTAACAATAATAATTACTCATGATCATTGACCTGTTAATTTACAACCCAATAATCTTAACTGTTACTTATAATATATCTAATGAATCATGAGTATTACAATGATATACAGTTGCTAGTACCCTATAAGTGATCTCAAGTTTCGCCTTTACTCAATCGAAGAAAGTACACTGTCTTAAATAATGCCCATTTCGTATTTCATTTGATCTTCCAGCTGTTTTGATTTGAGCGACACTGATTAGTCTTGTAGACAAAACGCGCGTCTGGAATTATGAATTACAATTCTGGTTTCTTTCACGAGTGTTAACCTGTCCTTGCCTGGTTAACACTCGTTGCAAGTGTGGTAAACGGTCACTGATTCAAATTGTATGCATAACATCGAGGTTTCATTGAGTACATTAAAAAACTGAGTAAATGATCACTGGTTTAAAAAACTCTACAGGCTCATCAGAGACACCTGAATAAAAAAGCGAAAAAAAAAAAAAAAATACAAAACAAAAAAGGGAGTATTTAGGACCCAAAATTCCGGAAAGCTTAACAAAAAATACAGCTAAGGTAATCTGTTCCTGGCTTACAAATCCTTAGTATTTCGAAAAATTCAAAGTTTTGTAAACAGTTAATTAAATTAAGGCAACAGTATTTACCGATGTTAAAATCTTGTAAATCGATTTGGAAGAGATAAATCAAGGTAACACACAAAAACCGAGGGATATTATCGGGATTTTATAGACAACATCTGATATTTGCTTGAAAATTTGTACCCCCTTTTTTAAAGCTAATTTGTGTCGAACTATTTAAATTAGTAAAAATCAGCACATATCATCTTTACTACTCTGCATCCACCATTATATTGCACTACTAGTAAATTAAAATTCACCTTAAATCTTAATAATTTATATTTATTCCCTAATATTCTGCGACAGTTATATACTTTCTTTTTAAATCCAAAATCGTTCTTCAAATACATGTGACATCATCAACCCGAATACAAATTAAACCGAGTCCGAAATGATTTCCATATTGCATGTATATGTTTCATAAAATAGATAGTATGTAAGCTTTGAAAATTGGTAACTTACTTTTAGTACGAATACTCTAGAACAGAACAGTTAAAGTGTTGAAAATACAAGTCATGTGACACTCGAATCCCCATGTTGCAATGCGACATTAGTTCTATTTTTATGCACTTTGAAAAGACAATAATCTACAAAACAGTACTCAGATACAAACCCTGCGCAAACTGGAAATGAAATCGAGTCCTTCTGATATGCAAACAGTTTCTGCTTTCATACCCGTCTAACAATGTAATCTCCAGAAACAATCCATAAACAAGGCAATTATTCCCTGAATTAATGTGACTACGGCAAAAGAAAAATATCTTTCGTAATCTGTCAATCAGTATTCTGTAACGATCAATCCATTCAAGATGGAGGTCATAAAAATTTTGGAGTACTGACTTCAACTTTACTATCACGAAACCATCCGTGGCAGAATCGCTCTGGCATGTCATGTCGACTGTGATATATACTGACTCCATATACAGGTGCTGTAACAATGTTGATATGACTGTAAACAATGACAAGTTTTCATGGGAAAATTGGAAATAATCGCTTTATTCAGGCTCCCAACCGACCACAACTGTCTCTTTTCAAGGGAATAGTAAAACAGATATGCCATTTCAATGTCCATTCGTAGAGTCACCAAACTAAGTTAATCGGTGAAAGAACATCACCAAGAAAGCGGATCGCCTTATCTTCTTTCTATTCTTCCTTTATGGATCGGCGTTAAACCAGCTTTTTACGAAGAAAAAAAGTTGAGAAAAAGAGGGACACAGTACACAATATGTTCCATAGGAATGCCGTCAATATTTAAAAAACCCATCAAATATAACAAATATGTTTCAATCGTCTGATCAAGCATTCAGAGAACTGTTGGCAAAATCAGTGGGGTAAAAAGAAATACATGTAATGGTTGACTAGTCAAGTACGGTGTTTGAAAGAAAGCTACCCAAAACACTTTATTTAACCAGTTACCGCTGGTGAGGAAAATGAGGTACATTGCCTTATAACATAAACCAAACTAACATATATTATTTACAACGAAAGAACACAAATATTATTGACCTGTCGTGCATCCTTACTATGAACGAGTTGCATACAAAATGCTTCATACTAAAAGATTACACCCAATTGTACCTACGCTACTAATACAAACATTACCACCTATCTCTAGCATTTAGCCAATTACGTTACACGCATGACAAAACTGGTAAACTTTTTGACATATCCTTCAATTTTTATACACAATTTTGGTTAAAAGGACTCATTTATATACAAGAAATTGCAAGTAGGAGCAAATATTATTTCATTAAAAACACGTCTACAAATGAAAAACAAAAATTGGGATACAGAGTTGGATGTTCTATAATTGAAGGCTTATTGAAAAAAAGATGAAAACCACCCATTTTCATTTAAGTTGCATTTGGAGAAAGCATTCATTTAACTTCGGATCGACACAATATATCAAGAACTGGTTAATACATAGCATATATATTTTGTTATCAAACATGAAATTGATCCAAGAGTTTTATCGAACACTTTCAGGGCATGAAAAAAGGTAACGTGTTTGTACTTTTGTTATATCAAAGATTAGCATGAAAACTGGTTGAATTTCATCAATGTACAGTTTGATTACTAGTATTGATTATTCCTCACAAATTACAATCAATGAAGCAGTACTAGGGATCCAATATACAGCTACAAACAGTGCATGGATTCTAAAAAAGCTGCATACAAAATATCCACAGTATTCTTAGTACTTCTTCATCGAAACCACAGTCACTTGTTTCTATCTTTTACCTTCTCGTAAATATACGTTGATAGTGGGGCTTCCCATGGATAGAAACAAGTGCCTGTGATCGAAACACTACAAAAAAAAAATCACTTTGTGATTAACTAATGGTATGTTTGTCATGAATAGCCTTAGTATAGTGTCTTGGATCAATTTATTTGAATTCCTGTAATGCTCTTAAACTTCGTTTTTGATTTGGCATATTGACGAGTCCTGTGTAAACCAAACACGCGTCTGTCGTAATTTATTAGCCTGGTATCTTTGATGAGTTTTTACATGCAATTTTATTTCAGATACATAGATGCTTATAATACCATATTTAATTGATAGATGTTTATAAGTTTCTGACAACTGGCTACCGACTCCGACACTGAAGTTAACAATGGATGTATTCTTAATACTTAAAAACGTATAAAAAATGGATAGTAAAATAAGGGATTTTATCAGAGTGGATAAATTCACCCACATAAAGGTAAGACAAGCTAAGTAGTGTTAAGTATGTGTTATAGAATATACAATTGAGTGTTCAGTGCAAACAGTGAAGAAAAGCCAAATCTTGTACCTAAGCGACTGTGAATACCCCTAAAACCGAATTTTGGTGACCTTAAAAAATCAATGTCAATGTAAATGACTGGGGGAAAGCGTGAATGTAACAGAATACAAAAAGTAAATGGCAAAATATTTCGTTTTGAATAAAAAAAAATAAATGTGGATAAGTGTCCACATGTGGACACAGATGATGCCCCCGCTTGCATATCATATAGTTATAAAGGGACATATTAACTGAAGAACGGTAAAAGTGACGCTACCCAAATTTGAACTTGATCTGAGTTTTGTGGTAATAAGCATTGTGTGTAAGTCTCATAACATTTGGTTGAGGCTAACTTAAGTAGAGAACAGAAACTAAAAATTCAGCAATTTTTCTATTTCTAAACACGCATAACTCTAGAACGGTTGTGTATAAGTTTTATAACATTTGGTTGAGACAAACTAAAGTTAGAGAACGGAAACGAAAAAATTCAGCATTTTTTATGTTTATAAATGGACATAACTCAAGAATGGTAAAAGTGTCGCCAAATTTCGTACTTAATCTGTATTATTTAGTAATAAGCATTGTGTATAAGTTTCATAACATTTGGTAGAGGCAAACTAAAGTTAGAAAACGGAAACAAAAAATTTGTACTTGATCTTAGTTTTGTGGTAATGAATATTGTGTATAGGTCTCATAATGTTTGGTTGGGGCAAACTTAAGTTACAGATTGGAAACTAAAAATTTTGCAATCTTTCGATTTATAAAGGGGCATTACTCAATAATGGTTAAAGTGACACTACCCAAATTCGACTTGATCTGTGTTTTATCAGTGAAAGTCAAAATTAAACATTGCATGGTATAAAGCATTGATTGTAGTTGATTCAACTATAATCATGGACAAAGGAAGATAACACCAATTTTAAAAATTACTTGATATTTAGAAGTCAATTAAAATTTTGCAATTTTTCCATTTATAAAGGGGCATAACTCTAGAACGGTTAAAGTGACGCAACCAAAATTCAAACTTGATCTGTGTTTTGTGGTAATTATCATTGTGTATAAGTTTCATAACATTTGGTTGAGGCAAACTTAAGTAAGAGAAAGGAAACTAAAAATTTTGCAATTTTTCAATTTATAAAGGGGCATAACTCTAGAACAGTAAAAGTGACGCCACCAAAATTTATACTTGATCTGTGTTTTGTGGTAATAAGCATTGTGTATAAGTTTCATAACATTTGGTAGAGGCAAACTCAAGTTAGAGAACGGAAACTAAAAATTTTGCAATTTTTCCATTTATAAAGGGGCATAACTCTAGAACGGTTAAAGTGACGCCACCAAAATTTAGACTTGATCTGTGTTTTGTGGTAATAAGCATTGTGTATAAGTTTCAGAACATTTGGTTGAGGCAAACTTAAGTTCGAGGACAGAAACTAAAAATTTTGCAATTTTTCCATTTATAAAGGGGCATAACTCTAGAACGGTTAAAGTGACGCCACCAAAATTTAAACCGTTGATCTGTGTTTCGTGGTAATAAGTTTCAGAACATTTGGTTGAGGCAAACTTAAGTTCGAGGACGGAAACTAAAAATTTTGCATTTTTCATTGACTTAACATTAGTGGTTCATCTTAAACTGACCTAATCACAAACTAATACATGTAAACTAAGCAAAAGTTTCAAAGTCAATAGACCATGAATGAGGGGTAAGGACCAAATATTCTCCATGGAAATGAGATGTGCTAATGCTTTAACAACTGCATACCAATTATAATTGACCTACCACTTACAGTTCCCCTTAAACTGACCTAATCACGAACTAATACATGAAAACTAAGCAAAAGTTTCAAAGTCAATAGACCATGAATGAGGAGGCGGGGCCATATAATCTCCATTGAAATGAGATATGACAATGCTTATACAACTGCATATCAAATATCATTGACCTACCACTAATGTGGTTCACCATAAACTGACCTAATCACAAACTAATACATGTAAACTAAGCAAAGTTTCAAAATGAATAGACCTTGACTGAGGGGGCGTGGCCAAATAATCCCCATGGTAATGAGATGTGCCAATGCTAATACAACTGCATACCAAATATCATTGACCTACCACTAGTGGTTCCCCATAAACTGACCTAATCACAAACTAGTACATGTAAACTAAGCAAAGTTTCAAAGTCAATAGACCTTGACTGAGGGGGCGGGGCCAAATAATCTCCATGGTAATGAGATGTGCCAATGCTAGTACAACTGCATACCAAATATCATTGACTTACCACTAGTGGTTCACCATGAACTAGACCTAATCACAAATTAATACATTGTTGACATCGCTGCCGTCGTCGATGTCCCCGCCACCGGAAACAGCATACCTATGTCTCGCTTTTTGACTCTGTCAAGGCGAGACAAAAATGTCCTTGCAAACAACGTCATAATGCTGGGTCTGCCAAATGCTCCACATATTAAAACTCTTTCCAAGTTATAAAGTTATAAACATCTATTTCATCAGCAATCAAAACCATGCTTCAGAGTTACTAATGTGGATACTAATAAATCTTAAAATGTGTTAGAGAACTTATAATCAAAGTCTCTAACCTCGTGCATTATAATAAAAATTTTTTTTTACATCTCTACACTTTACACTTGTATTCCAGTTCTAAACTTAAAGACAGATTGAAAGAGTTAGTCCAGCATTGTTTCATAAAGCAGATTGGCCAATGCAGATACAGATATCTTGTTTTAGGAAGAGACATATCAGACTTTATCAAAAACACTCTGATTGATCATTCCAGCAATAAGTTTTCGGAAACTGGCTTCATCAAAAGACTTTTTTTATTGACAACATTTTTTTAACATTTAGAGGATGTTTAAAAAAATTCAGCATTCATATAGGATCCAACTGTGCCCCTCTGCATGCAGGCGTATTCCTTTTTTCTTACAAGAATTCATAAGGAAGCTTCTCTAAAATAAACTGTTATCACAGAAATATGTCTCGCCTTTTTGTAATTTTGATAATGCAAATGTTGAAATTAAAATAGCAATACTTTAACATGTAAGTTATGCAAATATTCAAAGTCAATGAACCATGACTGAAGGTACATGGCTGAACAATCTCCATTGAAATGAGATTTGCCAATGTTAATATAACTGCATACCAAATACCATTGACTAATCATAAGTCGTTCCCTTTAAACAAACCTAAACACAAACATTAACTTGTAAACTATGTAAAAGTTTCAAAGTCAATGAACCATGATGAGGGGGTGGGGCTATATAATTTCCATGGAAATAAGATTTGCAAATGCCAAAACATTTGCATACCAAATATCATTGACATAACATTAGCAGTTCATCTTAAACTGATTTAATCACAAACTAATACATATAAACTAAGCAAATGTTTCAAAGTCAATAGACCATGACTGAGGGGGCAGGGCCAAATATTCTCCATGGAAATGAGATGTGCTAATGCTTATACAACTGCATACCAATTAACATTGGCCTACCACTAATGGTTCCCCTTGAACTGACCTAATCACAAACTAATACATGTAAACTAGGCAAAATTTTCAAAGTCAATAGACCATGACTAAGGGGGCGGAGCCAAATAATTTCCATGGAAATGAGATATGCCAATGCTTATACTACTGCATACCAAATATCATTGACCTACCACTAGTGGTTCCCCATAAACTGACCTAATCACAAACTAATACATGCAAACTAATTTAAAGTTTCAAAGTCAATAGACCATGACTGAGTGGGCAGGGCCAAATAATCTCCATGGAAATGAGATGTGCCAATGCTTATACAACTGCATACAAAATATCATTGACCTACCACTTGTGGTTCACCATAAACTAGACCTAATCACAAACTAATACATTGTTGACGCTGCCGCCGTTGTCGAAGCCAGAAACAGCATACCTATGGCTCGCTTTTTGACTCTGTCAAGGCGAGACAAAAATTAAAAGAAGCTGGACTTATCCTTCAACCCAATTTTTCCTTGTTTAGATGATGTCTTTTCACCGAACAATTAAGAGATTGGCGACTATCTAGGCTGCATCTATCCCAATGAACTTGAAATAAAGGATACCAAATATACAATTAAGTCTGCATCATAACTGGATTAACATATAGAAATTGACAATGAGGGTTGGTTGAGAACTAAACCTTACCATAAAAAATATGACTGCAATATTCTTATTGTGAATTTTCTATTTCTGGGTAGCAACAATACAGCAGCAACTGCATATGACATATGGAGTATATATTTCCAATTGAACATTCAAGGGTTTCAAGTGGTAAATTTGATAGAGGTTCCAAGATGTCTATTGCATCAAGGGTTTCAAGTGGTAAAGTTGAAGTCATCTCTTCAAAAGTTTTACAGACATGATTTGGTGTCAAAGATGGCCACAGATATTTCCAACTTTTTTATATCACAGTCCTTCCTCTTTTCCTTTATTGTAACATTACCATTCTAATTAATCATCTGATTTGTACTTGCATGAGCAAAACGATAGGTGCCACTTTTGGATCAGGTTTGGTTCATGTTGCTTTATATTTCCCATGGTTTTGTCTGCCTTTATGCTTTTCAATTGCTTCCTTGGTATCTTTTCTATCATTTTATGTGTAAGTATGATGCTATTTTGTTTAGAAACAGTGATGTTTTATCGAAATCATTCCAACATAATAAAGTTATGACATTTTTTTGTGACCATAATAAAAAGATGAACAAATACAAGTCTATAAGTGTTGCTTGCTTCATATATACCCAGTGACAAAAATATTTTTTGCATATTAAGGACCAAAACAAATTAACAATTAATCAACGGGTAGGTTTTGCAGGTTTGTAAACCAGAATGAAGGCAGAATTTTGACTGCTACTGGAAAATGAAGGTATGTTGTATATTGTCAGAAATTATGTCTTTGCAAGGTTTTTTTTTACATAATGACAGTGTGACACTCGCTCTTCATGAGGCATCACATTTAATGCCCCATTCCATCTGGATGTAACAGCTTCAAGAGAACAATAATACCACATAGGCTATTATTTTATTTGACAAGTTATACAGTAACATAACATCATTTAACATCATTGTCATAGTTTCACTTTTATCTAGTGCAGATCCAGAAAAATAGTCATGATCATTGTCCTTCTGTATCAATGTTTGAGACTGATATATATTAACAGGAAAAAAGAAATAACAATTAATTTGTTTTCTACAATTTACTTCCTTGTGTGCTGATCATATGGTCATGTTCATATCAGATTTGATTTTATTTTAAAAATCTTGTGTTTTTCAATCAACTAAATTAAAAAATTCCTCTCATGTTTTCTCTCCTAGTCCAGCATCTTTCCATTTTGTTTGGAAGAATTTTTCGGTAACATTGGCACATTTATAATATTCTGTATCAGGTTTATTGTAAGATCGACAATTAGTAAAAATTCTGTTCATATCTGCCATGAATAATTTCTTATGACAATAGTATCGATTCTTTATTCTATCTCCCATGGTTTTCAAATCTAAAATAAACAACAATGTTTCAATCTTTTTTTGTATAGATTTAAAGTATAGCAAATAAAGCTGTTGAAAATAAAAGTATTATTAAGAATTGCACTCTAAACAAAGCAGCATTTAAGCCTCCTACGTACATCATGCTGAATAATAATAATTCTTTATTTAGTTATCTTTAATTATCATCTATAACAATTTAACAATATTAACACCACTTTGAATTTTCACCTTTCCTAAATTCCTATAATTTCTTAGCTCTGAATCAAAAGGAAAAAAGGCTATTTTTTTCCCCATAAGATTGCGATTTATTATCAACTAAAGAGGCAAATAATTCAAGATAAAACAAGATAGCAAACACAGAAATGTCTTACATCCTTGACTAATAATAATTGAATTTTATTTTGAGAGTCCTTACAAAAACTTAACATTGACCAATGAACACTGAAAATGTGGTTTATGTCAGTCTTTCAGCTGACATTTACATCTTGCAAATATTCTATGCATTGAATATAGTTAACCTTTTACATATAGTAACAGACTGTATCAAGAAATACTTAATGTTTATCACTGAACAATGCAATGAGATAGACTGTATCAAGAAATACTTAATGTTAATCACTGAACCGTGCAATGAGATAGACTGTATCAAGAAATACTTAATGTTAATCACTGAACATTGCAATGAGATAGACTAAGACTGTATCAAGAAATACTTAATGCTAATCACTGAACCGTGCAATGAGATGGAGGTCAGGTGAACCCTGTATGACAAACGTATATACCTTGCAATAATCTAATATGCAAAATATATTGTCCTATCACTTATTAATTATTCTCGTATAATAAAATTCTTTTTAAAAGCAGTCACTAAACCATGGAAATAGAGTCAAGGATAAAAGACATAATTCAGACAGAAACATCAAACCATATGGCATCCGACTATGTATACCAGAAAAAGCATATCCAGCATCTACCTTCTGTAATCTTAAGCTGTAAACAAAAAGCTATAGCTGGCAAATGAACATTTCATTTTCTGGAAATTTGTGCAGGTCAGGCAAAAATTGGATGAAGCAGAAATAGATGCTATTGAATAAAAAATAAACTTGGCAGACTAAATGGAATGAAACAGTTAGGCAATATCTACATAGTGTTACTTACCCATGGGGAATTTTATGTGGTCATAGTAGTCTGGGGCTTCATTTTTCTCCACAGGTTTTAAGAATGGCCAGGCACTGGAATGAGCCTACAAAATATTTGTATTAGATTTCAAACACTATATTATGTAAGGATGTTAAACCCAGCCACTTTGGTCTTATCAAAAGGTTATTATTTTAAGTACAAAAAAGTAAGTTGGCAAAGTCATGATGATTTGATTGTTCAAAAACTGTGTTTAATATATTATTTTATAAAGTATGTAAATACAAATTATCACAAATATACGACTACAGATGTCCATAATATACTTAAATTTCAATATACTAATAACCAAAAGTTATATAAGATTAAATGCGGTCGAGGACAAGTTACTGTCAGTTACCAGTTATTGTCACCTGGCATTTTATTCAATGACAAATGTGTTAAGTACATAAGTCAAACTACTATTATCTTCAGACAAATACATGAACTTTTATCTAATTTTTGAAAACTTTTTGTTGTACGATTAAGACAAGCAAATTCAGAGTTTTCAGGGCTTTTTTAAAAATGTTGTGGGAAGATAAGCTAGCAGATTATATTCATAAAATAAAACATTTAACATACTACTGAGGTCAAGAAATATGTATTGAGTAGTATCATAAAGTTTCTGCTAAATTATACAAGTCAAAAGTTAGGTCATATGGTAAATAACGACTGGCATTCAAGAGGAGGTGCTTCCAATTAAAACACCAAGATATAACCCAGTTCATTTGTGCATATTAAGATAGATATTTCAGAGTATTCATTTTTAAAGGCTAACACAGCTATATCCTGGTTGGTGAGAATGATAACTTAGGAAAGAATTGGAACAATAATTCTGATTTCAAAGTTAAGGTATATAAAGTGTGAGAAAGTTTTGGTAATAATGGGGCTGTTGATTTTGCTTTGAAATCATTCAGCTCATAGGATACTTAATGTCTTAAACTACAGGCATACTTTTAGGTGTATTTGACCATTTAAAATTTGTAACATAATTAAACTTATTAAATGTGAATTTCAAAGAAAATAATTTTGTTGATCGATTGTTATTACACATTATCTTTGTCATAAAATTATCAAAGCAATTCTGGCCCTTTAGGCCATGTAAACCTTGAAAAAAATTATTGTGTGGAAAATATGGTATAATAATCAATATCTACATAAAAAAATTATACAAATAGCAAAATACATTAACATTTAATGGAATTATGTATCTAAACTTACTCTGACTTGATTTAACATTGTTTTCAACAACGTTAGCAGCTGCTCAGGGTCCATTGGAGGCTCTGGGCTAAATTAAAACAGTTATATATAATTGGTTATTTGCAATTTGAATCTAACATTAAAAATCTACTAATAGATTTGACTTTATTTGCAATTATTGTGAATTTATATATTTTCATGTGTGCAAAGTTCATACTTTGATCCAAAAAAAATACTTTTCAAGCATAATTAATATCCTTGTTTTGTCATTATCTTTCAGCATAAACACTGGCAATGTGTATTTCATCTGTGGGTATTTGTTTATGACCAACACAATTCATGAAAATTTGCATATTGCAAATAACAAATCTTGAACAATATCAGACAAATTTACAATTTCTATATGCATCACATCTCACTAAATAAAATATTTCAAAATGATATAAAAATAATTTTTATATGTTATTGTGTACTATGTTTAAAGATCATTGATTTTCAATATAAATAAAAGAACAGAGTTCCAATGTCCCCTGCGTTGCAGATTTTAAAAATTTCCAAGGGGCATAACTCTTTAAAAAAAAAGTCGATCGTCCACCATTATAGAACTTGTCCGAGATATTGCTGATATTAACCTATAGTATAAGTATAAAATCTGGTAAGAATTGTACCCATGAAAGTGCTAACAAGGCCATTTTCAATAAATTTAATATTTCCAAGGGCATAACTTTTTAAAAAATAGTCGATTGGGCCCCATAATAGAACTTGTCCGAGATATTGCTGATATTAACCTACAGATTAAGTTTTATAAAATCTGGCAAGAATTGTACCCATGAGAGCACAACAAGACAGGACGGAAGGACGGACACAGGGACGGATGCCCGGTATTTCCATGTCCCCACAGCGCGGGGGACAATAAAAGGAGAAGTGGAGAATAGGCCAATGAGATAGCAACCCAATAAACTGTTGACACAGAGATATGTCTCGCTTGTCTGCCTAAAATTTTGAAAAAGACAATCTGATGGACAGCAACATTGCTTATTAATTCTAAGTCTCTGGACCATGACCTAGGGGGCAAGTCCTCAAATTAGTGGTCAAACTGATATGTACTGATAGTAATGCAACTTTATAGGAAATATCACCGATCTATCACAAGTAGTTACTATCGAACTGACTTAAGCAGAAAACTTAACATTAAGTATTGCTCATTAATTGAAAGTGGCTGGACCATGACCTAGGGGGCAGGGCCTTGAAATAGTTGTCAAGCTGATATGAACTAATAGTATTAATGCAACTTCATACAAAATATCATTGATCTATCACAAGTAGATCCTATCAAACTAACTTAAGCAGAAAACTTAACATTGAAAATTGCTAATTAATTAAAAGTCACTTGACCATGTCCTAGGGGGCAGGGCCTCAAAATAGTCGTCAAACTGATATGAACTGATAGTAATGCAACTTTGTATTAAATATCAATAATCTATCACAAGTAGTTTCTATCAAACTAACTTAAGCAGAAAACTTAACAACTGTTTACGCCATCGTCATTGTCGCCAGAAAAGCAATCCTTACGTCTCGCTTTCCATGACTTTTGTCACAGGTGAGACAAAAACACAAAAAACTAAGACATCTAGAGAATAAAATATGGTTTTCACCAATAGGCAAGTGTCTATATCAAATGTAAATCTCTAAATCACCAAGAATCTAGACAAGCTGTGAATAAATCTAAAGAAGACTTCCATGTTAAATTCTTGGAAGGATAAAACATTAAAATACAGCTAAACAAAGTTGAAAGAGTTCCAGACAGGCATATTAACATGTGATAGGGTAAAACTAGTTTTAGAGTATCAACCCTCACCTTTTAAATCTTAATCTGTGGTATGATAAAAGATACAGTACATACAATTGACATTCAGCTCAGAAAAAACCATAATGTGTTTTGATCTTATATTTACTGCCCACCTCTGATCATCTATTACACTCTAAGAAACTATGTTCACAGTTTGAAACTATTGGAGATCTTACAGAAACTTTCGGATGAACATTTTCCTATATTCTTTTTTTTTTACATGAATAATTTATGCAACATCAATTACTTGTAATATGTGTTAATCTGTATGAATCACTTTTCTAGGCATTAACCTTGTGAATAGATATTTAAGAAATAATTCATGGCAGCCATAGATTTGTTTTCATTTAACCATTGGTTGGGCATTTATATTTGATTATTTTACCCTGAGCGTTAGCGAGGGGTAAAATAGGAATATAAATGCCCAACCCATGGTTAAATGAAAACAAATCTACGGCTGCCATGAATTATTTCGATTCTAATAGGACAAATTCGGTAATTTTGTTAACCGTGAAAGCCCTATACATACGATACTGTTTTGGCTGTTCCGTTTTACCCAATTTTGATAATATTAGTAATATTATATAATTCAATGATTATTTTTTTTTAATCGCATTTTTCACTTATATATTTTCTTCCAATGTAATTTTATTCGTTTTGAGGCATACAAGAAGCTTTAAAACGCCCGGTATTTACATTTGATTTTTTGTTTACGGAAACATATTTGTGACGTCACCTTGTTTCGTTGCCATGTCAAGACAATAACAGCATTTCGCGGAATTTTCGTTTTATGAAATTTTACCATGAAAAATAAATTGAAATGGACTGATTTGTTTATTTTGCTGTAGAATAGAGATAAATATATTGTATCTGAAGCTTGGCCTTCGTAACTGGGGATTTTGATGTCGAAAATTGAGAATATCTGGCAGTATAAATAAGTTGGTCGCAACGCGGAACAGCCGTTTATGTGTATTACTGCGTTTGCGCTATAGGTAGATATATTGTGATTATACTGGTTGACGATAATAGGTCGTCGTATTAGAATTTTAAATACAAATATACTGTTTGATATCATTATTATCAAAACAGTCAATTTTAAGACATAATTTTTTCAAATTTCAGTGAAATTTAGCTCTTTCTAGTATTGCAGTATTTACTTTTCTTCAGGTGTAGCTTTCCATCCCATCTCCTGTAAACCAGGTATACTTTCTATAGGAATCTGTCGTACACCTTCTTTAAAACACTTCAGACCAGGATAAACTTTCTCCATCTGTTTCTGTTTTCTTTCTATTATCTTCTTTACAATCTGTTATAATTTCATAAATAGCTTGTATCAGCACATTATCTCATGTTTTTACAAATGCAATAAAACAATTCCTATTTAATTATACAAGAATAAGTTTCATCAATTTTCTTTAGATAAATGTTAATTTTATGAATTCTAACAATTAAAGTTGTTAAAAACTTGCACCAATAAATTCTGGCACAAAAACATATTTATCATATTGTATTTACATTCACAAAATTTCATACAATCTTTGGATAATAAATCATGTTTTAATGTGCAGATTTATACCTCTTTCTGTTTCCTAATGACACTAGAAAAGTTTGTATAACATATTTTGGGATTCAATTCACATCCCATCAAGGTGGCTCCTTCATAATCTTTTATGTAACCTAAATATGCCGATTTTGGAAGCTTTATCTCCTTGGAAAATCCCTAAAAGAATAAATTATTCTTTTATTATAATTTTTAAAAATAATCATAACATATAACATGTGTTTTTTTTTTAGCTCATAAACTTGGGCACCTCCTCAATGTTTACTCTACCTTTCTGTCTTTGGTTCCCTATCCTTTTCTTTATTTACCCCAGGATAGACTTTGTTATGGAAATAAGGTCATTTGTAAAACCCTTAATAAAGTGGGGCGTCTGTTTGTGATGGATGTAAAAATTCTCAACCAAGTCTGGTCAGAATGAAGATTTAAATCTGATGCTTTGTGTTTACAAGTAAAATCATTTCTGCCTAACAAACAGCATTAAGGACAGTGTTCCATGTCATAATTTCATGTGTTTTGTTTTTTTAAATTATTACTGGCTGTCGTTTGTACTTTCTTCACAGTTTTATAGCACTTCAATGCAGAGTCAGCACACATGGCCTATGTTGTGGCAAGAACAATTTCTGTCAATGGCAAAACTAAAGTAAAACCATTCTTGATTAGTTCTTTTAAATTGTCAAAAGTAAAAGCAGCCAGTATTTATGGAACAAAATATTGATAAAACTTTTTCTAACTTGATTTGTCTGTATGACACGAATGAACTTAGGGAGGGGGCCTTACAAAGCTAAATATATGGTATATGGTTAAAGAATACACTCTTTACATGTCCAACTCCAAACATTGCCTAGTTTGGGGGCCATTGACCCCACTCTTTACATGTCCAACTCCAAACATTGCCTAGTTTGGGGGCCATTGACCCCCCCCTCCCCACACCACCCCACCCCTTTTTTTCAAAATACTGGAACTGCATCTGAACCCTGCTGCAGCCTTATAGTTAAAAGTCTTGTCAACCTGAACTCAATCTGCTAGACATCAATACCAATTTTCTAAAAATCAGATCTAGGATTGCAGGAATAGAAAAAAAACCAAAAGAGGTAAAGAACAATGAAATTTGTTTATGTCCATAACCCAGAACTAGCTAAAACTAGATCTGTAAGTCATCAGAATACATTGATTAGCAAATAAAATTCAGAAGGACAACATAAGACATTGGTAACACTATATGCCCAAGCTATATTGAGAAGCTTGGATACAGGAGATGTATTTCAATCAGATTTCATAGAACCAAACTGTGTAAAAATTTAATTTAGATCCATTAAAGCAAGTATAAGTCATTGTGAGAGGCATTTGGATGCACAGGCAATGTTATACAATAATATTCCCATGGTTGACAGACATACAAGCATTTATTAAACTGATGTACAATGTTACTTGTCCTTAATTTGAAAAAAAAACTTTACCTGTTTCTTAAAGTATCCTATAGCATACTCGTCAGCAAAAGTCAGAAAGTGTATAATACTGTGTTTAAGGTGGTAGTCTTTTAAATGATTCATCATATGTGTTCCATATCCCTATAATAATCAAAATTTACACAAAATACTTTCAACTTGAAAATAATCATACATAAATCTTTATTGGTTTAATTGAACACTGACCAAGTTTGAAAAGTGCTATTATAATCTTCATTTCGACTGGATTGAATAAAAGCAAAATATTATTTGGCAAATATCTGTTTAAAGTTTGGTTCATCTAAGTAGTTAACAAATAATTAAATCTTTCAAACCATTTTACAGTTTACAGTGACTGTTTTTAAACAATAATAAAAAATTTTCACTTTTCAGTCAATTGACAATGCTTAAATAATTGAATAGCAATTCATCTATAATTGTTGTTCTGATCAATTATAACTACGTAAGAAATCAGGTAATTACTTCCTATTCAATGAGTTATATCTCAATCCTCTGACTTTGTAAATCTATGAAATACTAGATTTTCTTATTCAATACTGGACTAGAATTCATAGCTGTATTCTAACTAAAGCACAGAGATGATATAGCCTATTATTGCTATTTTCTAAAATTTTGCTTTAATTATTTTTTGTAATAATCTTTCATATCATACTACTTGAGTGATATGAGTTTTCTCAGCCTAGAGAAAGAGAATGTATGACGTCATGCGTCTACATCATTGTTGCCTAGGAAACAAGAGGCTCTCAAGAGCCTGAATCGCTCACCTGTATTTCAGAGGAGAAGATTTTTAAATGTCAGCAAACTTGATGAACAAATTGTGTAAAATTGTCTTTAAAGGGCAATACCTCCTTAAGGGATCAATTGACAATTTTGGTCATATTAACTTTTTTGTAGATCTTACTTTGCTGAACATTATTGCTGCTTACAGTTTATATATATCTATAATAATATTCAAAATAATAACAAAAAACTGCAAAATTTTGTTAAAACTACCAATTCGGTGGCAGCAACCCAACAATGGGTTGTTCGATTCGTCTGATAATTTCAGAGCCGATAGAACTTGACCAATTAAACAATTTTACCCTATTTCACATTTGCTCTAAAAGATTTAGTTTTTGAGATATAAGCCAAAAACTGCATTTGACCCGTATGTTCTATTTTTATGCATGGCGGCCATGTTTGTTGATGGATACAAACTTCGGATACAATTTATAAACAAAATACCCTAAGGAACATTCAGTTAAAGTTTGAAGGTAATTGGCCCAGTAGTTTCAGAGGAGAAGATTTTTAAATGTTAGCAAACTTGATGAACAAATTGTGTAAAATTGTCTTTAAAGGGCAATAACTCCTTAAGGGGTCAATTGACAATTTTGGTCATATTAACTTTTTTGTAGATCTTACTTTGCTGAACATTATTGCTGCTTACAGTTTATATATATCTATAATAATATTCAAAATAATAACAAAAAACTGCAAAATTTTGTTAAAACTACCAATTCGGTGGCAGCAACCCAACAATGGGTTGTTCGATTCGTCTGATAATTTCAGAGCTGATAGAACTTGACCAATTAAACAATTTTAACCTACTTCACATTTGCTCTAAAAGATTTAGTTTTTGAGATATAAGCCAAAAACTGCATTTGACCCGTATGTTCTATTTTTAGCCATGGTGGCCATGTTAGTTGATGGATCAAAACTTCGGATACAATTTATAAACTAGATACCCTAAGGAACATTTAGTTAAAGTTTGAAGGTATTTGGCCCAGTAGTTTCAGAGGAGAAGATTATTGAAATAGTTTAAGATGACAGAGACAGACGACGACAGACGCCAAGTGATGGCATAAGCTCACATGGGGCCCATTGGGCCCCTGTGAGCTAAAAAGTAATAAACAATTAACAATTGTCTTCCAAACTTGAGGATGTTTCTTGACTACATCTCATCTCAGTGCTGTCATCGTTCATTTAAAAAACCACTGACAATCTATAATTAGATCCAATTTAAGAAACAGAAGAACTGATGTGTCCTCTACTAATCTTACCTATTTTTCTAAGACCACATCATAAGTTGAATACTTAAGGTGGTACCAAACACCTTGACTAAAATTAATTTGGCTCGTTTAATTTTCATAAAATTTTGACAAAATATTTAGTTTAACCCTTTGACAAAAATATAAAATTTTTTAAAAACTTGAACAACACACTTTATCAGAAAAATTTCATTGGATATAGAGCAGTTTGACAAACACTAATTTTGATCATTGAGAAGCTTAATACTTCCAAACAATAGAATGTGATTGAAACGTTCAGCTGATTTTTAAAGAGTTATCTCCCTGTAGTGTTATGTACCACCTTATGGCATAAAACATAAATTACTATGTAACTACAATAATCTAATACACATTGTATTCATCATTGTATCATACCTTCACTTGTTCATTTGATGTGACCGCACAGAATACAATTTCTGTAAAACCTTGAGATGGGAACATTCTAAAACAAATCCCACCAATAACCTTCATATCCTTTATCAATGCCAAACATTTATGTTTCCTGTAAAGACAATATCAGCTAATTAGAAGTAGGATTAGAAACTGTCAATTCAAAAGTCTTTCATAAGTAATTTTTATTACTTTCTGTTTCTTTCCCTTTTTTGAATAGAAGTTTTAAAAGAATTCTGAAATAAAATTATATATCATTATGCTCTTTGAAATATGAGGTCTTGTCAGGTATGTCAGGTATGGTGAAGGTTGGAGCCTATTAAAACGTTTAAACCCGCTGCATTTGTTTGCACCTGTCCTAAGTCAGGAACCTGATGTTCAGTGGTTGGTCTCCCCACACTTTTTTCAAGTGCTGTGGCAAGCTCTCGATATTCAATTGATTCACATCTTGTGTCTTTCTTTATTTTCAAGTCATGTATTCATGCCAAAATAAAAAATAAAAATAATTGTCTGTGACCATTCTTTTTATGCATGGACAGATGGGCATACATTTTTGCTCATAGGAAATATTACAAAGCAAAACTTACGGATCAAACACCAGTCTTGTTATATATTCTTTAGGCATTCTGGGTAACTGATGTGAGAAGACATTCTGTAACCCTATCAACCATATCAATGTCTGTCGTTTTGGTTTGTGACTCAGACTGTTTCCTACGACATGGAATTCTATCACACCTTTAGATTCCTCTTGTCTAGCAGCCTCATCTCTGGCAGCATGGGCAGGAAACATGGATGACTAAAGAAAGACAAATATTTTTCAATTAATGTTATAATCATAATGAAATGTTATACCAACCATTTTTTTTAATATCCTTCATAGGTTAAAACAAGAATGTGTAATTGAGGTCTGGAGCTGGCATGTCAGTAACTGCTAGTAGTCCTTTGTTCATTTATGTATCATTGTCATTTTGCTTAGTTTCTTTTGTTAAATATTCTGACATCGGACTCGGACTTCTTTTAAACTGAGTTTTACTGTGTGTATTGCTATGTGTTTCTTAATTCTACATTGGCTAGAGGTATAGGGGGAGGGTTGAGATCTCACAAAACATGTTTAACCCCGCCGTATTTTTGCGCCTGTCCCAAGTCAGGAGCCTCTGGCCTTTGTTAATCTTGTATGTTTTTTAATTTTAGTTCATTATATGTTTTGAAGTTTAGTGTGACGTCCATTTTCACTGAACTAGTACACAATTTTATTTAGGGGCCAGCTGAGGACCACCTCCGTGAGCTGGATTTTCTCGCTGCGTTGAAGACCCATTGGTGGCCTTCGGCTGTTGTCTGCTCTTTGGTCGGGTTGTTGTCTCTTTGACATTTTCCCCATTTCCATTCTCAATTTTATGTCCATAGTACACGAATGCCCAACCGCACTATCATTTTCTATGTTCAGTGGACTGTGAAATTGAGGTCAAAACTCTAATTTGGCATTTAAATTAGAAAGATCATATCATAGGGAACATGTGTACTAAGTTTCAAGTTGATTGGACTTCAACTTCATCAAAAACTACCTTGACCAAAAACTTTAACCTGAAGCAGGACAGACGGAAGGACGGATGAACGGATGGATGAACGGATGGATGAACGGACAAACGGACGAACAGACCCACAGACCGAAAAACATAATGCTCGTGGTGGGGCATTAAAAGAATACATGAGAAACTACTGGTGTTTTTGGATCCACTACCATGCATATTAACTTTTTGAACTTGGCCATGTGCTGAACATTTAAAATTTTAAATGCAACATGTGGTGTATGTAAAGGGTCCTATAGTTGAAATCATTCATTTGGTTATACACCAGATACATGAATTTGGACCTAGAGTCTTAATATTGAGTTAATTTTTACTTTGACCTTAAAGGTATATTTTCTTATTTTATTCACCAGAACCTTATCAATCAATCATTTAATTCCAACCGGTACAATATCTATTTGGAATATGCAATACAAAATGATCTTTGTTTGTTATCTTGATTCTGCCCAATATACAACATTTCTTCAAATACTGTGTGCTTGTGTTTTAATCTAACTGAAAAAGAATTGACTGTAAGACAGTTATGAATGAGGAATAACACAATACCAGGTTATGAACACTATCATAAAATTTTCTTATTAGAATATAATTAACAGCTTACATCAGGTCCTAACATTTTTTCAGGTTCTGTAATGGTAGCCACAATCTCAGCCACTACTTCAGGTAGTACATCCCCATCTATCTTCCTTCTCTTTACATCCTCTATGGTAAAAGATTCCTCTAATTTTCTCTTTAATTCACTGCCTGAAAGTAAGAATATTTGCTTTATAATTATATTAAAATATGAACAGCATAATGTCTAAAATTTTGTTTTCCCAAATCTAGAAATAAGTACTTCTAACATAAAATAAAAATAATTTGCCTACATACTGTGGAATCATTATTATTTGGAGGATTCCCCTTTATGTGGATTTTGTGGGTAACGGTAAACCATGAATTTAGATGTTCAACGAAGTAAAAAAAATTCTTTATGCTTGTATGCAGAATTTGGCAGAAACGAAAATCCAATATCCACAAAATAAAATTTTTCGTCGTTCCACGAAAAATTGGTATCCATAAAAATAAATGAATTAAATAAAAGTAAGGGTTTTTAATTAATGCATTCAATATCTGTTTTCATGTGATTCATTTTATTTCATGCTTGATTTTAAGTTTATTTATGTATCATTCATACTTTATAATACACTAAAAAATCTCTCTTCCTAAAAGAAAGGAAAAGGATGTCTTTATGACAAGCTTCTTCCTTTTTAAAATGTAAGTCCATTACTCCGAATGAATTGTAAACAAGAATGTGTCCATAGTACACGGATGCCCCACTCACACTATCATTTTCTATGTTCAGTGGACCATAAAATTGGGGTCAAAACTCTAATTTGGCATAAAAATTAGAAAGATCATATCATAGGGAACATGTGTACTAAGTTTCAAGTTGATTGGACTTCAACTTCATCAAAAACTACCTTGACCAAAATCTTTAACCTGAAGCGGGACAGACTGACAGACGGAAGGACGGACGGACGGACGAACGAACGGACGGACGGACTAACGAACGAACGGATGCACAGACTGAAAAACATAATGCCCCTAGGTGGGGCATAAAAATATGCACTTTCACCTGTGTCAGATCTAGAGGACCTCCTCCCTGGTGTAGAGCTAGGTGAAGTGATGGCAGTAAATGTTTCTCCGACGGAAGCTGACTGGGTCGGCAGGGTACCAGATGTTGTGAAGCGACTTAGTCCACTCATTCCTGTAGCTTGTGTAGGTGTGGTGGCTGTAAATACAAATTGTAAATTGCTGTAGTTATCTTAATGATATCAAAAGAAACTTTAAAAAATTCTGAAAAACTTCTAATTATGATGGAAAATTAAGGTCTTAAAATGAGCATAGCAGTGATTATATCCTCCCCCTCAAATTGTTTGGGTGATATAATATTCAGAAAACATAGTTATTTTACATTTGCAACAACTGCACTTCAGATCTTTATTTGAAAAGGCTTTCATTGGTAACATGTAATTTGACTCTTATTCCCTATTATTTAACAATAATAATCATATTCAACCAAAAAAAAGTCATTAATTAAACAATTTTTGAAAACTTCAAATAATTTACTTTCATAAAATTTTCAAATATATGTATGCAATAATTTGTTACGTGTGGTTGGTGGAGAAGTTGCCATGTTTGCAGCATTCTGTGAAAATTCAACATCCCATATTGGTGAGTTAGCACCATAAACTTCTTCCTCTAACATGGAAAGGAATCTACAAAAAAGAAGATAAAAAGACAGTTAGATACATAACTAGAAACTGAAGTTTTATTGTTTCAAGTGGCTGTGTTCAAAATGGTATAGTAAATTGTAGAAAAAGGTGACAAAATCAATTCTCGATGATGCTCTTTTGGCCTTAGCATTACTGTTTAAACAAGTAAATGAAAGAACAGAATCTTATACCATAACTCTGTTTTGATGCATAAATGCCTCAATTACCAAACCTCTAAATATTTAGCTGAAATATTTAATGAATTTCCAGAAAATACTCAATATTTCTTAAGGAATACATCTATAAAACAAGAGGCTATCAAAATGACAGCAAACCAGGTTTCTGTTACACTTATTTGTGTCATTGTTTAAGCTATCAAGGGACACAATTCAGAAATATTAGAGCTCCATAAGCTAAGAAATTATGGTTATACACTTGTTTTTATAATAGTGGTTGGAAAGGAGTTTTTAGTTGCATAAAGACCTTCGCTTGATATGGGTAATTCTAGAAAATTTAGAAAAGATTGCATACATATGATTCATAAAATTGTAATAAATATAAAATAAGGAGATGTGGTATGATTGTCAATAAGACAATTATCCATCAAAGTTCAAATGAAGTGGATGTAAGCAATTATAGGCAACCGTACGGCCTTCAAAAATGAGAAAAACCAATACCGTATAGTCGCCTATAAAAGGCCCTGACATAAAAAATATAAAACTATTCAATTGAGAAAATTAACAGCCTAATTTATAACAAAACAATTTACAAAAAACAAATATGACAAACATGAACCAACAACAACAACTGAACTACAGGCTCCTGACTTGGAACAGGCACATGAAGAATGTGGCAGGGTTAAACATGTTTGTGAGCGCTCAACCCTCCCCTAACCTGGGATGGTGGTGTTACAGCAAAACAAAAGAACAAACTATAAAAATCTGTTGAAAAGGGCTTAACTCATCAGATCGATACAAAGCAGAAAAGTTATATTTCTTTCACTGATATACAATATAAAATAATCAGAAGTATTCAACTATATAAAAAAAAAAACAACTTATATTTCAACAAACTTTACACTGAAGAATCTATGAAAATTGGTGAAAAACAAGATTTATCAAATGACATTTGGACAGATTGGTGGATAAACAGACAGACAGGTGTCAATTTCATTAGACCCATGTTTGATAGAAATAAACAACAGATTAAGTATTTAAAAAGCAAAAACCTTGGAAAGTGTGTTAAGACAAGTGTCCTCTTCTCTGGTGGCATTTTCTCTTTCTCAGCTCTAAACTTGTCAAGGAGTTGTCTTCTCATAGTTTGAAATACAGATCTTAACAATGTTCTACCAAATATCAATGTCGTTTCATATCTTGGAAGACTGTCACAGAAAGCTGGTACATGGCAGTAACACAACCATCTACAAAAATAAAACATAGTTCTACACAGAAAGCTGGTACATGACAATAATACAACCATCTAAAAAAATTAAACATAGTTCTACACAAAAAGCTGGTACATGGCAATAACACAACCATCTACAAAAATAAAACATAGTTCTACACAGAAAAGCTGGTACATGGCAGTAATACAACCATATAAAAAAATAAAACATAGTTCTACACAAAAAGCTGGTACATGGCAGTAACACAACCATCTTAAAATAAAACATAGTTCTACACAGAAAGCTGGTACATGACAGTAACACAACCATCTACAAAAATAAAACATAGTTCTACACAAAAAGCTGGTACATGGCAGTAACACAACCATCTTAAAATAAAACATAGTTCTACACAGAAAGCTGGTACATGACAGTAACACAACCATCTACAAAAATAAAACATATTTCTACACAAAAAGCTGGTACATGGCAGTAACACAACCATCTTAAAATAAAACATAGTTCTACACAGAAAGCTGGTACATGGCAGTAATACAACCATCTAAAAAAATAAAACATAGTTCTACACAAAAAGCTGGTACATGGCAGTAACATATCCATCTAAAAATAAAACATAGTTCTACACAGAAAGCTGGTACATGAAAGTAACACAACCATCTACAAAAATAAAACATAGTTTTAACAAAAAGCTGGTACATGGCAGTAACATATCCATCTAAAAAAATAAAACATAGTTCTACACAAAAAGCTGGTACATGGCAGTAACATATCCATCTAAAAAAATAAAACATGGTTCTACACAAAAAGCTGGTACATGGCAGTAACACAACCATCTACAACAATAAAACATAGTTCTACACAAAAAGCTGGTACATGACAGTAACACAACCATCTACAAAAATAAAACATAGTTCTACACAAAAAGCTGGTACATGGCAGTAACATATCCATCTAAAATAATAAAACAGTTCTACACAAAAAGCTGGTACATGACAGTAACACAACCATCTACAACAATAAAACATGGTTCAATTATCACAATTCTTTCAGTAAAATCTTTTAAGGTTATGTAAACTTATCTGCATGTAGACTACCAAGAGTTTTCCATGGATTCTGTTAAGTCGAATTGTAGCCTTTATTCCTTTATGTTTAAAGTAATCCTCTTTAAATAAAAAAACAGCACTGAATGGAATATGATGCAAATCAAACTTTGTTGTCATTAATGGTAATGAAGCTGAGCTTTTCTTCTTTTTTTTTTACAACTGATTTATTTCTCAGATCCAAATCATGTGTAACTGTGAGCATTAGAAATTAGCACCTTAACAGATGAATATATTAGAATTCAAATAACTATTTTTATATACAATATTCTCTTGTTTCTTGACATTTGGAAATCAATAACTTTTACACCTTGGAAAATTAACAGTATCTATTCAAAGTGTCTATATGAAATGACAAAATATTAGCATATGATATAAAATGTCGGCCTCAAATAAACAGAGTTTCTACAGCTGTTAATTATAGTTGTTATCATGTTTGGACAATAATGTCATAGTATGGTAGGATCTTCCTACATAATCAAATAATAATTGTCTTGTTTTATAATTATCATCCATATCAAGTCTGATATAAACTGACAATATTGAGTCCTTATTACATTTGCCAGGTATTGAACAAGAACTGAACCTCTGAGTTTGATTCTTTTTTTTCTCTGTTGGATACCAATTTTCGTGGATTTCATTGGTACAGGGAAACAAAAAATCTAAATATTCAACAAATTTCATATTTTTCCTCAATCACTAAAATTGGTACCCATGAAAATAAATAAAATCCACAGTAGTTGTGGAGATACAAATAAAACAAAAATATATTTGTATATAAAAATAAGGAGATGTGGTATGATTGCCAATGAGACAACTATACACCAAAGCTCAAATGAAGTGGATGTAAGCAATAATAAGCAACCATACAGCCTACAACAATGAGAAAAACCCAAACCGTAAAGTCAGCTATAAAAGGCCCTGACATGAAAAATATGAAACAATTCAATTGAGAAAATTAACAGTCTAATTTGTAACAAAACAATCTACGAATAAATTGCTTTGCCGAGCGCAGTTGGATACGACTGCAGAGGTCCAACCCTGAACAGTAAGGGCAAAAATGGACACAATATTCGCGCTTGATACAGGTCTGAATTTGGATTGTAATTAAATATTTGACACATATAAGGTTTCTGACACAGAATAACTTGTATTATTGAATTTGTATTCAATATTTTGCTTTTGTGCAATACACTTTGTTGTTGCGAATTGACCCCCCCTCCCCCCACAAAAAAAATAAATTTACCCCCCCCCCCCCCTTTTTTTTTTGCTTTTGTGCAATACACTATGCTGTTGTGTATTACCCCCCCCCACCACCACCACTTTTTTTTTTGCAAGTGCAAGATTGGTCGTGATTTTGCGTTTTCGACTGATTAGATCCGAGATTTGATGAACTGGGGGCATTATCAGTTTATTGATTTATTAGATCGGCATCGTTATGACTGTAATCAGATTATTTATGAAAAGTGATTGATTACACTGACAGATTAAAACAGACTATTTTGACTGTTATATGTTAATTAATCTTAATTACAAAAGAAACGGTTTGATATGTCACCTGACTTTGCGTGTCACCTTCACGCAAAAATGGACAGATTCATGACGTGATGTTCATTAGCAGATATATTCAACAAGTTACGGGTGCTATTTCATTACCATATCTTAGGTCATAAAAATAAAAGTCAATCAACACCTAGGCCATATGGTATCATGGAGTTTTACTTTAAACTATGTATCTCACCAGGCGACAGTTGGACAAAATTAATATACCCTTAATAATTATAACCATGTTCTGACAGTTACTGTTAAAACATATGTTCAAAATACTAGCCCTGATTGCATGAGTGTATTAAATTTACATAAAGGTATCGTGCTTAATTCAAATGCATCAGATATTGACAATTTTGAAAGGAGGGGGGGGGGGGGGGGGATCTGGGTTGTTCAGCATTTTATCTTGTCTTATCGTGAAGCATACATAATATAGTATGCAGAATATCTAATTAATTTCAATGAGATTTTATACGATCTTAAACAGAATAAAAGATACTTTATATATTTTTTATATCTTCAGAAAGTAAATTTTCACACATATATATATAGTTTGGCATTTGATTACATACTTTTAAAGAACAGTTCTGTTGTATATTTATTTTTGTGTCAGAAAATTCACGTTAATAGGTAGAAAAATGATAATAAATGTGAAAAAAATATTGTTATATTACAATTAATTTAGAAAAAAGTACCCCCCCCCTAGACAAAAAAAAAAACAATGATTGTTGTCTTGTCGTCAGCATTTAGGTTCAGTCTGTGGTAAAAGTTTTGTTTTACATCAAAATCTTTGTCAAACATAATGGAATTTCGAGAAATTGGGACAGAAGCTTCTTTATGACCAAAATACAGTAACCAGGACAAAATTTTGTAAATATTTATTTTCATTTTTCCTTATTTTATTTCTAAATGGACTTTGTTTTTCCTTAACAGTTAAATTCAGGTTTTGTCTAAGGTTAAAGTTGTTCATACAGTCATCAATAACCGTTTTGTTTAATCGTCCAGTTGCAAGTTAAATGCATATCCATGCAGGTCAAGATCATGATAATGATATATGAATGTTGAAACTGTTTTGTTCTACATTGCGCTGGACTTTTCACTTGTTTGTTCAAAATGCAACAGTCCGAGTAAAGACATTGTATAGCTTATAAGTGGTTGTGGCTTTTTTGCTAAGTGTTTAATTCCATACGACGAACTGTACATAGCTGTTTGTTTTTAAGGGAACATTTTTTATTATGGGTTGAACAAGGAACGTATATACTATTCCAAGGTTAAACGATCAGACTATTTATACAATATTGAAAACATAACATTTATGAAGCCATGGTTATAGTTTATTGAATACTTCGCATAATATCATTCATGATATCGACTAGCTTCAAGTTGTGTTATGACAAGAAACAACTTTTCAAAAAGCTCAGTTTTACATGACAATCATATGGTTTAAATTGTTTATCTATATCCGACCGACACAAGCCAAAGAGAATAAATTATGTAGTGTCACTGTTGAATGATATACTGTTTTAGCAATTAATGCCATTACGTCAGCATGTATCAGGAAATTATTCTCAATCTCCAAAGATGATATTTTTGCACATAAACTTCCTCGAAGTTCTTGAAAGCTTCCAGGGACTTATAGGCCCTCGTTCCTTCTTTATCAAACATTTCGTTTTGGTTATTTGCAAGGTAAATTTCAAGTTTCCTTCAAATTTCTTTCCCAATTTTCTCCCATAATTTTCAAACACTAGGTCTCTAAATTCTACACAATATATTTTTTACTTTATTAAACATAAACATAAACCAAAAAACAGATGACACTCAACAACTTCACAGGTAAACAGGAAAGCGGCGGACATCCTTAACATCGAATATTGATTTGTACCAAATGACTTTGCCCCCAGTTCATCCAAATCTCGCATATTCTCGCATGAATTTTAATTAAACGCTTGACCCTCTCAGAATTCTAGGTCGCGAACAAGCTTTCCCTGAACTAGAGTATTACCCATTTAAATTTACCATAGTGCTAACTTAATCTATTTTATAATAGAATTTAAAATATAGTGTCAAATCTTTCATATGGATTTTTTTGTAAAAAAAAAAGATGCAACATTTGCAGATATTTTTACTGGCCTTTAAAAATAAGCATTTCTTTAAACATAATTTAAAAGCAGTGTAAGAGAGGGGCATCAAAACATTGTGTTTGGATTACCTCCCTTACACTGCTTTTAAATTGTCTTGAGTAATTGTCCATTAACCATTTCTTTATACATAATTTAAAAGCAGTGTAAGGGAGGTAATTCAAATGATGTGTTTGAATTACCTCCCTTGCACTGCTTTAAATTATGTTTTGTACTAAAGTTATTTTCCATTAACCAGGACACCCTTGTTTTCCCCCCCTTTTTGCCCCTAATTCCTAAACGGTTTGAGCCATAACCCTCCAAAGCAAATCCTAACCATCCCTTTGTGGTATGGAAACTTGTGGTATAATTTCAGAGAGATCCATACACCGTTCCACAAGTTATTGTCTGGAAACAGGAAAAGACAATGACGACAACAATGTGACACCAATATATATATACGACCACAAAATTTTTTTGCGGATGTATAAACAAATATGACAGAAATGAACCAACGACAACCACTGAACTACAGGCCCCTGACTTGGGACAGGCACATAAAAAATGTGGCGGGGCTAAACATGTTTGTAAGCGCTCAACCCTCCCCATAACCTGGGATAGTGGTGTTACAGCACAACATAAGAACAGGCTATAGAAATCAGTTGAAAATGGCTTAACTCATCAGATCGATACAAAGCAGAAAAAAATCTAACAAAAACACAGACTGGACATGGCAGGGTATTTATACATCCCTAACAACAAAAAAGACACAAAGTATAGATCTAAGAGTACTCGCAGTTACTGATAGCTACTTCAAAGCCAATAACGACTAATAAAATAAAATGCTTTGCAGAGTGCAGCCTGATACGACCACAGAGGTTGAACCCTGAACAGTTGGGGCAAGTTTGGACACAATATTCAAGCTTGATACTGTCTGAATTTGGATTGTGATTAAATTTTTGACATAATATAGGTTTCTGACACAAAATAAATGTGGTCAAATATCTTAAAAATTTGAAATGGGACATTTAATTTACCTAGTATGGTCTGATATCCAAAATCTAACAACATGGTTAGATTCAGCATATAAAAAACACCAAAAATTTAATTTTAGTTGAAATCAAACAAAGTTTCATTTTGTACCCTTCAAACCTTTATATGGACTAATTTGAAAACAGGGCCCAAAATAAAAAATCTAAATGTACAATAAGATTCAGCATATCATAGAGCCGCAATAATTCAGTTTTTGATGAAATCAAACAAAGTTTAATTTTGGACCCTCTGGACCTCAATGTAGACCAATTTAAAAATGGGACCCAATATCCAAAAAAGTAATACAAGGTTAGAACCCCCAAAAATTAAAAACTTAATTTAATCCCATTGAAATTGGTTAAAAGATATGTATTTATTTTCAATTGAAGATTTCTTACTATTGCGCAATACTGTGCTATTGCACAAAACTGTGCTATTGCGCAATACTGTGCTGTTGCACAATACTTAGTTAATCTGTTATATATAATAATTTACACACCCTGTTTGGTGTGAATCAACTGCCATATCAGTATTTGTTGCTTTTATATATAAATCAGAAATAATCAATGTAAAAATGTAAAATTTTTTGGGGAAAAAAACCCCAAAATTTATGAAAAAATATCCCCCCAAAAAATGTGTCCCCCACCAATAAAAATGTGTTTGAAAAATTTGAAATTTTGAAAAATCTTGAAGAAAAAAAGTATGAACCCCCTCAAAAAAAAAAATTGAAAAAAAATCCCCCCCCCCAAAAAAATATGAACTCTCATTAAAAATTTGAAAAAAAATCCCCCCAAACTTTTTGAACCCCCCTAAATTCTTATTGAAATTTTGAAGATTATTTTCTTTTAACGAAAAATGTACAATTTCAGAGAGTTCCATACACTTTAACACAAGTTATTGTCTTGAAGCTAGAAAAATGCTTGTTTTTTTGTTCTTTTTTGTCCCAAACTTCCAAACGTTTGAGGCAATTACCCCCAAACTCAATCCCAGCCTTCCTTTTGTGGTATGGAACCTTGTAGTACAATTTCAGAGAGATCCATACACTTAAACACAAGTTATTGTCTGGAAACTAGAAAAATGCTTGTTTTTGACCCCTTTTTTGTCCCTAATTCCTGAATGTTTGAGGCAATTACCCCCAAACTCAATCCCAGCCTTCCCTTTGTGATATGAAACCTTGTGGTACAATTTCAGAGAGATCCATACACTAACACAAGTTATTGTCTGGAAACTACAAAAAATGCTTGTTTTTTGCCCCTTTTTGGTCCCTAATTCCTAAACTGTTGGTACCATAACCCCCAAAATCAATCCCAATCTTCCTTTTGTGGTATTGAACCTTCTGGTAAAATTTCATAGAGATCCATTCACTTAAACTTAAGTTAGTGTCTGGAACCAAATGTGTCTTAGGACGACAATGCTGATGCCAACGAGGATGACATGATAGCATTATACAAACGCAAATTTATTGTGGTCGTATAAAAAAAATCATGTATCTAAGAATTAAATATCAATCAGTACACATCCAACATCCAATGGATTTAGTGTAAAGATGTCATTAACAGTCAGAGAAAAACATGACCTTGTGCAATGCTAAAATATAGGTATCAACAGATAGTAGTAATGTGAAAGTGCATATGCTTATAACAATAATATTAAGTATGGTTTTAACATACTTATAACAAAATCAAATTTATACAAATCAAAACAATATTCAAAGATCTAATTACAATGTTGAATTGGTAACCTTTTAGAATGTTTATTTAAAAGATTGATAAGTTTACCCAGATCCTATCTAAATTTCCGTGATCAGTATTTACCAGTTATTTGTACAAAAATTGTCTGATTGCAAGTTCGACAGACTGACTCTTACAAAGATTGTTATAAGAGTTTGACAGTCTGGCCCTTATAAAGATTGCTATTAGAGTTTGCTACATTTTGCTTACTAAGTGTTTATCTGCACCATTAAATTGACACCTGACCTGTACTTTGAATAATAAATTCCATTATAACTAAGTTAATGTCTCTCTGCATGACGGTTATTTACATCATCTTTAAAACCCACAAATTAAACTGATTCTTGTACACATAATGCAGGTTAAACAAGCAATTCTATAGAAGGATCAAATCACCTTTAAACAAGTCATAAATAGAGATCATGCTTAAAGTGTGCCACATTCTACACAGGCCTGTTGCAAGGTAAAAAATAAAAATCTAAATACCACTTAGATTCAGCATATCAAAGAACACCAAGAATTCATTTTTTTAAATAAAAAAAAGTTGTATTTTGGACCCTTTGGACCTAAATGTGGACCAATTTGAAAACAGGCCTCAAAAAAAAAAAAAAATCTAACAAGAGACCAAATGATAAAGAAATTAATTATTAATTTCTGTTCAAAGGGAAATAACTCAAATTCATATTATAAAAATAAATTTTGCTACTGAAAGGTCTAAAACTTAACAACGAGAACAGCTAAAATCGTGAAAATTGAACTTGACCTTCATTTAATCACAGGAAACAACATATCTAAATTTGGAAATATTTCGTCAAATGGTTTTCATGTTAATGAAAGGACACTGTTTGGCAGCCGCCCGACCGCCCGTCATACATCCCCAAATCAATAACCAATTTTTCTTTCGAAAATCTGGTTAAAAATCTTATCCCTGTCTAGCCATAAACCCTATTTTCCAGTGACAATTCAAACTTTCCATCATTCATTTCAGTTGGTTTACTTTACAGGACCTACTGCAGTACGTATTGATTTTTGTTGAATTTGATCTCATCTTTAATAAAAATGAAATATTTACCACTGGACATTCAGTAAACAAACTTAAATACATCAATAAAAAGGAACCTGTTAAAAATATGTTAACTTACCTGGTATAATTAACTTTGTAAGTAGCCATATCTTCAGATCCAGCATGCTGTTGTCGACTTGTTGGTGTTTCTAGCTTCCAGTGGTTCAGACAATGTAGAAACATTTTAGCTAGATCATACATTGTCTGCCATTCCCTCTGTGCAAGATGTCCAAACTTATACAATACAAAATTTGTCACACCCTAAAAGAAGATAATAACATGCAGATTGAATCATTTGTTGTGAATGGAAAATTTACTTAAAAATATTGGGGTGTGGTAAGACTGCAAAGGGCAAATATCCACTAAAGAACAAAAGACAAATATGTAAACAACAACAGGTCACACTGTGTTGAGAGCTTCAAGGCAGCTCTCCAACACCGTCAATGGGTGTCTCTCTCTCCCGTTGAATAAAAGCCAGAATTGGTATCTTCAACTTACACATACAGATACAGATACCGATACTGTACAGCGTAAAGCAAAATACAAATATGATATGAAATATCTTTTACCTTAAATTATACATACAGAATACACCAATATTGTCTCAGTGATAATTAAAACATAAAATTTATTTCTGTACAAGACTTAAAAATATGTGTACCTTGCCAAGAATTTTAATCCTTTTCATGACAAGTAAAAACTAAATTTATACCTAAAATAATTAATTTATATTATCTTTATCCTACAATGCTTAAAACTATTTAGAATATATGTGAGTGGCAATATATATATAATTCAATTAAAAAAGAAAAAGAAAGAAAAGGGAGACAATTTGGAAATTTTGTGAACTTTTAACTTTTGGTTTTGTGATAAAAAAAAAAGGATACAGAACATGATGTGAAAAAATAAAACTTCAAAACATATAATGAGACAGTAGCTTCATAAAAACAAAAAAACAATAATAATAAAATTAAAACACAAGTGAACCAACGCCTGGTAAATCTTCTGTCAGTAGATTCCATAAAGTGGATACCTCGGGTATGCAGGGTTGTTACGATAAAAACATAAAATGTAGAAGGTCCAGTAACAACAACACTTTAAGGTTCCTTTGCACTTGTGTTTGTGCTTGGCATACCCGTATTTGTAATTTAAAGTTATCTGCTGAAAGCAAGTAGGTGTCTGACAAATCCAAAAAGTGTTCACACATTACAACTCATTACTGTCAAGCTACTGACCAAATTTGAAGTCATTCTGTTCAGTAGTAACTGAGAAAATCGTGACAGAAATATTTGTTTGTCAAACAGACAGAAGAAGATATAGACAAACAAGGTGAATGCAATGCAGCCAAAACAATAAGTCAATTTATTTTGACAGCACAAATAGTAATGCTACAGTATGAATGAATAATTATTTTTAAAGATTCTTGAAGTTGAAATCTCCAGTACAGATGAATACGATCAAACCAACCAAGTTTAACATACAGTTAGCTGTGTAAAAGAAACCACCTTTTAAATGGGGATTCCAGATTTTACTCTCTAAATGATTGCCTTGATATAAGACACGATAATATGCAGATATAGCACTGATTTATTATACTTATACAGAAAAATATATCTAAATGTAAATAAACAAGAGTGCACACGCTGAAATGTCTCGCCTTCTTTACTGACCATTGATTTTTTGTTGATAGTCCTAAATATAAAGCTTTACTAAAAGTATCACATAAACTTAACATGATCCAAGAAAATGAGGTCAAGGTCAGATAAACCAAACCGGAAATACATATACACCTTACAATCATTCAATACACCAAATATTGTTGACCTATTGCTTATAGTTTCTAAGAAACAGACTTAAACAGGAAAACTAAACATTGACCAATGAACCATGAAAATAAGGTCAAGGTCAGATGAACCATGCCAGACAAACATGTACACCTTACAATCAATCTATGCATTAAATATAGTTGACCTATTGCTTATAGTTTCTAAGAAACAAACTTAACCAGGAAATCTTAACATTGACCAATGAACCATGAAAATGAGGTCAAGGTCAGATGATACCTGCCAGACAGACATATACACCTTATAATCATTCCATACAAGAAATATAGTTGACCTATTGGTTATAGTTTAAGAAAAACAGACCAAATCACAAAAACTAAACACTGAGCAATGAACCGTGAAAATGAGGTCAAGGTCAAATAAAACCTGCCAGACTGACATGTACATTGTAAAATATTTCCATACACCATATATAGTTGACCTATTGCATATAGTATTAGAAAAAAAGACCAAAACACAAAAACTTTAACTTTAACCACTGAACCATGAAAATTAGGTGAAGGTTACATGACAACTGCCAGTTGGACATGTACACCTTACAATCATTCCATACACCAAATATAGAAGACCTATTGCTTATAGTATCTGATATATGGACTTGACCCCGAAAACTTAACCTTGTTCACTGATAGCCCTCCATGAAATGAGGTCGAGGTCAGATGAAAACTGTCTGACGGGCATGAGGACCTTGCAAGGTACGCACATATTAAATATAGTTATCCTATTACTCATAATAAGAGAGAAATCAACATTACAAAAAATCTTAACTTTTTTTTCAAGTAGTCACTGAACCATGAAAATGATGTCAAGGACAATGGACATATGACAGACGGAAACTTCATAACATAAGGCATCTATATACAAAGTATGAAGCATCCAGGTCTTCCACCTTGGAAAATATAAAGCTTTTAAGAAGTTAGCTAACGCTGCCGCCGTAGCAGCCGGATCACTATCCCTATGTCGAGCTTTCTGCGACAAAAGTCAGAGGCTCGACAATAATTACAAAATTTAATTAAATACGAATAAATGTGGGGTATACATCAAGTAGATAGCAATTAAAAATAACATAAAGACAAAAGAAACCTAGAGAAAAAGTCCTTCGTCTTAACAAGCTGTGTGGGTAAATTTATGAGAAACTACAACAGATCTGTCTTTAAACAAGTATTCACTTATTGATTTCAGATTCAGATTTTAGTGTATATAATTTGGTTTTATATCTTTTGGCTGTCTTTAGAAATAATGACTGCAATGTTAAATAGTAGTTATCTAACAATCATAATTAGCCAGAGCTTGACAATAATCCACTTTGTGTACATGTATGCATACTTATATGGTTTGATATTTTTTGTCTGGCATATGGAAGTTGTCCTTGACCTCATTTCTGTGATTAAGTTAAGTTTCTTAGAAAGTGAAATACAAAAATTAACTATTTCAATTCTGTAGCTGTTTCTCTAGGGTACTATATATGTCAGCATGTATAATGACACTGAGCCCCAACCTAATCTTATGGCAGAAATTAGCAACCATTTCAGACCTAAAGAAATGTCTAATAAAAAAACATTTTGGTCCAGCATTCTGTCATATCAATCCAAAATATTTGACCTGACAATATGCTTATCTTTTTTCTCTCTCAACATTTCAGTCCAGTAAAATTATACCCGGTCAGTTAGTTTAATCAGTCTATTTACCAGCTGATCTAAAACTTATTTTTGATATTGCAGTAATTAATGCTGAATTCTGTAATGATGTCAGTTTTCCATTACTGCATTTAAAGTTAAAAATATTATAAGATATCCATGTATGTCAAATAAGGATAATTTAACTTTGATTTAAAAGGAGAAGATGTGGCATGACTGTCCCTGAGACAACTTTCCATAAAGACCAAAGGAGAAAGAAGTGAACAATTTTGACTAGTTTTCATGATTCATTGATCCATGTAAGTTTAGTAATTCCGTCTGTAAATCATTATTATTTTAAAATTAGTATTTGATGTGAATAAATGTCCCCTTGTAAATTTTACATTCAAATCTTGACCGTAACCTCCCAAATTTAAACAATATATGCATATGCTGTCATAATCAATCAGACAAGCCCAACATTTCTGTGGGTCCAATCATGTACAAAGTAATATAATAATTCTAAACTCTTGTAGAATGTATAAATTCTGATTAAAATATTCTAAAAAATGAAAAATGTCAAAAATTACAAGTTTAATATGAAATATGAAGTAAATCTCACCTTAGCAATGCTTGGCTTTTCAAAAGGTGGGTTTCCTAATGGTCCTTCTATAGTAGGGTTACTCATGTTCAATATACATTTCCTTAATAACTGTGAAAAGAAACAGGATGAAAATAAATGTAAGCATAATGTCAATACATATGATGTTCTCTTTACCTAATACTTATAAAAATCAATGACTAACATAACTACATGTTTATGCTTATCATACATGTATTTAATTAGTTTACTTCAGCAGTCTTAAGGTGTTTGGATATATATGAAAATAGGTTGTCTGGTGACATAGACTGAGCTGTATGTTCTGTCCATGTTAAACAATCCTAAATCTGTTTTGATAGATTATACAAACTACATATGGTCATACAATAATCAGGTTATATCTTATAGGATAAACTGACAGATGGATATTTCCTGTCCAAGATGTAATTATTAATTTATATATTAGGATAAAAATATGTCAACTAAATATGAATATAAATCCTGTTTCGTTTTAAACAATATGCTAATCCAGATTTGTTATGTGCTTAAGCTCACAGGGTATCAAACTGCATTAAAACATGTAACCTCAACTGAATATTTTTTTCTTACAATCAGCCAACTAATCCTTGCTCCTTCTCTTAATTGCTGCATGCTTAAAGTGGAAGAGTAGAATAAACCAAATATCAAGTCTCTTGTTTAAACAGACCAGAGATAATATAAGAACAAACAAGCATTCTGAGAGTATTGCATGGCAATACATAGTCCCCTACCGGGTAAAAATTCATTTTTCTGGAACAAAATGCTAACTTGTTCTATAACTTGTCATGGTGTAAACAAAAAGAAAATATCAAGTCAATATCTTCAAGCATGACTAAAAACAGTGTTGAAAACTGAATATATGAGTGAATTTTTTCAAGTCCAAGGACCATAACTCTGCACAAAATGATCAGACCGAAAAAAAAAATTTGAACTTGATCTGTAACTTGTCATGATAAAACTATTTACCAATTGTCAATCAATATCTTCAAGCATGATGAAAAAAAGTGTGGAAAACCTATAACACTCTAACATTAGATATGATGTAATACAATGTATATCTATTTTCCAATTACAATCAAATATAATTAATAGTTCCAAATATTTTTTCTTTCATTTGTCACAAACTAATATAGATTTGTAACTTACCTATAAAATGTCAACAACTTTTATCTACACAATGTAATGTACTGAAATATATACCTTAATAAAAATATATATATATTTATATGCATGTAGCATTCAGAAAATTAGTTTATACAAAATAACATATAAACCTGCCACAAAATTCCTCAAACAATTTACCAAAGAATGTCTTTTAAAAAATGAGTTATCTCCCTTTGTACAGATTATATGGTTTAACATAGTACTCTAACATTAGTTGTGGAGTTTTTACATGGACTATAACTATGGACTAAATCATCAGACCGGAACAAAATTCGAACTTGATCTATAACTTGTCATGATAAAACTATATACAAATATCAAATCAATATCTTCAAGAATGAAGAAAAAAAGTGTGGAAAGCTGAGTTGCCGGACTGACGGATGGACAGACGGACAGACAGACGAACAGAGTGCAAACCTAAAGTCCCCTTCGACTTCGTCGGTAGGGGACTAATAACCTCCCAGACTCCAGGCATGCATGCTACATGTATCAGCAGACAATGACGTTGAATTTCTTATTGGAGGAGGAACCCTTTTAATTAGGATGTTTTTAAATCCATATTTATCAAAAATCAACAGTCATTACAATGTTCAACAGAATACTACACATGGTAAGAATTTCAAAATATAACATTTAAGGATATGTTAAAGTGACAATTTAAGTTAGCAGTAACTTTTAAATAGCACACAGTATCATTTAATTTTTCATATATAGTTTTTAAGGATAATATAGATTGTATTACCAGTTATCTCTGAGATCATTTAAAAATTTAAATGAGGCACACATTAAATGGTATGACAAAATACGATTCTAAACACAATGCTAAGTATCAGTTTAAGAATCATGATGGAATATAAAATGAACACATACCTTAAATAAGTAGAAATAGACTTGTTTAGTTTCTGAGTCCTCCTCTTTATGTACACAGATAAATAGATTCTCCACATCCACAACTATCCTCAGAAGTCTGTTTAATTCCTCCTCAGCAGTGTTCTCCAAATGTGACACATGGCAACCTGATCAACAAATAATTACTCAATTTTTATGGAAAATTTTGTGGGAACAATCGTAAAATATTTGATTGTTTTTCATTTGCAATTTACTTAAAAATATTTATTATAATCACTTAATTTTGCTTTCACTTAAAACAAGACATCTTACTAAACTAAGAAATAAAAAAAATAAATCAGATAAAATTTGATTAACTTTTAATTTTTAAAACCTATTATTATCATTTTGATAATTTTCAAGGCCAGACAGAATATTTTCATGTTTTTTGCAATGTACTAACTGAGATGATCTAGTTCCTTTAATTGTCAGGTTAAGGAAGAAGTCGACTGAATATTACATTTGTAATTTCAATAAAATGTTCTTGCAGCCATTAATAAATCTTTAGAAACAGTTCAGGAAATTTATTCCCCATAAACATAATGATAAAAATCATCTTGGAACCTAAAAATCTTTTTCCCAGTAAATGTTCAATTAAATTGCAATCTGATACTTGGATCATGACAACCAACTATCATAAAACATTGGACAAAACCATTTAATCTATAAATGGATTTTTCATGAAACTTTTACTGTTATTTATTACATCTGAAACAAAATGTTACACAGCTAAAGTGTTTTTTATTTTCCATTCATTCTTTTTCTTATTGTTTCTGATGTTTGTGGGAAAATTGCATTTCTGCAGATTTTATATATATTAAGATGAACTGCACAGATATACTATTTCCATGCATGTACTCTGTACATGTACAGTCCTATATTAAGCCAATAAAGAAAGTTGTCACAAGAGTAAAGAAAATCAAAGTATATATTTTTCTTAGACAGGTGGTCTGAGGTATTGTCATGATCAGTCCATACATATATAGTGAGACCCATGTATAGCTGTTGATTGGGCTACCAGATAGAGAAATTATACCATAGGTGTCAAATGTCAAGACAGAAGCCAAGAAAACTTTTAGGTAAGTTTTCTACTCAAGGTCATTCCTAAGACTTAATGAGGGACCTGCTTTGCCTTTTGTGACACAGGTAAAAACAAAGAGTGTACATGCTGAAATGTCTTGCCTGCCTGAATTTATAATGAAATTATTCTTAAGACAAAGGTTTAGCTACAAGTATCACATACACTTAACTGTATCAATGATCCATGTAAATAAGGTTATGGTCAGATGAACCCTGCTAGTTGATGGTCCAATGAATCTTTATACAAAATAAAGTTAAGCTACATGTATTGTATGATATACGCGAAACAGACTTAATCACAAAAAAATGAAGAACGTGTCCATGGGACACAGATGATGCCACCGCTTGCATATAACATTATAAAGGGACATAACTAGAGAACTGAAAAAGAGAAGCCACCGAAATTCCAACTTGATCTGTGTTTTATGGTAATAAGCATTATGTACATGTATAAGTTTCTTAATATTTGGTTGAGGCAAACTAAAGTCAGAGAACGGAAATGAAAAATCAATTTTCCATTTCTTAAGGTGCATAACTCGAGAATTCAAACTTGATCTGAGTCTTGTGGTAATAAGCATTGTGTATCAGTTTCATAACATTTGGTAGAGGCAAACTTAAGTTAGAGAATGGACACGAAAAATTCAGCAATTTTTGCATTAATAAAGGGGCATTACTCAAGAACGGTAAAAGTGATGCAAACCCAAATTCAAACTTTATCTGTGTTTTGTGGTAATAAGCATTGTGTATAACATGTATAAGTTTCATAACATTTGTTTGAGGTAAACTAAAGTTAGAGAACAGAAACCAATTTAGGGGACGTATGTATGTAAGGACAAGGGTAGCACTTAATGTCCCCTCTGCTGTGGCGGGGGCATAAAAACTTAAAGTTTACCAATAAAAATATGAAAATTAGATCAAGGTCAGATGAACCCTGCCTCGACAGACATGTACATCATACAATCAATCCATACACCAAATATAGTTGACCTATTGCTTATATAGTGTCTGAGAAACAGACATAACCACAAAACTAAACATTGACATATGAACCATGAAAATGAGGTCAACGTCAGATGATACCTTCCAGATGTACATGTACACCTTCCAATAATTACATATGTAAAACTTACTTGATTTTTTGCTCATAGTATCTGAGAAAAAATCCCAAACCAGGTAAACTTAAACTTGACTGAAGAACCATGCAAATGAGGTCAAATCAGATGAAACCTGCTACACTATTATATACACCTTACAAGCATTATCTACACTAAATATAGTTGACCTGGTTTTTGAGATATGGAATTGACCATGAAACTTCGACCTTGTTCATTGATAAATGAAAAAAGTCAAGGTCATGTGAACCCTGTCTAGCGAACATGTAGATCCTTATAGCAAAGAAATTGGAATTCTTGAAAGAATTTGGAAATTAAAAGAACTCATAAAATTAGGCTTTTTCTGTTCTGAAACACTAAATACCTTCTCCAGGCCCTACTACATATCAAAAAAATAAAATTTGAATAATAAATGTTTGCCACTGTATGTAAATAGTTATACTTGTGCAAAGTGTGTAATAAGACTGTACCATATAAGTTCCACTATATACCTCTTTCATGTACTGTTCACAAGACCCTACAATTTGACTGTAAATTAACGCATTCTGATGACTATTACTAACTTTTTGAATAACTATTGCCAAACATGTCAATGGACTCTATTATAGCAAATACCATTTAAAAGCAAGTTTTGCTTCCTTCTGACTATCTGACAAGCAATAATCTAGACATGTCATGGTGTCACTGAATAGATATTCCTTTTAGAAGACATGCTGGAACATTATTTCCACTGGAAGAAATATCTCAGGATTTCTTCCTAATGGAAAAAAGGGGATAGAATGTAATTTGTCCCAACAGAAACATTTCTCTTATGGTTATCTTTTTCTCACATGAAGATATATTTCTCGTATCACACTGCACAAATATTCTTTTTGTCAAATTTTATTTACATTCTGAAGCATACAAAAAGTGTAAAAATGTCTGATGTTAATGCTTGACACCGAAACCAGACATATCATGATGTCATAGTATGGTCATACTGGTATGTGCAAAAGACAAGATCAACGATTCATGGAATTTTTTATTCAACACAATGAGAATGTTTACCATAAGAGCAATAGGTTTAACAGCTTGTGAGAATTGGATATCCCTTGATATCAACTCTCGTTATTTAATTTAAATAGTAATTATAAACTCGCCAAAGGCTTGTTTATAATTATCAAAATTGAATAATTACATTAGATGTATGTTTCATTATTATACGTTATTTTGATTGGCCAACAGCAATCTTGCATCATTCTTCATTTCAAAATGAATTGCATGAATTGAAACATACATGATGACACACGTTTCCACAATAAAGTTCACAGGTAAAAAAAAGAAAAACTTGATGGTAATCATGTTTTCATGATCATATCGAAAAAATGTAATTATAAGTATTGAATGCTTCTTTTGGTAATTTCATAGGGTTGTAAAAGCGTTGACCGTACGTACATTTTTAGAATGAAGCGCTTCTGCTTCTTAAAAATGTAAATAGATGTTTTGCCGTTAAACGAGTGAAAAAAAAATTCTTTCACTTCCAGCGACAAAAACATACATCAGAAGATTCTGATTTTCAACAATCAAAGTTTACTCCTTCTCTTAAACGTGATAAGATTTGACCTTAGTTTTTTTATTATCCATTAAATGCCTTAAAATCTTCATATTCCTTTCCAAATCGCTTGTCAAAGATAGTTTTATTTGTAAATTTTTCATCAGCGCAATTTTTTTATTTTACATTTTACATTTTTGTAAAGTACGAATCAATGACTGGAATTTGTATTTTTTTCAATAATGACTGTGCAGATGTATAAATCAGCTGAATGGGTAACAAGAGCTGTCAGAATGACAGTAAACCGGATTTATTAACAATAATTTGTGTCCTGGCATTTTTCAATATCACAAGGACCATAACTCCTGAATGGTAAAAGTGACAATCATCAATATCAACCTTGACCTCCATTTTGTCATCAGTAACAACATATTAAAATTTGAAAAGCTTTGGTTGAACGGTCCATGAGTTAAAGCACGGACATGACTGGAAACACCATTTTTCAATCTTTTAAGAACCACATCTCCTGAACGGTGAAAGTGAAAATCGTCAATATCAACCTTGACCTCCATTTTGTCATCAGTAACAACATTTTAAATTTGAAAAGCTTTGGTTGAACGGTTCATGAGTTAAAGCATGGACACGACTGGAAACACCAATTTTCAATCTTTCAAGAACCATAACTCCTGAACGGTGAAAGTGAAAATCGTCAATATTGTCCATTTTGTCATCAGTAACAACATATTAAAATTTGAAAAGCTTTGGCTGAACAGTTCATGAGTAAATGCATGGTCACTGTTTGGCAGCCGCCCGCCGTAGCTCCCCAAATCAATAACTCATTTTTCTTACGAAATCTGGTTAATAATGTCACTGAAAGTGAAAAATACTAATCTAATATTGCATAAATATGTATTTTCTTATAAATTAACTAAGTACCAAATATATTTTAAGGCAAAAGTATTGTTTCAATGACAATATATTGACTTCAATTTCTCAGATAAAAATACACTTTCTTTCAAAAAAGAAGCAATATGCATACTGTATCTCATTGAACTTGATAATTATTATTAAATTTTCTTTTCCTTTAAATCTACACAAGTGCTATAGATATTTACAGATTGATGACAGATCAACAATGACTGAAAATCTGTATTATTATTTCGATAATGACTACATTATGTATCAGCTCCAAAAGTAAAAAAAAACCTGAGCCCAGAGGAGACTCAAAGGGAACCTTTCAATGCTGTAAAGCAAGCATATTAGCGATATACATGTGTGTAGTATTTGAGACATCACAAGGTATCAAAGGTCTCCTTAATTAGATGATTTATTACACACGAAGGCTAACACAAATATGGTTTTAGTCTCCTTTACTTCTCCCTGAGGTATCATTGAAATTTCCCTATCATGACATGACTTCTACCTATTATTTTGAAGTATGGTGACTCCTGGATCATATCAAGTGATATCCAATGCTCATTCATTTAAAATCTATAAATAATAAAGCATTAGGCCCAAGACCACAATTAATGATCCCGCTTTTCGTCGTCCACGAATATAGTTCCTTTTAATTAGAGTGTATTTTTTCTTAATTTTTTTTCTTTCCCTTCCTCACTCATTTCTTAGTTTTTTGTGGGTGGAAATAAAAGAAGAGAGGTGAAATAAACTTTTGGATGTTGTATTTTAACTGATTTTGATATGGAAAGAGTGATTAGGCCAGGTGCAAAAAGGTGATATTTACAGTTTTCGGAACATCTCTTGACTTGTCCATAGGGGTATGGATGTGTATTGGCTAAATTTGTAAGAGTCATTGGTTCAATCTTTCTGAATTTTGGATATATTTTTGGACTAGTACTATACATTACGCACACAAAAGATTTGACAAAAATGCAAGGTGCAATTTTTTTAATGAAACAAAACGTTATAAAGAACTAATAGGGGAATTTAATTGTGGTCTGTGGCCTAAGAGGTGAATTCAAGAAATATTGAATTTGTACTTTGACAACTTCCCTGAATGATCTATTGGTATTAATTTGTCAAACTACATGAGAATAAATGATTTCCACTTTTATTTGATAGAAATTTTGTAAAAAAGTGACATTTCAGCCTACATGCCCAAAATTGAACTTTTTCAGTTGTTTCAATATTTTTACAAAAGTAGCATGCTTACTTTCTCTCTGACAGATTTTTCTGGTTTTCTATTTGTGTTTGTGGTATCTAATGTAGATGTTTAACTCATTTTTGAACACTGAACACAAAAAAAAGTAGATAAAATCAGAATAAGCGTGCAAAATGTGCTGCTTTAATGGTCTTAGTCTAACGGTCAGTATGAAGCAAGTGAAAAATGAGGTTCTATGCACATACAAGTTGAATTCCTTTTAGCAGATTTCACTGAATCTGTATCAAAAGCACTTATTACTGGTTGTTTGACCTTGTCTGTTTCACAAACTACCTTTATTTTATTTTGTTTGATAGCTAGTGGTTAAAATATTGGCCTTTTGAGGCTGAAATTTCATGCCGGTTTTAAAAAGTAAAGTAAATAACTTTGCATCAAATCATACTGTCTACATATATAGTTGAAAGTGACAGTCATGTTACATCCAGGCTCCATGTTTTATCATATCTAAACAAAGATTTGAGCAAAAAGAAGCATATCTCTATCTACCATATCATTTATATGCTTTTTAATATGCAAATGTGGGGAACGACCTAAATTGACAACCTGTTTTTTTAAGCTTGACATTGCTGAAGACAATTTTATTCACATGTGTTATGCTATTTGAAACTTATATTTCCATTAAAAGTACATTTATAACATGTCAAAGGTTTTTTTATAACTTAACAACTTCAGAAAATTGTGGTAAGTGAAAAATATTACATTTCATATAAGGCCTCACATCATTTGAAAACCTCTATTTTTTGGCACAGGCTCATATAAAATTTACTTCTGGCCATTTTTTATAAGTCTGAAACATGAAGTATGCTATCTGTTGCTTTTAATAGGTGATAATTTATACATAGAAACATTAAAAAATGTAAGTTTTGGTATATTTTGGTTTTTAGAAGCCCAAATTTGATAGTTGAAATTGTTCTAATTCAACGCCACAATTCAGCACCCAAAGTTCAGATATAAAAAATGCCACATTTTTTATAATTGGTATCATATGAATTTGAAACTTTGTAAACTGTTTTATAATACACTAAGCTTAAATCATGCCAAGTTTTATTAGAATTGGTCAAGTTTTAGACCCCTAATAGGCCCAAGACCACAATTAATGATCCTGCTTTTCGTTGTCCACGAATATAATTCCTTTTAATTAGAGTGTATTTTTTCTTAATTTTTTTTCTTTCCCTTCCTCACTCATTTCTTAGTTTTTTGTGGGTGGAAATAAAAGAAGAGAGGTGAAATAAACTTTTGGATGTTGTATTTTAACTGATTTTGATATGGAAAGAGTGATTAGGCCAGGTGCAAAAAGGTGATATTTACAATTTTCGGAACATCTCTTGACTTGTCCATAGGGGTATGGATGTGTATTGGCTAAATTTGTAAGAGTCATTGGTTCAATCTTTCTGAATTTTGGATATATTTTTGGACTAGTACTATACATTACACACACAAAGGATTTGACAAAAATGCAAGGTGCAATTTTTTTAATGAAACAAAACGTTATAAAGAACTAATAGGGGAATTTAATTGTGCTCTGTGGCCATTATTTATAAAAAAAGTTTCCAGAGGAACTTCTTTTAGGAAAAACAAAATGCCTTTTACAAATAGAATATCTTTTGTACAGGTCTGTAGATTCTTTAGAAAGAACCTAAATTTGATCATTGGCTGTGTATCAACAAATACTGTCATGAAATCTGTCATATCAGAAAACAATAATACAACTGTAATTAGACCATCTGTTTATGCAACATTTCAAAATTAGTCTGGTTAGACAGGGATAAGTAAAAACATACATATTTATTGAATATTGTATTAAAAAAGGAGGCTGTTCAGTGTAGTATCTTGCCAGATGTGCAACACCAACCTTAACAATGTATATAAGATCTGTTGATTTGCAAAAGGGTATCACCTGGTCCCAACAGCAGTAATCTTAAAATAGTTGAAAATAAAAACTCTTATTAGTTTAGATAGTTTATAAAGATGCTTACCTAATGTGTGTCCACAACTCCTACATGGATCTGTGAGACTAGCCAGAGGTTGTGACACATCCACTCTCGGTGGAGTTGGTGGTGGATTGGGATTCTTCCAACCATTACATTTACAGGATTCAGACTGTAAATAAAACCAAATTTATAAAATCAAACCAAGTGTACAACTAAGTTGATACACAAAAATGGTACATCATATAACGAATAAAATGGTATTCATAGATGTATGGTCTACAGGGGTCTAATCATCACACAAAAATGGTACATCATATAACAAATAAAATGGTATTCATAGATGTATGGTCTACAGGGGTCTAATCATCACACAAAAATGGTACATCATATAACAAATAAAATGGGGTTCATAGATGTATGGTCTACAGGGGTCTAATCATCACACAAAAATGGTACATCATATAACAAATAAAATGGTATTCATAGATGTATGGTCTACAGGGGTCTAATCATCACACAAAAATGGTACATCATACAACGAATAAAATGGTGTTCATAGATGTATGGTCTACAGGCTAGGGGTCTAATAATCACACAAAAATGGTACATCATACAACAAATAAAATGGTATTCATAGATGTATGGTCTACAGGCTAGGAGTCTTATAATCACACAAAAATGGTACATCATACAACGAATAAAATGGTGTTCATAGATGTATGGTCTACAGGCTAGGGGTCTAATCATCACACAAAAATGGTACATCATATAACGAATAAAATGGTATTCATAGATGTATGGTCTACAGGGGTCTAATCATCACACAAAAATGGTACATCATATAACGAATAAAATGGTATTCATAGATGTATGGTCTACAGGGGTCTAATCATCACACAAAAATGGTACATCATATAACGAATAAAATGGTGTTCATAGATGCATGGTCTACAGGGGTCTAATCATCACACAAAAACGGTACATCATATAACAAATAAAATGGTATTCATAGATGCATGGTCTACAGGGGTCTGATCATCAAAAATATTATGTTTTTTTACCTTCTAATATTTGATAGTCACTTAACTTGAAGGATAGTGGCAAGCAATCCAGTTTCCCCTATCAATAATACATATTGCCATGAAACTGAATAAAACGTTCTTTATAACACTTGTATAATATTTATAGTTGGTGATCTTTTATCACTTTCTTTAGGCATGTTAGTTGAAAACTTTTGTCAACCAAACATCTGAATTATGATATGTGTGATATTTAATGTTGTGTTTATTTGGTATACATGTTATATATTCTAACAATAATTTAATCATTTGAAGTGTAACACAATTACTGTGTATTTAAAAGGCTTTGTCCTTTCACAATACCAATTGGTCCAAGGACACAGTTATCGTCCTTTGGTTTTCGTTGTCTACGAATATAGTCCCTAGTGTGAACAGTGTATAACTTGCATTTTTTTTTGATACACTTTCCCAATTTATTTCTTGATATTTTATGCATGAAATATTAAGTAAGGGGATGAAATTACATGTTAAAAAAATTTGGGTGCTGAATCTTTATGTTAAGTAGTGATTTGGTCCAGTTAAAAAAGGTCAAAAATTAGAATGTCTGAAGCTGTCAAACTGAATTTTAGCCCCCCTTAACACAAAATTGTCAATATTTTGAGTTAGAGCTGGTAGAAGTTTCTATAATTTTGATATTATTTGTATCAATAGTAGTACACTACACTGTAAAAATCTTTTTGAGATAGAGCAGGTGCGATTTTTTTAATTTGAATTTATTGTCTAAAAGAACTGCACTACGAAATAACTGTGTTCTCGGGCCTAAGAGATGAATTCTGTAAATGTACATTCTGTACTTTGGCAACTTTCCTGAATGGTTTGCTGGTTTCAATTTGTCAAACTCAATAAAAGTAAAGGATTTACATCTTTGTTTGACAGAAATTCTGTTAAAATGTCCCATTTTGACATTATACGGCTAAAATAAGCATTTTAAAGCAGTTTCCATTTTATGCCCAAGACCCATGCTGACTTTCTATCTGACAGCTTTTTATGTTCCTGATATTTGTGTTTCTATGATTAAATTAAATTTAATTAACCATTTGTGAACTCTGAAATTAGAGAAAAGTAGATTATCACAGAAAAATGTGCAGAATATTTGTATTTATGTCCCTGGTTAAACGGCCTGTTTGATGTATGTGAATTGTGAAGAGCTTTGTACATAAAATCTGTAGTCCATCACAAATATTTCACTAAATCTGTTGAAAAAAACACTTTACAATGATCAGTACACCCTATTCATTTCATATGCTACCATGATTTTCTTCTTTAGGATAGTAAGTGGTTCAAATATATGCCAATTGAGACTAAAACTACATGCAAGTTTTTCATTGAAAAGTGAAAAACTGGTCATCAGACCATACTGTCTGCAAAAAAAAGTTGAATTCAAGAGTCCTTTTGCAATTAGACTTCTTGTATCATAACATCTTAGCATAGAAATGAGCAAAAAGTAACAAATTTTTATTTCTTATAGCCTCTGTGTGCATTTTTATATGTAAATATGGGCTACGGCCTAAATCGACTCTAAATAATTCTCAGTCTTACATGGCCTAAGACCATTTTATACTCATGTTGTATGCTTTTTGTAACTTTTCTTTACATTTAAAGTACATTTGATATATATGGAGGAATAATGTATGGTTAAAAAACTTCAAAAACTTCAAATTGGTTGAAAAAAATGCATGTTTATGTAAGGCTTCCCTTAATTCGAAAATCTCTATTGTCAGGCACAGGCTCATATAAATTTGACTTTTGAATAACTGTGATAAATCTGATAAATCAAATGAGTGTCCCGTTGCTTTTAATACTTATTATATTATATTCAAGAGTATTTAAAAAGCAAATTTTTGCAATATTTAAATTTTTAAGGCCAAAATCTTGACAGTTGAAAATATTTGATTTAAACGTCAAAAATAAACATCCAAATTTCAATATTAAAATGACCCTAGTTTCTATAATATATATCCTATGGCCATGAAACTTAGACAACTATCTTATAATTTCCTAAGCTTAGGTCATGCAAAGTTTTATTAAAATTGGTCAAGTCTTTCTATCCTATTAGGTCCAAGGACACAGTTATCGTCCTTTGGTTTTCGTTGTCTACGAATATAGTCCCTAGTGTGAACAGTGTATAACTTGCATTTTTTTTTGATACACTTTCCCAATTTATTTCTTGATATTTTATGCATGAAATATTAAGTAAGGGGATGAAATTACATGTTAAAAAAATTTGGGTGCTGAATCTTTATGTTAAGTAGTGATTTGGTCCAGTTAAAAAAGGTCAAAAATTAGAATGTCTGAAGCTGTCAAACTGAATTTTAGCCCCCCTTAACACAAAATTGTCAATATTTTGAGTTAGAGCTGGTAGAAGTTTCTATAATTTTGATATTATTTGTATCAATAGTAGTACACTACACTTTAAAAATCTTTTTGAGATAGAGCAGGTGCGATTTTTTTAATTTGAATTTATTGTCTAAAAGAAATGCACTACGAAATAACTGTGTTCTCGGGCCAATTGCAAAAATATAGGAGAGTTTTTTCTTTCTAAAATAATTTGAATAAAAATTTCTTGAAATAAAATGCTCCTCTGGGGCGCAGCTTGATACGACCGCAGAGGTGGAACCCTGAACAGTTGGGGCAAGTATGGACACAACATTCAAGCTTGATACAGCACTGAATTTGGATTGTAATTAAATATTTGACACAGCATAGGTTTCTGACACAGAATGAAATTGGTCTAAGAACATGAAAATTTTTAATTTACCTATTCAGACCATATCATTATTATTTGCTTTTATATATAAATCAGAAATAACCAATTTAAAATGGAAAATTTTAAAGAAAAAAAAGGAAAAAAAAATCCCCCCCCCCATAATTTTTTGAACCCCCTTATGATTCATCACCCCCAAACTCAATCCCAGCCTTCCCTTTGTGGTATGGTACCTTGCAGTACAATTTCAGAGAGATCCATACACTTGAACACAAGTTATTGTCTGGAAACTACAAAAATGCTTGTTTTTTGGCCCCAAATTCCTAAACGTTTAGGGCAATTACCCCTCAAACTCAAACCCAGCTTTCCCTTTGTGATATGGAACCTTGCAGTACAATTTCATAAAGATCCATACACTTACACACAAGTTATTGTCCTGAAACTAGAAAAATGCTTGTTTTTTTGTCCTTTTATAGCCCCTAGTTACTAAAATTTTGAGGGAATTACCTCCAAAATCAATCCCAGCCTTCCCTTTCTGATATGGTACCTTGCAGTACAATTTCAGAGAGATCCATACACTTGAACAAAAGTTATTGTCTGGAAACTAGAAAAATGCTAATTTTTTGCCCCTTTTTGGCCCCTTATTCCTAAACTTTTTGGGCAATTACCCCCAAACTCAATTCCAGCTTTCCCTTTGTGATATGGAACCTTGTAGTACAATTTCATAAATATCCATACACTTACACACAAGTTATTGTCATGAAACTAGAAAAATGCTTGTTTTTTTTCCCTTTTTGGCCCCTTATTCCTAAAATTTGGAGGCAATTACCCCCAAAATCAATCCCAGCATTCCCTTTGTGATATGGAACCTTGTGATACAATGTCAGAGAGATCCATAGACTTACACACAAGTTATTGTCATGAAACTAGAAAAATGCTTGTTTTTTGCCCCTTTTTTGCCCCTAATTCCTAAAATTGGAGGCAATTACCCCCAAAATCAATCCCAGCATTCCCTTTGTGATATGGAACTTTGTGGTACAATGTCAGAGAGATCCATACACTTACACACAAGTTATGTCTGGAAGTTACAAAAATGCTTATTTTTGGCCCCTAATTCCTTAACTGTTGGTACCATAACCCCCACCTTCCATTTGTGGTATTGAACCTTATGGTAAAATTTCATTGAGATCCATTCACTTTAACTAAAGTTAGAGTGCGAAAAATAATGTGTCTTCGGACGACGACAAGGACGACGACGTCATACCAATATACAACCACAAAAATTTTTTTGCGGTCGTATAACAAAATTGCTTCAGAAAGGAGTGATAAAACTAGTCTATTTCCATTAAAAAGCAGAGTAACAAATAAATTCAACATTGAGTTTCA